AATGTAGGCAGTAGTGATGAAAGAAATATATATATATATATATATATCATTGCAGCAATTTCTTCCTCTGTCAGAAGCTGAAATCCAGGGTCTCCTTTATCCAGCTGAAGCCAATCTTGGATATTTTCTTGCGTGATTTCAGTGTCTCCAGCTGCCCTCAACACAGTCTGAAAGTCCTCTTGCTCTAACCCCTCTTGCTGCTAAATGTCATTTGTCTGTTTAAAGTACGTACTCAAATGTGAACAGAATTTTTCACATTTCGATCCGAATTATCCGCACATCTGGATTAACTGTAACCGGATTAGCGAGGGTTTACTGGGCTATCGAGTGATAGAATGATTAGCGAATAATGAATTGGAAAACTTGTGGAAGGAAATAGTTGTGGTCTGATATCGCCATTTTACTGGAGTAACTGAGGAAAAAGGTGAAAATTGTCGCCTCCGGGCCCAGACATGAAACCAAACGTGACCGACACAAATCAACTCGACCCCGAGATTCGGTGATACATTGTGAACATGCCTACAATTTTATGTGAACGGTTTGTGTGTATGTGTTAGGATTTATAAAGTTGGCAGCCTAGGGAAACTTTAAGCATTTGTGTTCTCAGCTGTTGCATTATGTGCGCAAATGTATTATGGCATGTCTGCTGAAAGCCAGAATTGTGAGGCCAGTATAGAACTGTTGCTAGGGAACGGCTCTGCAAACACGTCCGTTGCTAAGAAAGGGCTAAGTAGCAGTCACATGATGGCCATAACAGATAACGTACGGAGCAAGAGAAGAGCTGCTGGAATCGGTGTTTTTTGTGTGGTCCGTGCCGAGGCTATATAACGAGGACCAGCTGTCAGCCCCGCGTGGAGCCTCCACGCGAGGCGAGTCGTAACTGGCGACTAGAAGGGAACTCAGTGCCTGGGGGTATAAATACGGGGACGTGGCCCTCCAGGTTGGGGGAGTCTCGAATTTGAGACAGTAAAATGTGGTCATGAGCCTCACTTGACTGACCCGAGAGCGACTGCGCTAGTAGTAAACGACAGAGCTGTCGTCTCGTAAGAAAGGGCGCCCCACATCAACAAACCCGCAACTGTCTGACAGTAACAAGAATATGATCAGGATGGAAACCCTTGTGGGGGGGGGGCTTCTTGAAATTCATCTCTGGGGTCTGCCCCACAGCCAACCCTGCAGTTACGTCCGCTGGTGACCCATTCAACCGCACCAAATAATTAAGATATGCTTTTTGTGCCACACTGACCTCCTCCTCGTCCTTGGTGATGATGATTCTCGCTTCCGATCACCAATCGGGTCCATAACAGTGTCATCATAGTTTATCGGCTCCTTTGTTGATATATCTTCGTCTTCCTTGCCTTGAGGGGCACGGCGCCTGCAATGGAGTAGCATTTATTGTACTAAAACATGTAATGGGCCGTGGAGGCTCATACGGTTGTGAGACAATCGGCTCACAAATGGCGGTGAGGTCAGCCTCACGCGCCGGCCGCCCTTTACCCCCAGGAAGATTCCTGGTACTAATTTCTGTTAGAGGCTGAGTCGGCCTCAGGGCCATAGTGAGGCTGGAAGGATTAGGTCAACTGAAAATCCAGTGACCTCATCAGGTATCGAACCCTCAGCCTTCCGGCTTTTAACATAGTGCCTTAACCAACTACGCTACCGCATGTCTTCTTTATTAGCCCAAACAGCCGTTCAGACTAAAGGTCTGATATCAAAGGTTCAGCGCAGCTCATACAAAAGCTATCAATTAGACATAATCCCACCAAGCAGTTTTTTTAATTCGCTTAGTGGGAGGGGGGTGTCCAGCTGGGTCCACTCGGCACGGCGGCCACTTCTGGCCTATTCTATCAGCCCCAGATGATAATGAGGGTGATTGTGGAGCAATTGGTGGAATGAAGATTGGTAGAGGACACCGAAGTACTCGGAGAAAATCCCCCCCGGCGCCACTTTTTCCACCACAAATCCCACTTGAACAGACCCGAGATCGAACCCGGGCCGCCGCGGTGGGAAGCCAGCGACTAACCGCTTGAGCTATGTCGCGGCCTACCAAGCAGCTTAGTTTAGCGGTAACGCCATTGACTTATATTCGGTAAATGTTGGATTGTAATCTCGGCCGGGGCTCCAGGCTGTAGGGATACTGCCTGGAATAGGCCACGACCTCTTCTTTCCATTCAAGCTGCTGAGAGCGTCATGAAGGAACTCAGTGAGGCTGTTGGTTCCCCCGTCTTCCCCTAACCCGTCACTACGCGGCCGGCCCGGTCAGGTCATGTGGGGATTTGTTGTGAACAAAGTGGCAGTGGGATAGGCTCTCTCCGAGTACTTCAGTTTCCCCTGCCATTTCTCGTTCCACCGACTGCTCCACACTCATCGTTATCTATCACCCGAGGCCGCTACCAATTAGTGGCCGACGTGCCAAGTGGTCTCTCGCCCCAACCCCGAAGAAACCAAAATAAGAACTGTTTTCTTATACAGGGTCGTCTGGCTGTCGCTCCGAATGGAACAGGGGCTAAATGGATGTGCCAGATAAAGGTGGTCTCGGAGACGTGTTGTATCTAGACTCCAGGACACTCCGTATACTGCCACAGACAGACGCTCGAGGCAGACTGTTTGCTAACACAGCACATTGTCACAGCCGTAATAAGCAAGCCAATTGTCTGTCAGCTTCCAAACGTCCTAACATCGAAATAGAATGCTCTGCCCTTCTGTTTCCTATTGCACACTTTCCAGGTTCCAGTTTCGGCTCTGAGACCAGCAGTGGCTGACCGACGTCCTCTCTCTCTCAGTTCCTCCAAGCTAGTTTTTATTTCTTTGGGTGGTGTGAGACAATCAGATTGGTGCGTCGGCCACTCTTTGGCCTATTGTACCAGCTCCGGGTGATAGCTGATGAGTGTGAAGCCATAGGTGGAACAAGAATTGGCAGGGAAAACCGAGTCTGAGAAAACCTACCCCGGTGCCACTTTGTCCACAACAAATCCCATATGATTGGGCTCGAACCCGGGCTTCCGTGGCGGGAAACCCACCCCCAAGGAAACAGCCTAATCTTCTGCCGTTGTTAGACTTGCGGTTAATGTCCGTTTGTTTGTGCTTCAGTCCAGGGCAACGCCAATCAGAGTTGACAAGAAGCGTACCTCCTTATCGGCGAGACTACCGCAGCTTCCTTAGTCAACCCTCCGTCCACATCTTCATCGGAGTCGTCATTCGCCTCTCTCTTCTCTCTCTCGTTACTTTCCGCTTCTCTTCGGCGTCTGCAACGTGGAGCGAGCATCACGTGATTAGTTGCATATAAATGTGGCATGGACTGAGGTGGAGGTTGTGAGAATAGGGCGCTAGAGGTAATGTTAGGAACCAGGAGCGAGAAATGACGGGAAGGGGTGGAGGAAACTGCATTTTGATGTGTTTCATACTTTGTACCCTTAGCCGAATATCAGGCTCGTTAGGATGGTCACATCAAGAATGATATAGCACGCATGGGAGGTATCACATGGGTACGTGGGGGTACACAACACAGGACCTTATCCTCTTCAGGACGGAAGTCGGTGTATGTGATGATAGGAAGATGACAACGTGTGAACCTGGCGACCACCGCTCAAACTAGAGGCTTCCTGTAAACAAATGGATCTTACAACATTACGTAATTTAAAAATGTTAAGACTTGTGTAAGTAAAGGCTGCGTAGCGTGATGGTGCAGAGGCGTTCGGCACGTGACAGTACGGCGCCGACATGTCTACTAGTGTCGTCATTACATGCGGCCCTACGGCTCATTCAAGCCTTGTAAAAATTCGTTCACTCAGAAGACATTGTTCCCACATACATCCTCAAATACAGTGTGACCCATTTAAAACCGTATCCAAACAGTATGCATATTTTATATATTTCTGGATGGAAAATGTAAATGACTTCGCAAAACATGATGTAAGTTTCCTCCGATGAATGCATGCATCACCGCTCTTCATTGTATTCCGGAATTGTCCTTTGAAATACCCAATATACATGCGTAGAGAATATGTCATGTCTGTTTGCGGTCGGTTTCCTGTCAGTTCTTTTTTCCTACCGCCGACGTAATATAGGACTTCGAACTATATTAATGTGTATATTCTGATTTTTGCAGTGAAGAGTCCATAATTCCGGGCTAGGAACCTCTACTTCTGCTTTAGAGGATATTTATATTGGGAATATTTTAAATGGATCACCCTGTAGTACTGTGATGTACCTTGAATCGGATGGTGGGTCGTCCGCGGCTTCCTCTGTGCTGCCATCATCCTCATCGTGAGAGGAAGCGCTGGGCTCAGAGGCGCAGTCGGTGGCTGTATCCTCACCCGTCTCCTCATTCTCGTTGCTGGAGTCATCATCGGCACTTCTTCGGTTCACATATTTGGCTCCTTCCTCATTACTTGAACTGTCGCTGTCGCTGTCGCTATCTCTGTCACTGCAACACGGACATACAGACTTAGCAAACGATCGGCCTGAAATGCGATATTGTGTCGTAGGCTAGTAGGTGGGTACTAACCCTGAGGGTAGAGGTAGTATGTTCCTCCGAAACATTGGTACCCAACCACCAGACCAAAATAACTCAGATTCACTTTATTTCTACTGGATCCCAACGCTTCCCGCGATGCTGTCCAACTCGAGTCACAGAGAGGCCGCGCTGTACCTTACGGTTATACCCGCGTGACACACTATACATGTACATTTATTTGAGGTCTGTGGGCCATAAGCACATGAATAAGAATTTTACCCACGAGGCTGGAAAACATTTATTTAAATTTAATTACTTTGTAATATTAAAGCCAAAAGTAAGGTTTTCCTGCGCTTAAATTAATTAGGGACCACTCCATGAAGACATATGGGGTAGTGGGGGTATAGTTCCACCATTCTTTGAGAATTATGTAGATAAGGGGTCAGCTTCGCGCTCCAGTCGCTTTAACCCCCGGGGAAAGAGCCCCTTTTACCTGTATAGGAGACTCTCGAGGCCCCAGAGCCGGTCTGGACGCTGTGGAGTAGAGAAAAACATCTTGCCTCTGCCGGGAATCGAACCCTGGCCGTTCAGCCCCTATATTGTAAAGTTACGGGCAAATTGAACTTTTTTATATTTTTTAGGCAAAATTTGTCACATGGGGAAAGGAAGGATACTCCCGCTGGTCGGCCCCATGCCGCCAGTTGGACAGCCCTGATGTATCCTATACGTGAAGATGCGTTTGAAAATATTGTTTAGATGAAACTAAAGGAGTCAGAGCTTTGGCCACTCGCCTGGAGATGCTGCTTAAGGAACGTCTGCGAGTCACTGGCTCATGTTTGGGTCCTGTAGCGCTTGTGATATCGTCTTCCCCCTCATCGCTCTCGTCACTGGAACTGGATCTGTTGAGGAAAAGGTCAGATTGGTTGTAGGCAGGAGAGTGTGTTTCTACTGTTCGGCTCTGAATGATGTCTTAATTGCTTAGGAGGTAACAGAAACGTTTCGACAATTCTTGCCTTCACATTCGTTCTTCGCTTCTCTAAGGTAGGATTTAAGTTTCACTTCCCAACCCTTTATCCTCTCTTGAATTTACCTTTGTCACTTCCAACCGCTTTACCTTCTTTCCAATATATTTAGCTGAATTTGCCTTAATGTCATATTTTAGCGTCCTGTTGCACTGATTCACGTCCATGATGTGTATTTATACCAACCGTCTTACAGTGCACACGATTTCACCTTTCTCTTCACTACATGTTTCGGCACTAATGTGCCATCTTCAGGTGTGGTTTTATTTACGTCAAACCATTGCACTGTATGCCATCATGTCTCCTTTATAAAACGATTAAAATGTATATATGTCAATTTGCAATGCAACGCACGCAGTTACAACGGAAGGACACAACACAAGGACAGTATACACAAGAATATAGGAAGAACACTCCCATAGGAGAGGATTGACGTAACTAGCGAATTTTGAAGTGCGACGTATAGATGATAAATCTTGAAAAGTTTTAATATATAAACTTTATTATTATACATGACATATATACATTTTAATCATTTTATAAAGGAGACGTGGTGGCATACAGTGCAATGTTTTGACGTAAATGAAACCACACCTGAAGACTGCACATTAGAGCCGAAACATGTAGAGAAGAGAAAGGTGAAATCGTGTGCACTGTAAGACGGTTGGTACAAATACACATCATGGACGTGAATTTGCCTTTTTCATTTCCCACCGCTTTACCTTCTTTCCGACATATTTAGTTGAATTCGTCACTTCCCAACGCTTTACCTCCTCTTGAATTTACCTTTGTCACTTCCCAGCCCTTCACCTTCTCTCCAGCATATTGAGACCTTGTTGAGATCTTCAAAGGGACCCAGAAATACCCTGTATTTATCCTATATTGTTCGCACGACAAACGCCTGAATTGGTTTAATGTGTTCAGAGTGATGGATGACAAATGCAAATCATTGGATTATATGTAGATGACAAAACGTAGTATCAGTCCACCCGCCCTTTGTGTCATGGCCCCAGAACGTAACATACACCGCGCCAAAGGCGAGCATTGATCTCTTCTTTTAAGCGTCAGTGCGCACTCACTAGGCTGTGGATCGCGCTTTCATGTTCCGGGCTAGGAGGTGTCATCGCAGAGGTTCTATCCCGGTGTGTGTCTGCCTGTAAGGCGCTTTACAGCCGGAACAAGGCAGGGAAGTCGCGTTCTGGTGCGTCGCTCTCGTGCGCTGTCTCGATACATGCGTTGTGCGGGTTTCTCCACAGATTTTCGTTGCTTCCGTAAGCATTTAGTGAGAGACGCGTTCAGAAACGCATGTAAGTCGTCATGTAAAAGTGTTCATAGTAAAGCAGTTTGGAAATCCATTCCGCGGGTCTCGAGTTCGTACGCTTGGACAAACAGGCGAAGAGAAGGTGATTGGCACATTTTTGCAACTACTATTATTTTGAAACTATCAGTATTTCTATTGCAGTGGCTCACGGAGGCGTTACACGTGCCAGGTCAAAGTGACGGCAAAGATAATTTCTTTCCTTCCGTTATCTCTTCCATACCTTTAGTTCCTCCCTCATTTCCGTATTGCCTATTCGTCCTTCCTCGCCTCTGTAGCTAGACCGGAACATACACGTACTTCAGGTTTTCCCCGTCCCCTGGCCACAGCCTGACAAATACTTGACTGTTGTTTAACTGTTGGTTGCTGCCTACTCACATAGCTCTTTTCGCCTTTGTGTCGTCCTTGGGCAGTTGTTCCTTATCTCCTGGCAGCGTACTGGTTTGAAGTGGCCCCACCGTTAGCGGTGATACGCTGAAACACACAAAAGTATTCACACGTGTCTGTGTGACTATAAACGGGGTTTGGATTGGTAGTAATAACATGAGGCAAGATAGCTCAGTCAGTGTAGTGACTAGGCTACGGGCTGAATTGCCAGGCTATCTGGACTTGATTCTGGGTAGGACGGAGATTTTTCTGTTCTCGACAGCATCCAGACTGGCTCTGGGGCCCGCCCAGGCTTCTATGTAACCACTGGGCTTTGAAGGGTTAAACATATGATGGTAGTTCCAAATTGCCCCATTAACATCACAGTGGTCACTATATGTACCACCTGCTTTTTACCATTGAGTGACTTCAGGTATTATGTTTTTGGACATTATCCATCGTCTTGTCTATTTTTTAAAAAAACGTCCTGTTTTTCTTTCAAAACAACGTTTCGGAGGCTGGATCCTGTCCCCGTCTCCGGAGATAGGGGCTGGCTTTATCTATTGGACCCAACTGAGTAGGTTTTACCTGAGGAGGGGGACAGAATCCATTCTCCGAAACGTCTCCGGAGATAGGGGTTAGCTCTATCTGTTGGACCCAACTGAGTAGGTTTTACCTGAGGACGGAGACAGAATCCAGTCTCCGAAACGTCTCCGGAGATAGGGGCTAGCTCTATCTGTTGGACCCAACTGAGTGGTTTTACCTGAGGACGGAGACAGAATCCAGTCTGCGAAACGTCTCCGAAGATAGGGGCTAGCTCTATCTGTTGGACCCAACTGAGTGGTTTTACCTGAGGACGGAGACAGAATCCAGTCTGCGAAACGTCTCCGAAGATAGGGGCTAGCTCTATCTGTTGGACCCAACTGAGTGGTTTTACCTGAGGACGGAGACAGAATCCAGTCTGCGAAACGTCTCCGAAGATAGGGGCTAGCTCTATCTGTTGGACCCAACTGAGTGGTTTTACCTGAAGAAGGAGACAGAAGCCAGTCTCCGAAACGTTGTTTTTTGAAAAAGAAACAGGACTGTTTTTAAAAAATAGACAAGACGATGGATAATGTCCAAAAACATGATGCTTGTAGCAATATACCATCGTCACAAACTTTTAGGTCTTAATTGAGTGACTTCCTTGTGTGTTTGGTATGAGTCTTACGATAAACAGCGACAGTGTGCTTTTTGTGATATGGAATCTGAATATTGTTTGTCTAATTTCGTGCCCCACCTCCTGACGGGACCAGTAAGCCGTGATCCGTTACAACAGTTGCGCTATGTATATGCGTACCCCTGGTATATGCGGCAACTTCTTTTACATATGTGTGTCACGGGCAAGCCGAAACAGACTGAGCAGGCGCTACGATATATAAGATCTTTCAGCACGTAAATGGGCGGTCCGTAGCGTAATAAAAGAGTTCTAAATGTTGTATATCTGCAGTCACGTGTTCTGTCTCCTGTCTTCATAAGTACCGTATTTACGCATGTATAGGCCGCAGCACAATTTTCAGACAGAAATTATAGAAAAAATAATTTTCTTGGAATATTATTTCAGGAGTAGAAATTATTCCGAAATTTGGCAACGTTAATTTTTTTTAAATGAAGTGTGATTTCGAATATTTCGAATATAAGCCGCACCCCAGTTTTCCTCTTGAATTTTTGGCAAAAAATGTGCGGCCTATACATGCGTAAATACGGTATTTACCTTACATGAAAGGCGGGGGTGAGGGAGAAAGCGCATCAGTTTGTTAGAATATTCCCAGGCTTCACCCTCTCTTCATTCTGATAAGAGCAGTGTGAGAGCGAAGACATGATCGTTAGAGGTAGTGGATTGAGATAGGGGCCCCGAAATTTCGATTTTCCGAGTTCACTTTTCAACTTTAATGCGGAAAACAACGAATTTAATTTAAATATTTAAAAACTTAGTTCGTACCTCACAGAGAGCACATTATTACGCAATTGCAAAGACCGATCGGTTAATGTTAGTTAGGGCAATAATCGAATTTTACTGTTTGGATCATATGAAACACAGAATGTACTTTTTTGGGGGGGTTACCTTGATTGGTGTTACAGCAAGTGTTCCATATAGTTGCCATTTAAATGATTTTACTGAAAGTAATATTTGGGACGTGTGAGTTCTGAAATACCTGTCGGATGATGCAGTTTGCTGTGTAGACGCGCTGCCCTCTGTCGGCGCACTGTGCACGTGCAGTGAGACGGTGCAGACTAGAAGGAAACATACGGCGCCACCCTGCGGAAACAGATCGAAATGTGTCACGTGTGGACGCCTGGAAACAACTGTATGGAGTTGCAATAGTAGGATGAGGAATGATAAATGGATAGGATGTGGAAGGAAGTGGCCGTGGCATATTTCGAGGCACTCTCCCGGCTTTCTTGTGGAGAAACTGAACAAAGCCACAAAAACCATTCCAGGATAGTCGGTGCCCTTGCCGAGATTCGACCTGAAGACCTCCCGAATACAAGAAGTCACAAGTGTTGCCGCGCAAGCACCCACTCCAGTACAGTGTGTGTGCGCATGCGCGAGACTTGCTGCTGCAGACCGAGCAAGAGGCCCGGCGCTTGTCCAGTTGTTTGCGAACCGTTGCGTGACGGAGGATGGGTCTGCACCAAGTAACTCAGTTCAAATTAGTCTAGCCCCCTTGGATAACTTCCCTTTTTGGGCCACCGTTCTTCCTTCTCTTCGTAAATTCTCTGCCCCATTTCCCCTTTTCTCCCCCATACACAAAACAGCCTCACGTTCCCTTTCGTTCCCTCATAGGTGCGGTCCTGGTCCTCCGGTCCCTGTGTCACGTGCTTTCCCCCCCCCCGGCAATGCCAGTACTTCCCTGTTGTAATGTTGGTACAAATTCGCCTAGTGGGAGGTGGAGTCCAACTGGGTCCACTCGGGACGGCGGCCACTGATTGGCCTATTGTGCCTGCCCCGGGTGATTATGATGATGGAGAATTTGGTGGAATGAGTATTGGCAGGGGAAACCGAAGTACTCGGAGAAAACCCTTCCCAGCGCCACTTTGTCCACCACAAATCCCACTTGACCAAAGCAGGGATCGAACCCGGGTGGGAAGCCAGCAACTAACCGCTTGAGCTATGGCGCGGCCATGTTAGTACAAACCTACCAAACTGCACGACGTCACGTCCCCAAAAGACTGCAGTTTTACTTAGCTTATAGGTGTGAATTCCGATGGAGGTGCTCACGGCCCGGCTCCCACATACTGCACTACGTGTCACGTCTCACAAGGGAATGGTTTGATCCGACATGGCGAAACCTGCCCTGATTTTCTTTTTCACTGCAAGAGTACACACAACAAAATCCACTGTCAGAATTTTAGCTGCTAATGCGCACTACAAGTATTTTTTAAAAAATGCCGAAGTTACTCATTTTTTCTGTACCCGGAACCGCTTCTACCAGAGGTTTGTACAGCCCCAGCCTAGGCTGTGAGTCAGCCGTGTTGCGTACTGCTCTGCTCTGCTCTGCTCTGCTCTGCTAGGGGTGGAGATTTCTCCAAGGGTCTGGCAGGCTACAATATTGGTCATGTTCATCAATTTTTAAAAAATATTTGCAGTGCGTATTATCAGCTAAAATTTTGACAGTGGATTTTGTTGTGTGTACTCCTGCAGTGAAAAAAAAAGAAAAGAAATCATGGCAGTTTTCGACATGTCGGACCAGACCATTCCCTTGTCAGGCGTTGTGGGATTTGTGGTGGACAGTGTGGCACTGAGGCAGGTTCTCATCTGGCCTGGTGCAGTGACCCCACGAGCGGTTAAGCGACTCGGTACCTCACAGATCAGGAAACCAAACACACAGCATCCCAAAACAGACGACAAGAAGGGAGTCTTCGGTACTGTCGAAATCTCACGGCGCTATGGCTTGCAGTTGGTTCAGTTGGCGTGGGTATATGCAACACGTCAAAGAAATCGTATCACAACTGCGCTTCAGTTAACTGAACGAGCCACGACATGCCATTACACCGTCATGGCATTTCTGTGTCTTGATTCAAGAAAGTTGCGTGTCTCGGTTGTAATTTTTTTATAAACGTAACGCGTTATTCCTGCTCTTGCCTCACATTAACGCAGACCGCAGCGTTCATAGCTCTACTGCGCAGCCGCGCGGTGACGTAATGGGGGACGTTTCCTTTCTTCCTCCTACTTTGACATTACTCTTCGACCCTGAAGATGGACACGGTACTCACCTCCGAAATATCTGTAAAGTTATGCGAGACTACACGGCATCATATTCCAGAAGATTACCCTTTGTTGTCAGGTAGTGCCCCTGCTGTTCGGTGATACATCTGTTATTTTGAATAGAACATAAATTGAATTTAGGTTGCAGCACGTCAGTGGCCCTTACTGAGCCCGTGAGATGTAACGGGGGCCGGTATGGAGTGATGTTACTTATTAGCCGGGTCTGGTGTTGGGAATTTACAGACACGCCATCGTGTTTTGGTTTGGTGGTATTGTGTTTTCTTAACCCTTAGGAGCCCGAAGTGATTCCAGATGAGGTATAAAAATTTTCTTCCCCATAGAAACATAATTCGTTACCCTTACAACAAATATCGACTGGTTAATTCTGTGTAGGGAGATAACGCTTGTTTATTGTAGGAGTCACACGAAAGATACGATTGTACGACATGAGAAAGATTCCTGGATATTCATATTAAAACTAGTGATATCATATATATCTATATAAATAAAAATGTAAATGTTCGTTTGTTCAAATTCTTAAATCTCCGAAAGTTCTTCGCCGATTGCTTTGAAATTTTGACACAACGTTGCATTCGAATACGCGCGTGTGTGTGTATATATATATATAAAATTTATTTATTTATTTGGAAGTAGGGATGAGACTGATTCCACTGGGTACGTCGGCCACGACTGGCCTAGTGTACCAGCCCCGGATGGTGATGATGATGATGATGATGATGATGATGATGAGTGTGGAGCAGTCTGTGGAATGAGAATTGGCAAGGGAAACTGAAGTATTCGGAGGAAACCTGCCCATGTGCCATTTCGTTCACTACAAATTCCACATCACCTGACCTGGGATCGAACCCGGGCCGCCGCGGTGGGAAGCCTGCAACTAACTGGCTGAGCCATGGCACAGCCTAATGGCACCGCTGTATTGAATGGTGTCTGTGGCCTTCTTATTTAACAGAATAATTCCTAAAATTACTTACTGAGTTCGAAATCCAGCGAACTGTGAATACTGCTCTCATTTAACGTCTTTCACCTGCGTTGGTCATGTAGCGTCGTTTGTTAGGATGGGTGTGAATGATGCATTAGAGGCGAAGAGTGTGTTGCAGGGAATAAAAAACTCCGTGGTTTTAGTCAGCAAGCGAACTATACCGACTGAGCGACCACCGCTTGTCGGCGTAGTTAGTGACAACTTTAGCGGATAGAGGGTGTCGCGTGGTCAGCGCAACGGATCCCCACGGCCGTTAATCTCTGTTTTCTAGATCGGAGCCGCTGTTTCCTTCAGATAGCTCAATTATCCTCCCAAGGCTGAGTGAACACCGTTCCAGACCCACTACTTCTCAGAAAATCTGGTAGCGCCCGGAATTCAACCCGGACCTCTGGATCTGTAGCCAGGAACTCTGACCACTAGGCCACAGAGGCGGTCGGGAATAACAAATACCACGAAGAAATCAGATCAAGATATGTCCCAGATTTTTGAATCCTGAATCTTATCTTTATTGTCTTAATATGAAGTAAGAGTCATCACACAACCCGCAAAGAATTCGGTGTTTCGTAATGGGTCCCCCAAACAGACAAAAGTTTTGCCTCATGGAATTGTGTATTTTGTGCACAAGATTTACTTACCGCTGTATGTAAATTCATTATAAGGCTCTTTAACTGAAGTTCACGTCACAGATGGTCGTTCACTGACCAACCGAATTCAACTAAGATCATGGTTTCTTCTTGCCACGCATTTATACGCTCGTGTGCTGAACATTCGAGCGTCACTATCGCAGGAATCGGTGATAATTACTTTAAGAATGAAGTGTAAATATATTTGCGAGTTTGTGTTAGTGACGCGGCTCTTAAGACTAATTGAATATATAACGTCTGTTAAGAGACATCACCTCGACAACCGAACACATTGCTTTCGTAATAATATTGACACAGACGTCAATATTGGTCTTGAAGGGAACTCCTCGGTTAGTACTTTCTTGCTGGAACGTATTCGCATTCAGATATTCTTCATATTTCCACACAGCATATTTATGTGTTCCATATGGTTCTCACAGTAAACAGCGACTGTTTCCCTAAACAGCATTAACCGGTTGGGCTTTGTAACGGAGACATAACGTGTTTACTGTGAGGTACGAACTGAACTCTGCATTCTGCCCACACAGTGTATTTGTGTATTCTGTATGGTTCTCGTAGTAAACAGCGACTGTTTCCCTAAACAGCATTAACCGGTTGGGCTTTGTAGCGGAGGCGTAATGTGTTTCCTGTGAGGTACGGACTGAACTCTGCATTCTGCCCACACAGTGTATTTGTGTATTCTGTATGGTTCTCGTAGTAAACAGCGACTGTTTCCCTAAACAGCATTAACCGGTTGGGCTTTGTAGCGGAGGCGTAATGTGTTTCCTGTGAGGCACCCACTGAACTGTGTATTCTGCCCACACGGTGTATTTATGTGTTCCATATGGTTCTCGCAGTAAACAGCGACTGTTTCCCTAAACAGCATTAACCGGTTGGGCTTTGTAGCAGAGACGTAATGTGTTTCCTGTGAGACACGAACTGAACTCTGCATTCTGCCCACACAGTGTATTTATGTGTTCCGTATGGTTCTCACAGTAAACAGCGACTGTTTCCCTAAACAGCATTAACCGGTTGGGCTTTGTAGCGGAGACGTAATGTGTTCCCTGTGAGGTACTAACTGGGTTTGTATATATTACGTAAATCAGCTTCGACTTCAAATGGCTAATGTGCGAGGGAGAGTCAGTAAATAGGTCAGAAATGGTTATTAAACGTAAAGCATGTGATATTCGACCCTAAAAGAACATTTACTTCTCGACATATCCTCAGCCAACACTGATGCAGTTGTCCCATCGTTTTACCAGTGCTTAGAAACCCGCAGCGTAGTAGTATTTGACTGTTGTCTCAGCCAATTCCGCTCCTCTGTTTCATCATCTGCGACTTTAATCGTCCTTGAGAGAATTTCACGACCGGATTGTGAACCGCTTTATGCGACAAACTTCCCACCGTAAACTGAAAGCATTTCTTTGTTGATATTCTTTGCATTGAACTCTTCTGCCCACAAAATGGTGCAACAGAACGCTGCTCTTTAGTAGCAAACTCCTTAAGCATGGTCACCATTTAGACTACTGAAACCACCCTGTGAACGTGCGCATGCGCGTTTGCTACCTAGACTGTTATGAAGCTGAACTGTGCTGCTATCTAATGATACATATAGGAAACCTATTACGTCCTTTACACCTGTTTTACTTCCATTTGTGATATACTTACTGAATCTTTCGCATATTTGTTTCTGATTGCTTCGTAGTCAAAATAATACATGCCTACAATTGTTTCTGGCCGAAAGACGGAGCCCTAAGCCAAAAAATTGAGAGAATGTGATACTGTGCTGCCTGGTCAGAGCTATCACACACCTCAGTACGCGGTAACAGATGATTGTCGAGCAATGATGGAATGGTGATTTACGGGGGAAACAGAAGGAAGTTAGAGAGCCCCGTTTCATTGCCACGTCTTCCACCACGATTGTTACATGAAAAAGTTACCCGGATTGAAACCAAGGCCCATGGGGTGAGAAGTGTCTGTCCTGAGCCGAATTAAACCTGAAATATTGCTTCTGCCTTTGGTGTGGTTGAATTAGAATTCTGTATTATCAGGATCATGATGGTCAAGATTCATGTTGTTGTGGTCTTTTATGGAATGTGGTAAGTGGATATCAAGTTTCGATGGGAAGTCTTATCTCCAGCTTCAGGATAGAATAAATTTCGAGGCAGTGTGTGCCACTTCAGCGTTGCTAGCGCACAGACAGCCCACAGACACCGACGCGGCAGATCGCCGGACAACCATAAGCTGCCTCTAAGACTCACGCCTGCCGACCTTTCACTGTTATGTAATAGAGTGCATGTAAATAAGACTTAACTTTCTTCGAATCCGTAACAGACAGGTTCTCAGATATGTGAAAACACCGTGCACAGAGTGGAACTTTCACAGGAGTGATCATCTCCTTCCGTAGACGTTTCCATTTTGTGTGAATCGCCTAGCAACCAAGCCTCATCCGCATCTATCGCTGTCTTCCAGAAGCTCCATCTGCGCAGTTTGTTCTCCTGTTCTTCCTGCCTTCTGTGTGGCATATTTTCTAACTTATTCCCATCTACATCTCGGTCTTTCTGTTGGGTGTTTTCCTTTTAAATTCATGTACATAGCCTTGTTTGGATTATGTCGTGTTTATGCTTAGAACGTGACCATACCGTCTTATCGAAAAACGTAAAGCTACCCTGTAACGGGCCATGGAGGCCCATAGGGTTCTGAGACGTCTAGGCTTCCACATTTTCTAGACATTCAGCCCACAGATGGCAGCGAGGTTGTCAGCCCTACGCGCCGGCCGCTCTTTACTCCCCATGAAGATTCCTGTTAATCATTTCCGTTAGAGGCTGAGTCAACCCCGTGGCCATAGTGTGGCTGGAAAGATTAGGTCAATTTAAAAATGTAACGACTCCATCTGGAATCGAACCCGCTACCTTCCGGTTTGTAGCATAGTGCTACCGCGTGCCACCATACCATCTTGTTCTGTTGTTTATTTTGCTTCCAGAAAACACATAATTGCAGTCTGCAGCCAAAATGTACAGCTTTTGTTGTTAAAATATTATGGTACATACTGTAATGATCGTGCTTTGAAGGATGAAGTTCCTGTAAGGATATTGTTCTCGTCACTAACTCGTGTGAAGTGTTGTAGATCTGTGGTTGTTGTCAGGAGAATTTTGATTTTGTATGTTGTTGAAATTTCACTCTTTCGCTAATATTTTCTTTTGCAATTAATGGTGGCTCTTAAAGTTTTGTTGGACCTTCGGATGGTTATGAATGATGAGTCAAGAATTATTGTATTTTAATGAATGATTAAAGCCTTTCTGCACGAAGAACCCAAAGTAGACTCATAATAATTCATAAAGCATTATCAAGTTTACATATTTGGTATCTGTAAAGCCTGTGCCTTGCTGCAGAAATGGGAAACCAATCTGTTGAAACTAATACCACATTTTTCTTCTTCCTCAGATGCTATTAGCGAAAACAACCCTCGTCTCATTGATGACTCGAGGGCAAGAAAATTGGCCACTGATCTGAAGCGTTGCTCGTACTACGAAACATGTGCCACTTATGGCCTCAATGTAGAGAGAGTCTTCCAGGATGGTGAGTGTTATTGCAGACTTTCCTGTTCTTTATTTCATTTCCTGTACCACCAGAGTCAGTTCGTGTTGTACGGCTTATTGTGAATTACTCACTTTACATCACTTCACACATTGTATCGTGTTATAAAGCTATCATTTGTAAGTCCTGGAGGCTGCATACATGCTCAGATTGTATTGAAGTGTGTCAAGTGTTTTGTTATTATAATGCGAAATCTTGTGTTTTTAATATTCTTTTTTCTATTCTGTGAGTTATTGTTTTGTGTTATGTTGTAATGTATGAAGTCTCGTGTCGTATTGTGTTTTATTTAATTGTATTGTGTGAGACGCTGCTATAATGTGTTTGAGGTTTTGTATTATGTTGTGATATGTGGGGTACTGTACTGTTTTGGTTCGTTTGAGGTCTTGTTTTTCTTATGATTGGCTTCAGTTGGTTACAGATCAGATGCATTTAGTTGAGTCATTTTAATTCCAGTTAAAAACGTGATCCTTTAAATTAATTAAATTTGACCGTGGTAGTTAATTTTCACTGTGAATACTTACCAGCTTTATATTGATGCTAATTAAAGTGTAGGTTATTCAAAGTACAGTAAGACAATGCAAATCAGTGGCGTTATTGAATGTTATTACTTTTACATGAAGTTCAGTTGACTTCCAAAAATAGAATACCAGTAACATTATCAATTAATAAAGTGAAGGACGAAAAAAATCCTTTTGTTTCTAACCGGGATTGTTTCAGTTCTTCTAGCATCAGTTTTGTTTTGTACAGGCTGATGGATGAAAAGGTCCATGATCTTGATTTCTTGCCAGCTCCTTCCTATTGCCTGGCTGAGCCATCTTGTTTTCTATTATCCCATGTGTCTCTTTCCTTTCTGTGCAAATTCTAAATGTTTTCTTGGTACTCTTGTTCTGTCCATTCCTTTTATATTTTCAAACACTAAATGAGTAGCTTTGTCTTTGGGATATAACGTCTTGTACTCCAATTTTATGCCACAAAATAGAACCCTTCGTAATCACGGCTGTAAGAACTTCAGATCGTAAATATTATTTTCTCTTCTGACTGCTAACAAATTTTGGATTCCATCTTGTACTCAGAAGATTTCATTTGTAGCTCCTCCCCTCTTTCATATTGTACCTTCCCCCCCCCTCCAAATTATTTGAAGTTGCCCTGGCACGTTGTAACGGACTTTTTAATGGCCAAGAATCTCCATTCTGAGTATACTCCTTGTGACCCTTGTCTCCGGCTTCTTGCCTTGAACGTCGCGATCTCCAAGCTGGTGTCAGGCACCTGAATGCAGTGACTGCCGCACAGTTGTCAGGAAACCTTCAGCACGATGATATGATATCTCGAGGTGAAGGCTGTATATTAAATAGGATCAGATTTTCCGTCCAGTTTTCGTTTTCACAGACTGTTGCTGGGCATTGCTATACGTATCTTCACTTTTACTGAGTGCTCCCAGAATTGATATTCTTGTCTTTTATATGTCCAGGAAGTGGGGGGGGCACGTCGTAGCGTAGTTGGTCGAATAACAATGTTATAAGCTGGAAGGTTGTTAGTTCCATTCCCGGCGAGATTATTGGATTTTCAATTGACCTAATCCTTCCAGCCGCACTATGGCCCTGGGGTCGACACAGCCTCTAAATTAAATGAGTACCAGGANGGGGTAAAGGGTGGCCGGCGCTTGAGCTTTTCAACCTACGCCGTCTGTGAATCGATTGTCTAGAAAATGTTGGAGCCTCGACGTCTCAACCCTATGGGCCTCCACGACCTGCTACAGGGATAGCCTTACTTAACCTCACCGCCAGAGCGGCCTCCGTAGTCTAGAGGTAACGTTCCCACCTCATGACTCGTAGTACGCTGGTTCAAATACCCGGTGGAGGTCGTCGAATTTTTAAGGGCGGAAAAATTCACGGAACAAGTCCTCCGGGAGGGACTTTAAGCCGTGGGTCCCGTGTCGTAGCTTTACGGCACGTAAAAGAAACTCATATCTCCAAAGGAGGTCACTGAGCCAAATTACGGACGTTTCCCGCCCAACAGCAGTCTCCAATACCTCTGGTAGATGGGGGAAGCATTATAGATACCTCTCAGCTAGTAGAGCCGGTCTCGCTGGCTGGGCGGGACTGATGGTAAGCACCAGTACCGGTAGGATATAGAGACTGGTAGAATATCATAAGAGGGAAGTACAATGGACAAAGACAGGTCTCAGTGCATGAGGAAACCCACCCTCTCTAATAACTAACTAACTAACTAACTAACTAACTAACCTCACCGCCATCTGTGAGCCGATTGTCTCCAAAATGTGGGAGCCTCGACGTTTCACAACCCTGTGGTTCTCCTTTTCCCCTTACAGGGATAGCTTTACCTTCCCCCCCCCTTTATTTTTTATGCCCACACAGCATAAATGCGTCTTTTTCTTTCGTCTTGATCAAGGGAGGAAAGAGATAACTTACATGACCGAGGCATGGATCGTAAAGAAATACTGTGAGACGAAGACTGAACTTGTTTGGCTCCGGGTAGGGTTCAGCGACAGGCTTTCGTGAACACAGTAATGAACTTTGAAGTTCCATTAAGCTCCGAGACTTTCTTGACCAGATGTGAACTCTAAACACACGTGTACGTACAGTTGTGTGTCAGGATATGCAAATTGAAGTCGCACCTTCAGTCTCGGTGCTTTGTGATTGAATTTTGTGAAGTGTTTCAAGGATCGGCTGTACATGCTGCTGAGTGTCTGTTGGCAGGGTCGGAGAACCAGGTTCAGGTTGATATAATATTCCAGACTTGTACCCCTGCCCTGTATCTAGAATGTTGTCTTACTTGAGGTTGTTTTCGTTTGATTACTTCATCCTTCTCTAATGTTGATATGCATTTTTCTTTTCAGCGTGTCAGAAAATTGTACAACAGAGGTTATCAACCTCAACGTCATGCCTAACGCCAACAAACTCACGGCCATCAACACCCAATAATCATTTCTCTGCAGTGGTAGGAGGTGCATCAAGGCACCATCAGCCAGCACCATCTCCTACCAACAATGGGTTCCTTGGCAGTGGTACTACAACAACCACCAGTAGTTCATCTCCCCATACATCAGGTGGTTCTCCTGCCAGCAATGTTATGGTGGGAAATGCATCACCCAGTCACACACAAACACTCAGTCACAAGGTAGGTGAGTGTGTATGTATATTGTGTTGTTCAGGACACTAAACAGGTAAAAGATAAAACTATCCTTGTAAGGGCTGAGAGGCCTATAGGGTTGTGGGATGTAGAGGCTCCCACATTTTCTAGACAGTCTGCTCACAGATGATGGTGACATTGTCGGTCTTACATGTCGGCCGCCCTTTACCCCAAGGAAGATTCCTGGTACTCATTTCTGTTAGAGGCTGAGTCGACCCCAGGGCCACAGTTCGGCTGGAAGGACTAGGTAAATTGAAAAAAAAAAAATCCAATGACTTTATCAGGAATCGAACCTGCGACCTTCCGGCTTGTATCATAGTGCCTGAACCAACTACGGTGCCGCATACCCACTAGTAAATGCGTACAGTGACACCCATGAGGTGGGTGTGTATTGCGTTCAAGTAAGTGTTCCTCAGTTGAAGAGCTGGCTGGTGGGTGGTTGTCCGGGAGAGTTGAATGCCACACAGCCTGGCCAGGTTGTGGAAGAGTTGAGATTCAAACTGACGACCCTGGCCGGGCAACCGAAGCGTAGGGTAGGGCGCGTGCCACGGTGTCGGCTGTTATGTCCGGGCCAGCGGCTGCAGTGAAGCGGTATGTGTAGCCTGCTGACATCGGAAGGGGCGGTGTAATGTCGTCCCAATGGCGTGACTGTGTCGTGGGACTTTGGAGCGCTGGCAGAACTGGCAAGCCCTTACGCAGATGCGGCGATCCTTCTGCACGGCCGGCCACACAAAACGCTATGCGACCAGTTTCGCCGTTGCTTTTGGTGCCTGGGTGCGACAGGTCATGGAACGGGCTGGAATGTACGGCCGAGGTTTCCCGGCATAGGTATCGCAGTAGATGGAGACCGAGGTACCGGGGATTGGGAGTCTCTCAAGCCGCAGGGCGGTGGTTGAACCCAGGAGTGTTCGGAGTTCGCCGTCGCTGTCCTGCGATGGGCCAGTGCGTCCGTCATAGGATAGTGGCGCAGTGACGGACTCGACGCAAGAGACGGCGCCGGTGAAAACGCTGTCCTGTCCAGAGAAGTGGCAGATGTCTGTCGTGAACTGGGCGACAAAGTAACTGAACGATTGAACTGCCGCAGCGATAATTTGTCCCGCTTCTGCTGGAAGGCGTACGTGATGCTACTAGCAGACTCGCTTTTGCGTTCTCTTGATCCAAGTGTAGTTCTGGCTGATACGACTCACGCTAGCGTGTCCTATGCTTTTGACACTGGGCGGCGCGCAAGCCAATGGGCGTTGGATCTGCCATGTTGAGCGCTGATTGGGTAGCGCTCGTTTCACTGGGAAGCTCTCACAGCTGTTAATTCGAAACGCAGATTTTGCGTTAATGAGTATCTTGGTGTGATTTTAATCCACAGTCCCCAGTCTTTTTTAATTACCTGAGTAAACTTTAACTTTTTACTTTGAGTGTTATTCCTACTTCAGAGTTTCGGCTACTGTGTACTATGGTATGGACAAGGAAAGGAACCTTATCACGAACAAACAACGGGTACTTCTGCCGTATATGCCGTACAAAGAAGAAGTTCAGTCTGCCATAAGAAATTACGGCCATCTTGAAATTTGGTCATGAAGTCAAACGTCTGTGTAGTGTTCTTCCCTCTCAGTGTAATGTAAGAACGTATTTATATGACGTTCTTAGATACATTAAGATTTTTAAATTATGTAATGTTGTAAGATCCATTTGTTTACAGGAAGCCTCTAGTTTGAGCGGTGGCCGCCAGGTTCACACGTTGTCATCTTCCAATCATCACATACACCGACACCAGCAGGACACAAACAAATTGGACTCCACAGACAAATGGGGAAGCAATACTCACGTTTCTGGTACAACTCCATCTTCTGGAGCTGCCATCGACAACAATAATGTTCTGACTAAATTCGTCCCACCTCAGAACTTTGACAACTTGCCCCCACCTCAGCCTCCAGGCTCCAAAGATAAGGACCTCCCCACACCGAGCTCCACACCGACAACTTCTAGGTAAGCATGGGTGGGTTTCAGTAACAGAAAGAAAAAGAAGTGATTCTTCAAAACTCAGTGTCAGGGTCAAGAAGACTAAGGCAAGCAAGGGACTCATACGAGGACCCTCTGCTAAAAGAGCGAAGGAACTGTTGAAGTTAAGCAGGAACCAGCTGTGATGGGTAGTGGGACTACTACTTACTGTCACTTTAAAGGACACCTCTTCAAACTGGGACTAAGTAATAGTCCCACTTGTGAGAGGTGTCAAGAAGAAAATGAAACAGTCACACATATCCTGTGCGAATGTGAGACCTTAACTTATTTAAGATTATGTCACTTGGGTCAATACTTTATGGAACCAAGTGACTATTTCGATGCCCCCATGTACAAATGAAGGGCAGGATTGCTGAGGGGATAATCAAAAGGGGAAGCACAATAGACCGCTGTAGGTCGCGGTGCAAGGGCTGAGAAGACCCACCCCTTATATATTCATTCATTCATAGGGTCAAGAATATTGCAATGAAATGATCTTTCATCACTCCTCAAGGTTGGAGGCCTCTAGAATAAGGTTCTATGTAGTTTGGTAGATGTGTCAGCATTTCACAGTAACCCACTGCCTCCATTTTCAAGGTAAATTATTCTAACATGAGATGAAAGCGGTATTTTCCTTCATAATGTTCATATTTATCTACCAACTCACATATAATCGCATCTCAGAAGACACAGTTTGGTATGAGTGCTGTGAGAACCTTATTTCCCACATTCCTTCACTATTACTTGTCCCCTGTTGTACAGAACATGGCGAGAAGCAGTGGATGTGCTTTGTGAAAGTTGTATTGTGTGAACTGAATTGATGTCCACTCCTTCATAGTTATATCAGTGATTTACAAACATTATCCAAGTATCTATCTCTGAACTGAACTTATGCTTATTCATACATATGATTAGTTACTATGTTTTATGCTCTCGTCTGCTGTCTAAAAACATAAAAATTATATTTTACAAAACTGTAATTTTGCCTGTGGTTCTGTATGGGTGTGAAACCTGGTCTCTGACTTTAAGGGAGGAACACTGACTGAGGGTGTTTGAGAACAGAGTGCTAAGGTGAATGTTTGGGCTAAAGAGAGATGAAGTGACAAGAGGTTGGAGAATGAGGAGCTTCATAACTTGTACTGTTCTTCAAGTACAAGTCATGGAGGATGAGGTGGGCAGGTCATGCAGCACGAATGGGGGAGAAGAGGAATACATACAGGATGTAGTGTGCATAAAGAAGGATACAGATACAGATTTTATTGAACTCGTGAAAAATAAATTATAAAGAAAGAATTACGAAGGAAAATTGTCATGAACATAGAGCTGGGATAGCTTAGTCAGTATAGTAACTGGCTACAGGCTGGATGACCGAGGGGTCGGAGTTTCAGTCCCGGTAGGGTCAAGAATTTTCTCTTCTTCACATCAGCCAGACCAGCTCTGGGGCCCACCCAGCCCCCTATCCAGCAGATACCAGAGGTTAAATGACTAGGGGTGTGAAGCTGACCACTGACCTCCAACTAGTGCTGAGGTCAAGGAAGTGTGGATCTATATATCCACTCCTGCATACATCTTCATGGTGTAGTGCTTCATGAGTTAAGCACAGGAACAAATTTACCTTTTATTTTAACTTAATTTTAAGAAAGATTTGCAGTTTTGAAGGCAAAATTTGCAAGATAAAAATACGTTGTTTTTATTGCAAATAACACATACCCTTTGGAACACTAAGACAAAAAGTTTTTGTAATTTACGGTGTTTAAGTCTACAACTAACAACTTGTGTTGTAAACAACAATGTGACCTTCTCCCGGTTGTAAACATTGGCCAGTGGAGGGGGAATAGCAGAGAGTTGAGAGGGACTGTATAAGTACTACCTGATGATGGCCAAGAATAGTGGCTGAAACATGTTGTAATGTAGAAACTGTAAAGTTGTGAGACTGGAAGTGAAGAAAGTAGTCTGCACACAATATGGCGGTAAAATACAATATTACTGATTGCATGAAATCGTGGGAACCTACGGCACACATTCATTCGTACAGGCTTCTAAAGCATCACCAGCAATGATCAGTGTAATCAGCTTTGTTCATGTGTAACTGCTAAAAAAAATGCAAATTTTTCTTCTTAATTATTTCTTTATAATCTATTGTGAGACTGAAACTGAATGAAATATTCATATAATTTGTGTTCAGGAAAAGCCGCAGAAGATCAAACCTGTTCACACCATCAAAGAAAGGAGATGATAAAATGAAGAACGGGGAGTTGGGCAGTGGCCGAGCGATACCCATCAAACAGGGCTACCTCTACAAGCGGAGCAGCAAGGCTCTCAACAAGGACTGGAAGAAGAAATATGTGACTCTCTGTGACGATGGTCGCCTCACATACCATCCCAGTCTGCACGTGAGTTCCATGCAGTCAGCATGTGGTGGGCAACTGGGTAGCAAATCTTGAACAAAGTCTAGCCATTGTGACTTAAGTTCTTCATGGTTTTTCTCAGTCCCTTGGGGCAAATTCTGGGATAGCATTTCAAGTTAGGGTTAGGCTGTGTCCTTCCACATCCCTTTCATTAAGATTATTCACAGTTCATCCTGTGATTTGACACCGTTTAGTCCATTTCATTTCATGATGTTAAACAGTAAACACTCCAGCGTGTGGTAATAACTAGCCCGTGTACAGTGAATGGCTGCAGGACCATGTCATGAGTCTGAGTCAGCGTATTCCGGGTAGTAGTAGCTTTTTCTATATTTAAATAGGCTTCCAAAGCCATGAATTGTGCCATATGAAGAATAGATCATGGGGTTACCAATTGATATAAAAGTATAGAATGTGAAATGTTTATCTCTTCGTGTTCTGAGTTAAACTGGTTGCGTTACCTGAAGGGATCTGATGGTTCTTGACTAGACAGAGAGAAGCATTACAGCCGTTTGGAAAGTGAAAACTTGCGTATGCAGTTTGAATTCATGCCAACTTACTTAGGCATATTTACATGTGTGTAGATGCTAATGTGTATATAAACGGTAAGCAGAAACTTATATTTGTGTCTTGAAACTGTAGAGGCGCCTACGATGCTGTTTTGATAAACATGTTTTCATATATTCCAAGGTGTTTTTGTGAGCCCAGACCACTGGTTTTGTCATGAGGTTTGAGGTCCTCATGGCTGTGAATGTGAAAAGTACTGTCTTCTGCGATGTTCGTCTGGTAGGTGTTTAGAGACCGTCAGAGAAATGTGCTGCCCCTCTCTGGGGTCAAAGATTAATAAGTCAAGTAAGCAGGAGTAGAGCAGTTATGTTAAGGTTCTCCCGGAGATCCTCAGTGACCACATACAAACATGTACACACAGGTGTGGAGGCATGGAAATACAGGTAATTGAATTAAGTGTGAGGGCCGCTTGACAGCTAACAATAGCCGTCTGAAACTGAAAATAACCACTCCCTCTATACACAATATTGACCATGCCTTGTGCTACATGGTTATTTCAACATGCTCACATATGTAAGATTTGAGGTTTTCACAGTGGTGACCATGAAGGATGCCATCTTCTGGGATGTGGCACTGCGTAGATCCTGTCTGAACCACCGTTTCGGAGGAACATATCGCCTCCATCTTCAGGATAGAAGCAGCCACCTGCTCATGCTGGTTTCACTTCCGGATTTTTCTACTCTGAAAATGGAGGCATACGGTCCTCCGAAACATCGCTTCGCACAAGATCTGCACGGCGCCATATCCCAGAAGATGTCATTCTTCATGCTCACATGGATCCCCATTTTCTACGAGCCCAAACAAATGTACATCAAGCTAAATGCTTCGTTCATTGTTCAGGTTATGCAATGCTGAGCGACATGTGGCTAATTAAATATTAAAAAGTGAGAAGGAATGGATAGAAATGCTTGCTGCTCTACTCTCAGTACATGTCTTTCACCAGGAGTGACTGGAGAAAACCACAAAGTCTCTGTGAACCATGTTACATGTTACATTAATAGAGACAGAAATTCCCTGGTGGAATTTCACAGAACTCTGAATAAATGATCTGTTTATGAAGGAAGTGAGTGAGCGGCAAGTTCAGACACACAAATGAAATCTAACATTGTCATTTTGATTGAGAATTTACAGAGGTAAAAACAAAATGTTAATTTTACTTTTTTTTTTTTTAATTTGTAGGTTATTTAACAGTGTTGTCAGTAGCTGAGACTGTATAACACTGAATGTTATTTGATTAGAGATAATTTGTTTAAAAATATGTCGAAGGAAGAGGCCATATCCTAGCATTTGCCTGGAAGGACTGAGATAAGTGTGAAAATTCTTTTGAGACAGGATAGTTGGAGTCTCAAATGAGACTCAAACCTGACACCTCTCAGAGCATTACTACAATACCCCAGTTCCTACACATGACAGTTTTAATATCATTACAGCTCACTTTTGTCAGTTTACTTTGTTTGGTAATACACTTTGCTTAAAGCATTGATAAAAAGTTGCTTTTTGTTTTTACATTTGTTCTTATGATGCTGAGGGTGAAGGGTAAGGATTCATTGGTAGTGCTTGTTCTCACTGCACTGATACGGTCCAAGTATCTTACAGGTGTAATTTGTGCAAAATTGAATGGCACCCTTGGGTAGCTGCAGGGCAGTTGAATCAGCATGCCACCACAAAGAAAGACAACTGATCATTTGTTTTCCGGCACATTCTCTAAAGAGAAGATATTCAGTTGATGGGATGGTTGCCAAAATCAGTGACTATTGCATCAGCAACTCACAAACATGAATGAATATATGGTATATGACCCGGGATAGCGTAGTCAGTATAGTGACTGGCTACAGGCTGGACAACAGAGGGATCGGAGTTTGAGTCATGATAGGGTCAAGAATTTTCTCTTCTCCCAGGCATCCAGACTGACTTTGGGGTCCACCCAACCTCCTCTCCAGTGGGTACCATGGACTCTTTCCCCTGGGCATGAAGCTGACCACTCACTTTCAGCTAGTGCTGAGATCAAGAAAACGTGGGTCTATACATACAGTCCCCCATACACCTACATGGCATAATGCTTAATTAGTTAAGCACAGGGATAACTTTCTTCTCCTTCTTTCCTTGGCACTACAGCCCCAGTGGGCCTAGGCCTACCTCCATGAACTCCGTTCACTTTGGTTTTTCTAGATCTTACACATACGGTAGGACTCCTTGGGCGAGTGATCAGCTCGTCGCAAGGCCTCTACCTGTACACAAACAGAAAAACGCACACAAACATCCATGCCCTGAGTGAGATTCAAACCCACAATCTTGGCTTCCGAGTGAGCGAAGACAGTGCATGCCAGGGACAACTTTACCTATATATATATATATATATACACACACATATCACACAACAATATGTATATATATGTTCTTTTTCTTTTCACTGAAAATCCAAGAGGGAGGGAGCAGATCCCCCCCAGTAACGTCCATGCTGGCATCAGTTATACAAATTGGTTTTATTTATATTTTAATGATATGAAATATGTAACGTTTTACCATGAAGAAGAAGGGCAGTCACAGCACTGAAGCGGTAAAGTTAAAAAAATTGTATCTGTCCGCCAGCGTTCATTGAATGAGTGTACCAGCTTATTGCACTCTGTTTTGCCCTCAAGTTTGAATATGTTGCTTTTATGGCAGGACTATATGGACGATGTTCATGGGAAGGAGATTTCGCTGCAGTATGTGACAGTGAAGGTGCCTGGACAAAAACCCCGTGGTTCGAAGTCTATCATGGGTGGTGCGACGGCTGGTAACAATGGTATAAGTGATGGCCTCGCAAGTCTCACCATCACAAGTGAGTACACTACAGTTCCAATGTGACAGATCATGAATGATCGGCTATCCTAATACTTGTACTCAATAGCATGAAAGGAAACTATAACATAGAGTAGAAGTGGTAATAGTAACAAGAATGATGACAAATAATATGCATAATTAAATAGATTGGTAAATTTTACATTTCAAACTAAAATTATAAGTATGCGATTTTAAAGGATTTTATTGAAAATGTAAAATTGTGTTGACAGTTTTGATAAATCTTGTCATGTAATATGAATATGAAGTCCTTGAAGATGGCAAAACAAAGGAAAAATATACAGTAATCCAAGTTAATGTGGAAATTATCTTGATTAATCAATAATCCAGAGTAATGAAGCAAAATATAGCCCTAAAAGATGGAAAACAAATAAATTCAAATTTAATAATGTAAGTAGTGCTGATGAAAATAAATAAAAAAAAACACTGCAGCAATTTCTTCCTCTGCCAGAAGCTGAAATCCAGGGTTTCCTTCATCCAGCTCAAGCCAATCTTGGATATTTGCTTGCTTGGTTTCAGTCTCTCCAGCTGCCCTCAACGCAGTCTGAAAGTCCTCTGTCTCCTAAATGTTATGTGTCTTTTAAAGTACGTGCTTAACTTTGAACAGAATATTTCATTTTGCTCATATTTCGATACAGATTAACTGTAAGTGGATTACCAAGGGTTTACTATATGGAATGGTATGATAATATAGATGATATTTATTATGACCCAGTCTACACAGCACTGTAAGTAAATATTATCTGTAGTGATTTACACAGCACGATGCAACAGAATATAAGTTGTGTATACTGGTGAGTGTATATTTAATACTGAATGATTGTTTTGTTCCACTCAGTGACATCGAATTGCAAGGTCTTAATGTTTCGCAACATACACTTCATCATTATTGTCGTCCATTGTAATGCAGCACATTCATGCAAGTTGGTAACATGGACAGGCCTGCTCTTCTCTGGCTCTCTCACTTTAAAGTAATAAACACATTTAAAAATTTAATTTTTTTATCTCTGCAAAATCGCATATTGTTTTCATGGGTTTTTTTATGATTCTCAGAGTAAGCAGTATAACATTAAGCAGCTGTTTTTGCAATGGAGACGTGGAGTTTTCTGTGAGGTATTTTAAATATTATGCAGAAAACAAGAAGCAGGAGCCGTCCAGATTCATTGGACTCCAAATTTAGCAAGGAGAAGTCATTCGTAGGAAATGGAGATGTGACCTTGATGGATATCAGGCTTAGTAACTGACTCGTGTTTCACGGTGGTTACATAGATGTCATATCTGCTGTACAAACCTCTGCTGACAGAGGACCTCTGCATATGTTATGAAGATATGAAGATATGTATTGTATATTGCTGTACCCACATTCCTCAAAGAGTCTGACAGATTTTTATTTGTTTGTGGTATGTTACACTGCAGTAGAAGTGGTACTCGGTTTTGGTGAGAGACCTCTTGTCATAAAGGGGGCCTCAGTAAACTGTAATTGCCTGTAACATAACATTAAAAAATGGTCACGAGTTGCATGGAACTCGGAGTCAAATACTGCTGTACCCTCTTTCTGGCAGTAAACCACTTCTTCTGCTCTGTTCAGGATTTGAAGGATTGTTAAAATTAGATTCTCAGAACCTGACTAGTACAATTAGTCGTATTTTTAGCTACGTATTTATTAATAAGTTTGTAGAAGAAGAGTTGTTACTTCACAGAGTCTAACACTGCTTGCACTTATTTTGCAGGTTTCCAGGGCAAGGAGAAACGGGTTACAGACAAAGTCCTGCTTACAGCATTTGAACTTCTAAAAGACTCGGGAGCTCGAGTAATTCAGGCTCCAAGGTGAATGTTGTCTACCGCATACAATATTTGTTGTAACATAAAGCAAATAGTGACTGTACTGAGGAAACAAAAATCCTGTGATCTGACATGACACACCACTATCAAGGCCCTTACTTGCTCCCTAGTGGGGGGGTCATCCTGATTAAGTGATAATCCAGATTAGTGAAGCAGAAGGTAACATTAAAAAGACAAAAAAACACGTAAATAAATGAAAAGTTTAATGATATAAGTAAAAGGTAAAAAAGCTATCCCTGTAATAGGCCATGAAGGTCCATAGGTTTGTGAGACATTGAGGCTCCCATATTCTCACTGCACATTTGGCTCACAGATGGCAGTGAGGTTGTCAGCCTTATGCAGCGGCCACCCTTTACCACCCAGGAAGTTTCCTGGTACTCCTTTCTGTTAGAGGCTGAGTGAACCCCAGGGCCATAGTGCAGCTGGAAGGATTAGCTAATTTGAAAAAAAAAAATCCACCTCATCAGGACTTGAACCCGTGACCTTCTAGCTTGTAGCATAGTGCCACAACCACGCTAATGTATGCCCCCATGATATAAAAAAATATCACTCTAAAACCTTTATTTATAAACTATAGAAAGACAGTACATTTATTCATTGATAGAAGGCTCAGAAGTTACACTTGTTTTTGAACATAATAAAGTAGGTTTGATAGAAACTGTCAAGTTTTTGTCTGAACAGATGAGTGACTCATATGTCTTCTAAAGTATGTACTCAGCTGTGGACAACATATTACATACAGGGTTATTCAAAAAAGAATGAACCGATTTCATGACGCATTGCTTCAGTTCTCAAGCATTGTCATGGAATGAGTCAGTGACCATTTGAAAGAGGAGTTATCTAAGTTTGAATGGCTGCCACAGGGGTGCTGAAGTCGCATCGTTCTTCCAGCAACGTTCAGTTGTTTGTTTAACCTCGGAATGGTGAGTCCTCAGCAAAAGGCATTCTGCGTTCTCGAGTTCGCAAAAACAAATTCAGTTGTCACGGTGCAGCGTGCTTTTCGAAGGTTATTCGGCATTAATCTGCCCTGTCCTAAGAACATTCGACGGTGGTTTCGACAGTTTCACAAGAGTGGGTGTGTGTGTAAAGGAAAAAGTCCAGGAGGACCACGAGTCTCGGAGGAACAAGTGGCGAGAATCCGTGCTGCGTTTGAGAGGAGTCTGTGGAAGTCAACAAATCGAGCTAGCCATGAGCTTGCGATCCCTCAATCCACTGTCTGGCGTGTGCTAATAGTATGTCTACATTTGAAACCATACAGACTGCAGCTCGTTCGTGCACTTACCAATGACGACAAAAGGAAGCTAATGGGATTTTGCGATTTGATGCTGGAGATTATGGAAGACGAAACCTTCATTTCACGTTTAATTTTTAGTGATGAAGCGACTTTTCACTTGAGCGCCACAGTCAATCATCACAATGTGCGTATTTGGGGAACAGAGCACCCACATGAAACAGTTGAGCACGAAAGAGATTCCCCTAAGGTGAACGTCTTCTGTGCTATGTCTCAGGACAAGGTTTATGGTCCCTTTTTCTTTGAAGGAAATACCGTTACAGGACAAACCTATCTCGATATGCTCCAAAACTGGCTCTTCACTTCACTGCAAGAAGATTCGCATGACTTCGTTTTTCAACAAGATGGAGCACTGCCCCATTGGCGCCTGATGGTCCGAGCTTTCTTAAAAGAAAAAGTGCCCCAGTGATGGATTGGTCGGAAGGGGGCCCAAGACCTTGCTCTTTGTGCTTGGCGTGTGAGATCCCCAGACCTCACTGTGTGTGATTTCTTCTTGTGGGGATATGTAAAAGATGACGTTTATATTCCATCGCTACCCACTAACCTCGATGACCTTAAACATCGAATAACAACAGTGATTAACTCAGTGCATCGTGATATGCTGATACGCACCTGGGAGGAATTCTCTTATTGCATTGATGTTGCCTGTGCTGCAGGTGGTGTCCACATTGAAAACTTGTAAGACAGGAAATAAAAGTTGATTGTGAGTAGAATACTTGTGACTTGGCTGGAGTTTTGTATTACTTTCCTTTAATAAAATATTGCGTAATAAAATCGGTTCATTCTTTTTGAATAACCCTGTATTTAGATCCTGATTATCTGATGTCTGGATTAACTAACCAGATTAGCAAGGGTTTACTGTATTTGGATGAACTTGTATGTTTCAAAGGGTGGTTAATGATTTCATATAGTCATACAATTATAATCCAGCAGTAACTTATATGGACATTAATGTGTGACAGAACTCACACATGATGTGTAACCACTTAAATATCGCAAGCAACGGGCAGTGACTGACTAATTCTTAGCTGTAATGCATTGTGCAATGATTCCATCTGAGTGTGCTGATTTAATGATGAAGAGCAAACTGCTTTCATCAGTTAGCTAACGGACACTTACTTTGCTGAGCAGAGAGGAACATGCCAGAGGGTGCATGTACTTTGCTTAGCACATAACTGCATTACTCAGCAAGGGGTTGTCATGCTGAGACCAGTGACTCACGCATACACTCTCACTTATACTCTCGTTAAGGAAGAGTTGAGAAAGCATATGAATTGAAGACAAATGAGAAGCGTGGAGGCCAATTAAGGTTGCATGCAAGACAAACATCCAAGACCCTGCTTGATTTGTAGGCACCTCGGGCAGGAGACTACTTACGTCTGAATTATTGTTGTTCTCCCTCTTCTTTCCTCTCCTCCATATTCTTTATCTTGTTCTTTTTCATCTTCTGTTCCTCCAAGGATAAAATCTTCAGGGCTTGTTCCAGGCCTCACTGTTCACCTGACCTCCTTCCTTTAGGTCTCGTGACATATTTTCTTCTCTGAAGTCTACATGCAATATGTTGACCTATTGTTGTCTATCCATTCTACAGGGGCTACCAATTGCCCTCTGTATCTCTCAGTATCCTCGTCTGTGTTAGTTGCACCAAGTTACTCTCTGACTGACTAATTATGCATGTGATCTCTCAGTGTATTTCTGCCTTGCAGAATCAAATCTTTTGTGCCTTGTATCAAAGGATCACAGAAGTGTATCACTTTCTGTGTTATCTGCGTGAAGATTTGTGTGTCTCGCCAGTGTGTGTGAACTGAATAGGAGTAGAGGTCTTGGTACTTGCCTTACTGTGTTGAGCAGAGGCCTTCATGAGGCACTAATAGGAACTCCTGATTGTTCATGATTGTCCTCATAAGAGCACACCACTGGCCTTTATCTTGAGCCAGATAAAGCCAATCCACGGCCATCCATCCCATTTCTTCTAAATCCATTTAATATTACCATTATACCTACAGCTAGACATTCAAACTGATATTCTTTCTCTTTAGGTTTTCACATCAAAACTTTGTTTGCATTACACTTCTCTTTCAAGCATTCTACATATGCCACCCATCTCACTGCCCTTGGTTTCATTGTTTTATACATGTAAAGTTAAAAAAGCTAAAGTTGTCTGTCTGCTTAACTAATTAAGCACTACACCATGAAGGTGTATGGAGGAGTGAATGTATAGATCCACATTTTCTTAACATCAAGCTGGAAGGTCGCAGGTTCATGTACTGATGAGGTCATTGGATTTTTCGGTTGACCTAATCCTTCCAGCTACACTTTGGCCCCTGGGGTCGACTCAGCCTCTAAAGAAATGAGTACCAAGGATCTTCCTGGGGGTAAAGGGCAGCCAGCACATGAGGCTGACAACCTCACCACCATCTGTGATCCAATTGTCAGAAAATGTGCAAGCCTCAACCTCTCACAACCCTGTGGTCCTCCACGGCCTGTTACAGGGATAGCTTTACCATTTTAGACGTGTCTCAATCAAAATGTATACCTTAGGCAGGGTGAACTATATACCAGTTGGCACCCTTAAGGTGTTTATTTTTACTTTTCTTTTAAAAAACCTCACTTGACATGGAAATTAATGTTTTAGTTAGTATACCTGTGTAAGAAGTTGTACTTAAGCTGAAAATTATATATAGTAATTAAATCTTTGGAATTATTTGTTTTATCATATATTTATAAAGCACAAAATCTGAACAGTTGCAGTTGGCACTAGATACATATTGGATGCCAATGTGCCCATGGGCAATTTAGCAGGACCATATTCTACCCCCTAGACACTTCTGTCTCGCTTAAGTGATAATACTTTTCCAGTCTTGAGGCAAAGCTAGAAGCCACCATTATATTGTGGTGTATTTGCCCCGTGCAAGAACATCTGGTCTCAAGGCAGTGGCTCAGTAAACACATTCCAGTGCACAACAATGGAAACTGTGCCTCAATGGATGAATGTTATACCTCATTGCTAGGCAGCAACTAGCTGGTTAGAATTAACGTGACTCGTGTTTTCTGTGTGGTCTGTGCAGAGCCTATATAGTGAGGATCTTTTGTACCTTAGATCAGTTCAGTGTAGTTGAGAGTTCAATTCTGTACTGCAGCTGTGAGCTGAAGACTTTATGTGTGTAATTTAGTGGCAACGGCTAGTGCAAGCAAGTATAGAAGAATTTATGTGTTATAATGACAGTAATTTTAAGAATGTAAGAACTAATTGTAGTTACAATTTGTGAACATCCAGCAAATTGATTTACCAATGCAGACCCACATCTAGAGTCACCCCTACATGTGAAAGTACATTCTTGGATGGATCTTTCATTAGTTCTATGCATTAACTTCATTCAGTACACTTTCTGCTTGTTCACACCTGGAATTACACAAAAATCTATATTTTAAAATATCTGTAAATATTTAAGTAGAAAGATAATCAACTACCATATCTGTTTTGACAATATTCCTTCCCTATACAGCAACAAAACTAAATTTTCTGGCCTCAAACTAGTCATCAGGTATCTGCGCAGTGCTACTGTGAGGCTCTCTTTCTGTGTTGAACTGGCACTGCTTGCTGTAGCGCTGGTACACACAGGCAGATTATGTGATGCATCCCCATGGATGTTATACTTGAATGGTGTTCTCCTGCCACCAAGAAGTATAGTCTAGGATTGTACCTCTAGCTTCATCTAAGGATATCCCTTTCTGGAACACCCTGTTATCCATTTTACAAGACGCTCTCCTCCTCCCTCTCCCTCCTCCACCACCATCAGCAAGAAGTGACAGGGGACAGAGATGATCTTGTAAATATATAATTCAAATGAAATTGTAGAGTTGCTCCCAGTACTCTCTCTACAATTTCAATCATTTATGTGGGAAGAACTTGGTTCATTTAATGAAAAAAGAAGAAAATTTGATTGCCACATTTGAGTAATCTCCTGTGTAAATTTTTTTGTTTGTTTCTTAGCTTACAGAATTCCTTGATTTGCACTGCCAGTCGCTATATTTGTTACTTATTGGCACAATAAACTCTCGCCCTGTCACCCATGCCATCCACTGTTCAACATTTAGAGAATTGTGACTGCAATTAGACATAAAACGTAAGGTAAACTATACACATTCACATAAAAGTGCAAAAAAGTTCTAAAACCATAATTAGATAATGACAGATGTGGTGTGGCAATCATTGTAACTTTCCAGTTAAACATTTCAGTGACTGGAAGTTGCCGTGTTTCTTTCCAGCAGTTCCACAATTTTTTTTATTTCTAGTGGGGTGGGAGTAAGTCCCTTGTACTGTGGCCACTTCTGGCCTATTGTACCAGCCCCAGATGATAGGTGAGGGTGATTGTGGAGCAATTGGTGGGATGAAGATTGGCAGGGGAAACCGAAGTACTTGGAGAAAATCTGCCCCAGCACCACTTAGTCCACCACAAATCACAGTTGACCAGACCCAGGATCAAACCCGGGCTGCTGCGATGGGAAGCCAGCGACTAACTGCTTGAGCTATGGCGCGGCGAGTTCCGCAATTCACTGGACACTATTAATTTTTGGATAATCTGAGGAAGATGGTAACATGCTAGCAGTCAACAGTCAGTTCTCATCCAGCATGTTAACAGAAACCCCGTGTCTGTCTATCTGTGATGGTCACAGCTGTCAGAACTGTCCAATTAATGGCAATTTGGCAGTGGTGCTAAAATGAGCTGCTTATAAACTAGGCTTCAATCTTAACAAGGGAATGGTCTGATCCAACATGTCGAAACCTGCCCTGATTTTTTTCACTGCAAGATTACACACAACAAAATCCACTGTAAAAATTTTAGCTGCTAATATGCACTGCAAGTATTTTTTAAAATTGCCGAAGTTTCTCATTTTTTCTATACGCGGAACCACTTGTACCAGAGGTTTGTACAGCCCCGGCCTAGGCTGTGAGTAAGCTGTGTTGTGTGTTGCGTACTGCTCTGCTAAGGGTGGACATTTCTCCAAGATTCTGGCAGGCTACAATATTGGCCGTGTTCATCAATTTTTAAAAAATAGTGGCAGTGCGTATTAGCAGCTAAAATTTTGACAGTGGATTTTGTGTGTATTCCTGCAGTGAAAAAAAAAAATCATGGCAGGTTTCGGCATGTCGGATCAGACCATTCCCTTGTAAGTAGTACCAATAACTGAAAGTGTGTACCAAGGACTTTACAATTTACCTTGTGTATTTGTAACGGACTTACATAAGCTGTCTCTTATCCCCTTATGTTGTCACTGTTTATGTTGTTTTCTTCCAGTAATGAGGATGCAATGATTATCTCAAACAACACCATTTCTTCGTCGCTGTTGAATGGGACAGATGGCAAGATAGAAACACCTAATGTTAAGAAACGGCACAGACGAATGAAGAGCAGTGGTATGAAGAACACAGAGTGTGACGGTAAGCTACAGTTTGTTTCTTGTCTCGACTAACATTTGCAAGAAGCTGGATACTCTGTCCAGACAGCTGTACCATGCCTCAAAGACATTTGAAGCTCACTTGTGCATTGTAATAATAATTTGTCATCATAAACAGATAGCAGCTTTGTGCTTTTCCCTAGCCTGGCTTTGCACAGGAAATCCATTTTAATTTTGGGTATACACCAAGGAGGATGTAAACATAAGATACACTAATGCATCAGGGAGTTACACCATCTAAATGTAGCTGCAAGGGCTGGTAGGGTGCCACTTAAAGAAGTCTTGAAAGATCAGGTAACTTTTTAAACATCTTCGTTGTATGCACCCTGTTGTGTGTATATCATAATTAACGGGAAAAGGTTTGGCCATCAGCACAACAGTATTTCATGTCCTAATCTTTAGTTTCTAATTTTAATCTTTATATCTTAAATTTTAAATTTTATTATCTAAGAATTTTCAGTTTTAAAATTTTGACCAAGAATATATGAATTTCTACATTTAAATAATTTCAAGACACAATAAGGATGCTTATTTGAAGAATTAGATGATAATTAATTGCAATTCAACAGCTGAAACTGGAGCATTGTACACCTGATGATGACCCAGTGAAAGAGTCAAAATATGTTGCATCTTTAAAAACCAAATAAAATCAAATGTTGATACAGTAGTGTCTTGTTTGTTTTTTAAATACAGAGTATTGTTGTGTAGTCTGCATGCCTTATATATTCTTATGTATCTTACTACAATATTTAATTTAAACTGAGGTAACTGTCAACAGTTAGTTTATTTTTGTGGCTACTCCATGTTTCAGTCCTCACAGGACCATCATCAGGCAGCTCCTCCACAAATACTTCTGTAGTTAATTGAATGCCTAATATAGATCCATATTGGTGCAAGGCATAACAGTCTTATGCCATAAAGTTAAAATTAATGTACATTGAAGTAATGTTGCATGTTAAAATTTTAGTATTAATGTAGTTGTGTCCTTGTAATTCAGTTAACTACAGATGTATTCGTGGGGCACGTGGTAGTGTATTTGGTTTATGGGCTATGCTACAAGCCGGAAGGTTGCGGGTTCAAGTCCTGATGAGGTCATTGGGTTTTTTCAATTGACCTAATCCTTCCAGTCACACTATGGCCCTGGGGTTGACTCAGCCTCTAACAGAAATGAGTACCAGGAATTAATTAAATAATTTTCCTGGAGAGTAAAGCGTGGCCGGCATATAAGGCTGACAACCTTACCACCATCTTTGAGCCAATTGTCTAGATAATGCGGGACCCTCACCATCTCACAATCCTATGGTCCTTCACGGCCTGTTACAGGGATAACTTTACTTTTTCTTTTTTTACTTTACAGACGTATTTGTAGAACTCCCTGATGATGGTTCCATGAGGACAAAAACATGTAGTAGCCACCAAAATAAACAAGTTGTTAAGAGTCACCTTGGTTTATTTAATTAAATATTGTTGTGTCGAGGGCCAAACCTTTTCCCATTAACTTAGACTACACGGCGTTATATCCTAGAAGATCAAACTCTTCTACTAATGCCTGTTGCTAACCTATTATTATTTCATATTTTATCGCCATTTTTGGCATTCGTATTTAGAATTTAATAAATATAAAATAACTTGTTACAGAACATACATTTCTTCTACATTGTAATGGGGAAAGTTTCATTGTACCAATGTTCCTTTGTTTGGGACTTAACATTTATGCATTAGTTTGTCAGCAGGAACTGTGCTGCTTACAATTAGATTGGTAGTGCTTTCAGTAACATAAATATTCTGTCATTACAGATTCTGATGGCTATGAGTTTTTCATTGTCTCTCTTGATAACAAACAGTGGCACTTTGAAGCTGGGAACTCAGAGGAGAGGGACGAATGGGTATCAGCCATTGAACAACAGATATTGAACTCTTTACAGGTGAGAACAGTTGAAGTTAATAACATTGTAGTTGCTGCAGTTGCTCTCGTATTGACACGTGTAGTTCAGCTAAGGGTGTCAGAATTAAATAACTTTATAACTAAGTAAGTTTATAAATATTAGAACTGCTGAATATCACTCTGAATTGATAATTAAATTTTCAGACAATATGGAATTCAGAATTGTTGAATAGATATTTGGAAGAGGAGCTACTGGAATGCTTTGACAAAGTAACAAGATATGAAGAAGGCATTAGAGTTAAAGTGTAAGGGAAGGGCATGAAACAGGATGACCCCAGAAAAAGATAATTCAGCGAGGCAGTGAAAGGTACCAAGAAAGGAGGAAAGAGCTGGAAAGAAACTAAAAAGTAAAGGTTGTGAGAAGAAAGAAGAAAGGACTTGATCCTTATAAAGCAGAGACACTGTTAGAACCTAAATGTAAAGAGAGATTCTCTTTATGGTAACGATGCCCCTTTCTAAGGGACTCAACAGAATAGGTGTTTTCCCTCACCTGAGGATGGAAACGTCGTGTTTTTCTTAGTTATCTTAAAAGCCAGGACGATGGATAAAGTCTGAAAACCCAATATCTCTGTGTGTTATACACCATTGTCAGAATCCTGTAGTAACTGCTTGAAAAGAATAAGTTTTGAAAGGATGGGAGAAGTCTGTTTTTCTGTGATATGATGTTGCAAAGTCATAAGATGGGCGTCAGTTTTGTGTCCAAGCTTGATGTTGGATGTATGACCAAAATTATAGAGGGTTTGGTCATTTGTAAATTGACTGGCTTTTGGCGTTTCCAAAAAGTGACAATTTTTGCTTTGTGTGGTGATGGCTAATTTCATGTTTTTCTGTGCTGTATTTTGTTACATAACAATGGAGCTGCTTCTGTCAGCTGTTGAAAACCCATCCTGTGTCAGAAACGTCTGTTATCCTTTGCCATCTGGGAACAGGGGATTTAAATCCCCCACTACTAGGGATGCTAACAGCCTTCTTTTAAGTTTGAGATCATGGCTATCACTACTAGGATTTTTTGAGGGGTGAGGAGACAGAAAATAAGCCATTTCAGATTATTTTTACTAATGTTTTAAATATTTTTTTCAATTTTTATTATTGTATATTTCTTTCTTTTTTAAGTATTATTTTTAATTTGGGGGGCGGGGGAGGGAGCTATCTAGTTTCCCTATACTCTGCTTGGATCCATCTTTGAGGTAATGGTATTAGTGCCAAGGTCAAGAAGATGGGGCTCTGTTTATCCACTCCCCCATATGCCTTTATGGCATAGTGCTTAATTAGTTAAGCACAAGGACAACTTTACCTTTATGCAATATCTTTGCACTGATTTGATTTAATTAGGAATTTATGTAGGAAGAATTTTGTTTTCTGATATTGAGGAACGATGTGCAAGGTGGCAGGCAGCAAATGAGTCTTGTGGGCTCTGTTGCAGGCAAATGAGAGCAGCAAGGCCAAGTCGAGGCTCAACAGCTCTGTGGATACAGGTTCGATCCAAGCTATCCGGTCACGAGTGCCTGGCAACTCGCACTGTGCCGACTGTGATGCCGCAAGTATGTACTTACACTCAGCTCAAGGATGGGATGGGTTGATGTTCCCCACACCCCCTCACTCCAGTAGCACAGTTGAGAATGCCTTGGTCACCTCATTCAGTTAACTGACGGTACTTCCTCTCATATGCCCATTATCCCCAATTTATTTTTTTATATAAGTACTCTAACTAGGGAATAAACAAATTAGAAACTTTAAATTTTCCTTGTTTCCTAGGTTAATTTTCTTTTTGTAGGACAGAAATATAATCACACTTTATTGAGTTGTTTGCATCTGCTTGCATGAACTCTTGGTACTGCAGTGGTAGGATCTCGTTGTGTACAATATTGTTATATAAATTAACTGAAATTACACCCATCTTGTACCTTATTTCAGTATTCAGTATTGAGGGGGTGGGCTTCCCCATGCACTGAGACCAGTTATTGGTCCATTGTGCGTCCCCCTTTTAATTTCTACTGTCTCCATACCCTACCGGTACTGGTGCTTACTATCAGCCCCTTTCTGCCAGCGAGGTTCCAACCTTCTACTGGCAGTGGTATCTAATAGTTAGTCCCTTTCTGTCAGAGAGGTCCCCCCTCCTCTGGCAGTGGTACCTAATACTTCCCCCATCTACTGGAGGCATTGGAAACTACTTTTGGCGGGAAACTTTTTGGCCAAATTTAGCTCAGAGGTCTCCTAGAGACATGAGGTTCTTTTACGTGCCGTAAATCTCTGACACGGGACCCACGGCTTAAAGTCCCTCCCGGAGGACTTGTTCCCTGAATTTTTCCGCCCTTAAAAATTCCACGACCTCCGCCGATTTGAACCCATGTACCTTGAGTCATGAGGTGGGAACGTTACCCCTAGACTATGGAGGCCGCTATCTTGTACCTTAAATCATAGTATATGTTCCTGTTCTTACCGGTTGCCACGTTCCGAACCAGGTTGAAGAAAATTATAAGGTTTCAAAAGCGCAGACCTAGATGGGATTTGGAGAAGTTATATGCTCAAAGACAAAGCGTGCAGGAGACCCTAGAAGAGAAACTTGGTGCAATTGAAGGTGAAAGCGGAAATGCTGAAGTGCAGTGGAACAATATAAAAGAATGCATGTTAGATACTATCAGTGATTTGGTTGGTAAAGTTGAGAAGATAGCAAGATAACCATGGGTTACACAGGAGATGATGAGTAAAATGGAGGAGCGAAGGAAATGGAGGAATGTCAACAATGAAGAAGGCAGGAGGAAATACAGGAGACTGAGGAATTAATTGAAAAGAGCCATGGACAGGGCCAAAAAGGAATATCTTGAGAAGATATGTAATGAGATTATAAAATTTCAAAGAACAGGACGTTATGATTTGATGTACATGAAGACAAAAGAACTAGGATGGAAAGAGAATCATGGGATTCAAAATATTGGCATTGAAGACTCCCAGGGGAATAGAATAGTAGATCAGAGGCAAGTGCTGAAAATTTGGGAAAATTATATTTCAGAACTATATGATCGACCTAATCGGCCAGAAACCTTAGAAGTTGAACCGGAAGAAGAAGTAGATACAGACGAGAAAGGACCATATATTTTACAAAGTGAGGTGGAAAAAGCTATCAAGGAAATGAGGAAGGGAAAGGCTACAGGAGATGATGATGTACCTGGAGATGTGCTCAAGTTACTGGGAGAAGGTGGTTTGAAAACACTGACAAAACTAATGAACACCATATATGAAAGTGGAGAGTGGCCCAAGGACTTTACAGAAGTTACAATGATTGCCTTAAAGAAAAAGACAAAAGCTACAAAATGCAGCGACCATCGCACAATAAGTCTTATTGCACATACAGCAAAGATAATAGCAAAGATACTTAAAAGAAGAATTGAAAGGAAAATAGAGGATGTACTTGGAGAAGATCAGTTTGGATTTAGAAGAGGAAAAGGAACCAGGGATGCAATTGGGATGATGAGAATTATAGCGGAACGAACTTTGGAGATAGATGAAGAACTGTGTGTTTGCTTCATAGACTGGCAGAAGGCATTTGACCGGGTAAACTGGACCAAATTAATGCAGATCCTGAAAGAAACAGGTATCGATTGGCATGAAAGAAGATTGATTAGCAAATTGTACATGGATCAGAAAGTTAGAGTACGACTGGACAGGGGGGAGACAGGAAGTGTGCAGATTGGAAGAGGAGTTCGACAAGGATGCTGTTTATCACCAATTCTGTTCAACTTGTACAGCGAATGCCTTACCAAGGAAGCTCTGGATGGGCTCGGTGACTTCAAAGTAGGAGGGCAAATTATTCAAACTGTGAAATATGCAGATGACCTTGTGTTAATGGCTAAGGAAGAAACTGTGCTACAGGGCATGATTGATAGACTAATTGAAATTGGAAGGTGCTATGGCATGGAAATGAATGTGGAGAAAACAAAAGTAATGAAAATTTCGAGACAACCAACCCCAGTCAGAATAAAGATAGACCAAAAACAACTGGAGAATGTGAAATGTTTTAAATATTTGGGTAGCTTGTTAACAGATGATGGAAGGTGTACTTGTGAAATTAAATCCAGGATTGCCATGGCAAAAGCTGCATTTAGCAAGAAGAAGAATCTTTTTACCAGCAAATTGGACTTAAATTTGAGGAAGAAACTAGTGAAATGCTACATTTGGAGCATAGCTCTGTATGGGGCTGAAACATGGACACTTAGGGCAGTAGATCAGAAACATCTGGAAAGTTTTGAAATGTGGTGTTGGAGAAGGATGGAGAAGATCAGTTGGACCGATTATGTGAGAAATTAAGAAGTGTTAATTAGAGTCAGTGAGCAGAGGAATATCCTACACGAAATAAGAAAATGGAAGGCTAATTGGATTGGTCATGTTTTACTCAGAAACTGCCTTCTAAAAGAAGTTATCGAAGGAAAGATAGAGGGGCGGATAGAAGTGACAAGAAGACGTAAGAAGATGCTGGATGACCTTGTGGACAGAAGAGGATACTGTCATTTGAAGGAGAAAGCTCTAGATCGCATTAAGTGGAGGAATTGTTTTGGAAGAGACTGTGGACCTGTCGTCTGACAGATTACTGATCATGATTGGATATTGTCACATGTATGAAGTGTAACTATACATGGGGTTTGAATTGGTGACTCACTTTATTGAACGCTCATACACACAACTTGTAACTACAATTACAGACAGTGTCATGTAACTTCGAACAAGGCCCCACATTCCTAGTCAAATCCCGCGCATAAGTTGTGGTGGGAGGAGTCTCTTAACACTCGTTCTTCCACTTTCACCGACCCCTTTCACCCCCTTGTCTGAAATTTTTCTTCTGTGTATTCAAGGTTACTCTTGGCCTTGTTTGAAGTTATGTAACACTTGCTATAACTATAATGGCTTCACTGGTTTACACACTCTAAAGATCACTGTAACTGCAGAATACACAGTCTTCTGTGTCTTCCTTCACTAGTCATTTCCTAGTAATTGATCCTGACAATATCCTCTGCTCACATTCTTACTAGTTGGCAAATATCCCACAACTGACTCTATGCTCCAGCTGGGGTGGCAGCCATTTGGCACCAACCTCCTCCTCTTCTCTTCACTGACTCCAGCTCAGGACTCCTTGACTTCCCTCCGTTGCACTGTACACTCTCACTGATTGTCCTGGTTATAACATCTTGGCACGGACCACACAGAAAACACGTTCCTGTGTTACTCTTCCATAGGAATCTGTTGCCTAGCAGCGGTCATTGTTTGTAGAGTCATTACCCAGCAAGGGGTCTGCCCATTTCTCTTTTTCATTGCTAATACAGCAATGGGGAGCAGTGGATTTGAAGAGATTTGGGGAATGTTAAATGAGGGTTTCAGTGTGTTATTACCAGGGCCCGGATTTTGATGACCTGAAAATATTTAAAAAATTACCGAAAAATCCAGAAAAATTACCTAAAGGAGAAAAGAAAGAACACTTTGCTTCCATGTTATTCACATTTTAGAAAACATATGAAGAAAAATTCCCTAAAATGGCCAAAAATGACAAATACCCTTAAAAGTCCAAAAATTTACCAAAAAATTACCCCAAAAGTGAAAAAATGACCTTAAACCTAAAAATGTCAAAAAATGACAAAAAATTACCCATCAAATTTACATTTCTGTAACCAGCAGCTCATGTCCGAGATTTATATATTTAAGAGTATCGCATAGGGTACAATGAAAGAAAGATGACATGTCATCAAAATCGAGCCCCTGGTTATTACTTTCTAAAGATCTGTCTCCCATTTTGCTTCATGGACAAATATTTCCCAGTGTCCTTAAGGAGAAGACCAGTATTCTGGCTAATAGTTGTTTTCCAAACAATTTCTTCATTAACACATTAGTTACCATTTCCCTAATTTCAAATGTATTTAGTTCCACTGTATCTTATCAAAATGTTCCGTCCGCTCACATGTGTTAGGTGATGTTCCTTCTGGATATCCCTTCCACATCGTTTTACCTTCCTGTTTGTACCCCCCCCCCCACTATCTTCTTTGTTTTTATGCCCACATACAACAATGCTTCCTCAGATTCTCTTATACTAACAGTCACCACATTTTGATGTCTTTTGTTACACTGTGTGTACACAAGCATTGTTACCTGAGGCTGCAGGCCAAGTTCACTGGGTGAACTTAACAGTAAACACATATTTTTGTGTTTCCTTGGCCATTTCATGACTTAATTTTGTTTATGTTACAGATCCTGACTGGGCAAGTCTTAACTTGGGCGTGCTCATGTGTATCGAGTGTTCGGGTATTCATCGTAACTTGGGGTCTCACATATCCAGGGTTCGATCTCTTGATCTGGATGAATGGCCGTAAGTTTTCCATGTGCAGAGGTCTTGTGGCTGATGTTGATTGGCTCTAAAGTCAGGACCTGCATACAGTGAAATAACTAGACTGACGCCCTGAAAGGAATACAGTCATTAACCATTTGTGAGTGTGGTCACCATCTGTTGTCTCTTGCAAGCTGGAAACATTGTTACAAAGATCATCCAGAAGAACTTCAAGTACTGTGTCATAAATTTGATTTGGTTCATCCTGGTCCATCACACTAGCAATACTATAAAAGATTATCAAGTCAGTCCAGTGTAATTGATAAATGTTTTTTGTCCTTTTTAATTGTCTGGGTATATTGATAATGATGAATAATATTGTAATACTACTTTCCACATATATTTATATGTACTTCTGAAGATTGTCACTCCAACTGAAACATGTCAAGGATGAAAGCTTAAAAAGGGAGAAAAAACATGTATCAGTCACTGGATGGAGTTGATAATCCTTTGTACTGTGTCATAAGTTACTGCAAATACTCTCTGAAAGAACTTTTTATTTTTGGGAACAAGAAAATGTCATACAGAGCCCGAAACCAGGAAAATACAGTAGATGTTTCAGCAGTGGTTTTTGTTTCTTAGCCAGAGATCACTGTACTGCTATTCTGTGTCAGAGGGAGCATTCTCATGCTAACAGTCCGTTTGTCCAGCCAAAGACAAAATCTGCTAAAAATCCAAATATTTTTTTTATTGCTAGTGGGGTGGGACTAAGTCCCTTGTACTGCGGCCACTTCTGGCCTATTGTACCAGCCCCAGATAGTAGGTGAGGGTGATTGTGGAGCAATGAAGATTGGCAGGGGAAACCAAAGTACGCTGAGAAAATCTGCCCCAGCGCCACTTTGTCCACCACAGATCCCACTTGACCAGACCTGGGATCGAACCCAGGCCACCACGGTGGGAAGCCAGCGACTAACTGCTTGAGCTATGGCGTGGCCAAAATCCAACGATAAAATATCTGGTTAATTGTTTGTTTTGGAGAATCATGACGGATAATTCTCTTCATTCCAAGAAAGCAGATCACTGTTGTATGATCCTTTGATTCACTTTTGTATTTGTTTTCATTTCACACACACTCAGGGTCTTCCCAATGCAGATGTTTGTTTCTGGATCATGCTGGAAGACACAGGTTCCAACATCAGTCAACTTTTTTTCCAAAATGTTTGGGTTCTTACAGCAGTCTTTATTGAAATATCTGAACAAATTTGATGAGGAGGTTATAACTTTGAAATCTCTTTGCTCACACCTCTGTGTTGCTCCTGATAGTAGCCAAGTGAAAAAGACATTGCCATTTTGTGAAGAATTGCTGGATTCAGGGATTCCTTCAGTAATGTCTGGAGCATCAGCTCTGTAGAGCTCTGGAGAGCTGGAATAGTTTGGCAAGTTACCGACTAGGCTATCTATGGACTGGACAACAGGGAATTGGCATTCAGTTTCCAGTGTGGTAGAAGTTTTTCTCTCCTACACAAGCATACAAACCAGTTCCAGGGGTCAGCCAGCTACGTGTTCAATGACTGCCAGAGAGACTTTCCCCATCAATTCAGTGGGACATGAAATTGATTACCTACCACCACCTAATACAAACGTTGGGAATGTATGAGTCTCTACCTCCAATCCCCCCACAACCCTTGCATAGTTAAGCAAAGTTAACCTGAAATTATATGCTGAATTAAGGGGTTTATTTGTGTTGTTTGCAGGCCTGGCCACCTAAGTGTGATGCTGTCTATTGGCAACAGTCTTGCCAACAGTGTATGGGAGTGCAACTCTCATGGGCGTGCCAAACCAACACCTAATTCAAGCCGTGAAGAGAAAGAACGATGGATCAGATCGAAGTATGAGAGCAAGGAGTTCCTAGCCCCAGTAATGCAGGGAGTTCCACTGGGCCAGCAGCTAGTTGATGCAGTATGCAGGTACCTTAACTATCAGTCATTTCTGTGAGTGGAAATTCATTCCTTTAGATGGCACTATGGTCTGCTGGGATGTGGTATTGTGTATTTCAGTATATATACTGTATATTATACAGGTGTCCCAGGAGGAATGTGCCAGACTTCGGGAGGGTGTTCCTTATGTTAAAGTGTGCTGATATAACCCCAAACACGTATGTCCAAAGTTGAACGGTTACGGAGATAATGGCCAGAGAAGTGTCAAACTTTGACCAGTGTTACACACTTGTTGATTACAAAATACATATTAAAACTGGCAGGAATATGTGGATTCTGTAATGTTAATAATGTACGTAACATCAAACTAACTTGTGAGTGACGTGAAGCCATAAAATTGAAGTACAAAATACTAGCTCGCCATGTCATAATTGTCCTTAGGGTTTCCAAGCACTATACATGACACATGACTGGCAAGCGCTGACGTAACATGGCTGACTGCGCTATAAGCCTACCACATAACTGTATTAAACATACATTCACGGAAAATCTCTTTTGGAATTTCATTTCCATTATCTCATGTGGATTATTATGGGACCACGTATGCACATTTCGTAAATTATTTACACCGTCCAGGGTAAAAGACGCCTCATCACTGAATAAAATGACGCTTAAGAGTTCGGGATGAGCTTTTATCCAATGGCACAAATCCATGCGCTGTGCATGGTCGCCTGGTTCCAGATGTTGTACCCTTTGATCATGGTAAGGATACAACTCTTCATCATGTAAAGTTTGCCACACCTGCATACGTGATACGCCGATGCGAGAGACCATTTTATGAGTGGACAGACGCGGACTTCTCTGAACCATCTCAAGAATGTTCTCTCATGTGTTTATCATTCGTACATCCTCCCTTTCAGAGTGCACAGAAACACTCGAAAGAGAACCAGTATCATGCAGTGTCTGGTGAATTCGCGTAAATACACTTCGAGATAGAACCCTTCGATCGGGAAAACGCCTTTGCTTTTCTTCAACAGCAGCACGTGCATTGCCACTGCAAAATCCACACAACGAAATGCATATCACAATATTCTACATGTGAAAACACAAGAGGCATTTCAGCAACTCATCACATAACTAATCACGACCCCGCCGCAACGTACTCTGTAGGTAGCGCATGAGCTTACGGCTAGTGTGAATCACGACACTCAAGAACAAACAGATAAGACATGGCAGCTGGACAGGTATAGTGCGTGGACCTGCCAGAAGACCACACTTTTCTCAGGCCATTATCTCCGTAACTGTTCAATTTTGGACATAGGTGTTTTGGGTTATATCGGCATAGTTTAACATAAGGAACACCCTCCTGAAGTTTGGTCCATTCCTCCTGGGACATCCTGTATATATACAGTGGAACCTCTCTTAACGAGCATAATTCGTTCCAGAATCTTACTCGTAATGCGAAACACTCGTTAAGCGAAGCAGTCTTTCCCATATAAATTAATGTAAAATATGATAATGTGTTCCATGCCAAAAAAATACTCAAAAAATTTTATGTAGAACGTTTATTCAAAGAAAATTATATATACATTGTTAAGGAGCATGAATCATCATCATCTTTTCTTCTATGTCGAATGAACCAACCTGGAATGCGAATTCGATTTGCAGAAAAAAAAATCGAAATGATTAGACAATTATTTATGATACATATCTAATTCTTTTTTACTAGAAAGCTGTCTAGAGACAGTTGTTTTTGCCGATGCTTCAAAATTTGGTGAAAATTTGACAGAGAATTATCATTAAATAAATTTGTAGCATGCATAGCCACTGCCTCTCACTGAACAATGCAGTAGTTTCCCATGCTTTCAGCATTTCTCCTATTGCGCCAAAAGATTGTCGCTTTGCTGTTACCTCCTCCTCCTCTGACAAACTGCCCTCCACAACTTCTTGCTGTGAAACACAATGCAACTCAAATCGTGCAAATCGTTGATGTAGACCGATTGTATGTGCGTGCTAGATCAGCCACACTCACACCTCGTTCTCGCTTTTCAATGATTTTACGTTTCATTTCTATGGTTATTTTTATTCTCTTATGGCTGTCTTTTTGCGGCTTTTTCTTCGGGGACATTTTTGCAAGGGTTATTAAACTTTGCACAAAAAGAAATCACAAATAATATGTCTGAACACAAGTTTGGAAAAATGTGTGATCACAAGCGACACTAAGATGCTAGCGGAACGAGTGCTAAACACAGACTGATGTAGCAAGCGCACAATCCGGGACTTCCCCTCTCATCACTTGTTATGCGAGTCATTTTTTTACAATTTGTTTTGCTCATTATGAGAGGTGCTCGTTAAGCGAGGTTCCACTGTATATATATACAATGTTCCTCCAAAATGTTGGTGCATACTTGCCAAACTACACGGTATGATAACTGAAGAAGACTGTAATTTCATCCAACTATGTCCATGTGTAGAATGAATCTGTCATCTTACAAGAAGGATGAAACATAACTGCTTTGAAAGTGCATCAGTGAAATTAATGCATTTGGTGGTTGGTTGTGCATAGTCAGGGAGCTACAAAGATTAAAATGGTGGAAACAGATCAGTGATACCAACCTGAAAACATAGCCTTCATGCAGTATGTTTGTTTTGCATTTAGTTAGGTGTATACTCTCCTAAAAGTTTTAAAATTTTATCATTTGCACCAGTGCAAATAAGAGACATTTCAATCTTACCATGAATTTTCATACACATTATTAATTAAATCAGTGATCTTTAAAATTAACAGACAGTATTGTCAGGAGATAATTATTTTGCAGTTATTCTCATTGAATTTTATTTACCCATGAATCTAGTTAGGCATATTAAAGTATATTAGAATGAAACACCTGTTAACATCTGTAAGGTAGCTATTTGTCTGGTTATCTTCTGTGATGTGATGCCTTGTAGTTTGGTAGGTAAATATTAGTTTTTCTGAGACACCTGCTGCTTCCATCTTCGGGTTAGAAGAACTCTGAATTTTGTGATTTTGAAAACAGTTACGCTGGTGGGTAATATTTGGCTGTGAAAGGGAGATGTGAGTATACAGTAATGTTCACTAAGGTTCTGACAGCAGTGACTGTGAAGAGTCTCCTGGGATGTGACCTCACGTAGTTTGGTCACATTACTTGACTGCCAGACAACATGGCGTCACATCCTAGAAGACTGAACAGCCTCTCTATTTCTATGACCACATGTAACTGAATCACTTTTCTGGAACTTCTGTTATAAGTACATCATTTGTAGTTGAGTCACTTTTGTAGAACATGTTGTAACCCAGTCAGTTTTCTAGAACACACTTTGTAACTTGGCCACTTTTCTTGAACACGTGTTGTATGTAACTTGAGTCACTTTTTCCTCTTACAGGTCAGATATGAAGAGTATAGTCCTGCTTCTGGCACATGCGACTATGGAGCATGTCAGCAGCTGTGTGAGTGTACGTGACTTGCGCACACCTCTTCATTTAGCATGTGCTATGGGTAACCTTCCTGTAGCTCAGCTTCTTATATGGGTGAGTCAACTTTTGTCTTTCTGCATTAACTGTCAGGTCACTTCTCATATCACTGAACGCACTGTCCAGTATATTCCTTATTGTAAAAGGAAATCTGAAATTAAAACAACAGCAATTGTAATGATGTGTTATCTTTTTATGTGTTCATGTATTGGGCTATGAGGTGAATGTGAAAATGGTTCAGAATATCTTACTTCATTGTTTGGGGTTCAGTCTCCAACAATTTGGTGTATACTGGAGCCGCCATCTTGAGGGTGAATGGGGCAGTAGCCGAAGTACACAGTAGTCACACAGTTGGTCACAAAATTTCCCAGCTCTTATGGAACCTGATGTTTCATTACTACATGACTGACCTGTTCACAGGAGCCAGCCACTGGTCCCTACCATGAACCAGATGAATCTAGTTTACCCACTCATGTCATTTTTCTTAAAAGATTCATTTTAATGTCAAATCAGTAAGTCTTTCTCGATTTTCTATTGTCGCTACCCTCAACCCTCTTGTTTCGCCTCCTCTCTTCTTTCTGTCTGTCTGTCTTCTTCTTCTTCTTCTTCTTGTTCTTCATTTTGTCACCCTTGTCGTTCCTGCTTATATTGTAATTTTTGTCATCGTGGTTTTGGTGTTGACAATAATGAAATATAGCTGAGTGATGGAATACTTCGCATTTATTGTGTGTAATAGGAACCAGACATCATGGTCAGGTGGTAGAAGGAACAAAATAACAATAAATGAGAAGTTTCAAACCACATTTAGGGCACAGTTCACATTCACCTCAGTTAAATAAAACTCTCTCCTGTACGTTCCAGTATTTTGTTTACAGAAATGAAAATCTGCAAGACGTGTCGAATAATGAATGGGTAATGAATTAGTATCCCTTTCCTTATCTTTTGGTACTGATACTGTTATTGTTATAATTGCAGCACAACGCCAATGTGAAGGCCATAGACCATGAAGGGCGGACATGTCTTGCATATGCTAGGGCAGCCAGTAGCCTGGCACTCAGCAAATCCTCGGCGGGAGGTGGTGGCAGCAGTGGAGGGCCTTGTGCGGAGCTTAATGCTGCAGCCACTTCTAGTCTTGTGGAACTTTTGCTAGCCAATGGCTGTCCAGAAGTAACAAGTGGTACCCTTCCTCGCAGGAGAGGTAGTGTTGGGCGTCGGAGTGGTGGCGATGGCTCTGTGCCCCCTTTTGACAAACTTCCTTCCAGTGTCATCTAGGGCCTGGGAAAGGGCAGTCAGACACTGCCCAGGAGAAGTTCTGCAGTTACCCAACAAAAGGAGTCAGTATCCACTGTTGTATAGGGAGGAATGCTTCCTAGTGTCATGTAATGGCAGGAAATTTCTGAGGAGAAAACCTGCCAAGTCTCATTAAGCGAAAGTACACGATCATCATTAAGGGATGGAACAACTCCACAGCTCCTGTTATTTTAAAAATAATTCAGCATCAGGTACAAACACAGAAAGTGGAAAGGAAATTTCTGAGGAGAAAATCTGCCAAGTCTCTTTAAGCGAAACTACACGATCATCATTAAGGGATGAAACAACTCAACATCTGTTATTTCAAAAATAATTCTGCATCAGGTACAAATACAGAAAGTGGAAAGGAATAAGCCTGTGCTGATATTTTTCTTAAAGCCGCCAACAACAGACAGGTCTGTCAGCCTGTAAGAGCAGGGCAAATATCAGTTTTTGAGGGGACAAGACAGCTCCGTTTCCTGCTGTCCTTTGTTATTGTTTTGGAACTGAAAACTGTTATGACCAATGCAGTAAATATTTCACATGTAAAAGTGTCAGCATGAAAGAATTAATGCCGATATATTTGGCTCCTGTGTCATGACCTTGCAGTGGGAACTTACTGTTTACAGTGGAGGGAGGGAAATTTGGCGCGTTCTTGATGATGTGATACCAGATGCAATAGAAGTAGAACAGGGCTGTCCTTTTATGATTTACAGGATAAGTTAGAAAAAGATCTGGAATAGTTCCTGTCAGGCCAGTTCTCTTAATGCTTTCTATGTTCTCCATGGTTTATAGGTTATTCACATGTTCAGTACATGTCTAAATTTATGTTGAGATGATGATTCTTGTGGATTTTATAGTTGAAATTCTTCCTGTTCTAGTCTACATACTTTAAATTCTTTTTTTAATTTAGATTTTACAATGAACGATTTCTTTTTATGGTTATATGGTAGCTATATGAGATTTTGTTCATTGCTGTATGACTTCACAAAACTAGTATTCACATCCACAGCTATTAAAGTAATAAGCTCACCTTCAGGATGTAAGTTCAAGCAAGGAATGTAGTTTGCACCTGTCACTTTGTATTACATTTAATTTTGATGCTGTTCATTTATAAATTTCCTTTGCCTCACACTGGGATGTTCACCGTTTTTTTGGTAGTAATTATATTTGGTCCACAGCACAGCATCTTCATCAGACTTGGTATCATTGTCATGTGATATAAAAATTATAAAAGTATCACAAATTTTGCAATGATACGATTCCTGAGTTTACATCTTATTGCTGTGTGTTCAGCAGGAATTCGTAGCCAATTTTATTTAATTTATTTCATAACCAGAAAATCCATATGGCATACATTATCAAATTAATTGCTCAAAATATCCAGAGGTATGTGTCTACGTCATTACGAAATCAGACTTAATGAAATAGGAAAGCAATCGTGATCATGTCAAAGAAGAAAACTTGCCAGTCAAGTCATGCAATTTAAATTGTGTTTGCCACAGTCCAAAGGAATGTGTAAATAAATCCTAAAGATAAGGAACTGTGTTGTTATAAGTGACTCAAGGAGTCCCACAAAAAATATAACCATGTTCTTATTTTTGCTACCTCTGTTCATCATCACATCTTGTTCTTGAAGTCAGAAACACCCTTTCTTCACAGAAATGAAACCCCTAAAATATTTTGTAATTCAGACTTTGAAAGAAAATTAATATTAATGCTTAATCTTTATTGCACATAGCATAAGGGAGAACATAGTGTTCTTGAGAAGAGGTATCATTGTATGTGTCCAAGTCACTAACAGGAGAAACAAATGGTAGACTGAACCATAATATAACTTCCATGGGACATGTTTGAGGATAAAGACTTCTTTCTTCTTGGGTATGTCACTGTATAGTCCATTGAGAGTTGACTTTCATCACACTATGCAGCATTAAATTAGAGAAGATCTAACTCTTCATAGTCCCCCATACCCAGCTTGTTGGAAGATACCATGTTAGTTGTTACAAAACTTAAGGAAGGGAAGAGAACGATTTCTTTAGTAATCATGTGTAAAAATATTGTATATAAATGCAGACCTGATCTGAAGGAATTTCTTCAAATGTTAACTCTCCAAACTTTTGTTATTTTGTTTCCTAATTTGTTCCGACAGTGTACATTTATGCCAACCTCTCACATCCTGTATTCTGTATATATGTATTTCGTTTGTCATTCTCCCTTTAGTGACCGCGTGCTACCAGAGCCGTGCAGAGACACCGTGGGTTGTCAGGGAGCAAGTATTATGTGTAGTCATATTTTGTAAATAAGGAGTGTTTCTGATTTGTTGGGACAGGGCCCTTTCTTCATAGATATTTGCCAGCATAAATTCTGTTCTGATAAGCATTCAGAGTTTGGTCAAGTTAGTGACCAGTGAAACTGGTAGTTCATTTCTGAATGTATCTGTTTGCTTTATAGTGAGTGAAGGCTATGACTGGAGATCATTAATTCTGCCTCCAAAGTTTGTGTTACTTTAGGTTGCATTGTGAAACTACTGAAGAGCAACTGACTTGGTAAACCTATCTAAGGCATGATTTGGGTTTAATGTTTTCTTGCTGTAATTGTAAATAGTTCTGTAAAATTTATGTAATGTATTTAAGAAGATTTATTTAAAATGTTAAACTGCAATGCAGTATCTTTTAGAGCAATTGTATCTTTTTCTTTCTGCCATTCTAAACAATAGGATGTTCATAGTAACAAGACATGAGACATTTGTGTGCACAATCATTTGTTTCTTTGTGAAGTGTGCACAAAACACAGCACCAATTTTTCCACATGTATTACTTATAACTAAGAAACTTCCCATCTTTTTTGTATACATAATAGCCTTCCTCTTTCACCACAGTCTCTTCATGTCTGAAACATTATGCAATTAATTGGAGGCTGTTGGCCATATCTGTGTAGTTTTAATTTTTTTAAGTGAGATGCATTTTTCTAAGCAAGAACATTCTTTACATGTATATAATTTGGTCCACATATATTTGAGAGTTGTCTGTTTCTTTGCATATTCTGTGCAGTACTTTACAGGCGGATGCTTTTCAATTTCTAAGAATTTAAAAAATTACCTTCAAAGAATAATTGCAATTATGTTTGTATGTAATAATTGTTATAAAGAATTACCATATTAAAATATTGTCACGTGTTGGGTGTATAATGCGACAAATAACTTCATGCCTTATTTGATATAGCGAATTTATTGCACATTCACTCTTACAATCACACAGTTTACAATCTCACAATTACTGCCATCGGCAGTATCACAAATACTAGACTACAAATGCTAGACTACAACTGACTGGTTGACTGCCTGGCTACTGGCTAACTCGTAAGTAACTTGAATAGTCTTCGCTGCTCCTTATTTAGCCCCGTTCTGGACAACACAGAAAACAGTTATGTAATAGGCACCACTGTTGGCTGATGTTGTGTTCACCGATAGCCTAGCAACATTGTCGGGAGTTGTTTACTGCTGAGTAGCAATGGTGGCATCCCGTGTTATGTCACCGCTGGGGAGGGAGGGGGTGTCCTCCATAGTGCAACACGTCACAATTTATTTAGATGTAAATGACTTTAAAGAAAGCTGGCAGATACAACAACCTATGCACATTTGACAAATTCTGTAAGTGTAAGTAAAGCTTGTGGTTGCTTAGGTAAATGCATCTGCATTTGATAACATTGAGAAAATGGTGTTTACAGCCTGCACTTAATTCTGCTTTCATTCCTAGTTCAGGCCTCAAGACAGTTAAATTTATAAAAATAATTCATTCTGTGTAAATAAAGATAAGGAAACCATTGACTGCCTTTGATATTATGTACCATATTGTTGTGTAGAGTTCTATATAAAGTTCATTCCTCCCTCCCACCCATCCTTCTTCCCTCTATTCACTCCCTTCTGTCTTCTTTTCAATTCAAAATGAAATGTTACAGTTGTGTACAATGAGGCCAAAGATTCTGTAAATATTGTAATCAAGAATTTGTACTGTACTCAACAATGCAGTAAGTAAAATTGAAATATATATATCTGCCATTAAAATAAGTTGGTATATATTATTTACTTTGAAGTGACATCTTAATATCTTCTTCACCACTTTCGTTCCAGTCAATATTTCCTTGTCCACTTCAAGTAATATACTGAATCTCTAATTGCTTCTCTTCTACTTCTGAAGTATAGTCATAACTTTTTGTTCTATTTGTGTTGTTTCTCATATTGTTACCATTTAAAGCCCAGTGGTGACTATATGCATTACTTGCTTCAACATTAAAGAACTGTAAATTTGGCATGTACTATGTTCATATATTCTGTAGAATTCTTGCAGTAAACAGAATTTTTTTTTCCCCCTGAACAGCATTAATCAGATGGTGAACCTTATGGAAAGACAGTGTTTACTATTAAATATTGTCACATATATTAGTGGCATTGTCCTTTCCATCGCACAATGCCACATTGATCACACATGGATCAGAACGTTAGAGTACAACCGGACAGAGGGGAGACAGGAAGTGTGCAGATTGGAAGAGGAGTTCGACAAGGATGCTGTTTATCACCAATTCTGTTCAACTTGTACAGCGAATGCCTTACCAAGGAAGCTCTGGATGGGCTCGGAGACTTCAAAGTAGGAGGGCAAATTATTCAAACTGTGAAATATGCAGATGACCTTGTGTTAATGGCTAAGGAAGAAACTGTGCTACAGGGCATGATTGATAGACTAATTGAAATTGGAAGGTGCTATGGCATGGAAATGAATGTGGAAAAAACAAAAGTAATGAAAATTTCGAGACAACCAACCCCAGTCACAATAAAGATAGACCAAAAACAACTGGAGAATGTGAAATGTTTTAAATATTTGGGTAGCTTGTTAACAGATGATGGAAGGTGTACTTGTGAAATTAAATCCAGGATTGCCATGGCAAAAGCTGCATTTAGCAAGAAGAAGAATCTTTTTACCAGCAAATTGGACTTAAATTTGAGGAAGAAACTAGTGAAATGCTACATTTGGAGCATAGCTCTGTATGGGGCTGAAACATGGACACTTAGGGCAGTAGATCAGAAACATCTGGAAAGTTTTGAAATGTGGTGTTGGAGAAGGATGGAGAAGATCAGTTGGACCGATTATGTGAGAAATGAAGAAGTGTTAATTAGAGTCAGTGAGCAGAGGAATATCCTACATGAAATAAGAAAATGGAAGGCTAATTGGATTGGTCATGTTTTACGCAGAAACTGCCTTCTAAAAGAAGTTATCGAAGGAAAGATAGAGGGGCGGATAGAAGTGACAAAAAGACGTAAGAAGATGCTGGATGACCTTGGGGACAGAAGAGGATACTGTCATTTAAAGGAGAAAGCTCTAGATCGCATTAAGTGGAGGAATTGTTTTGGAAGAGACTGTGGACCTGTCGTCTTGACAGATTACTGATGATGATATTAGTGGCCAAGACACAGGTTTGGATGGGTGAATCAGTTTATTGGATCTTCACTAGCAGTAACTAAAATTAATTATTACATTATTGCTGATTTACAGAATTTACAATCACTCCACACTAATCTTCTCAGTCTATTTCCACTAGTCTTCAATATCTGATTCCAGACAAAGGATTTATAACACAGGAAATTTAAACATGTCACTAAATTACACATTCCCAATATCAATGTACTACAGCGCATGTAACATCACACACTAATAATAAGTGTTCCAATAAGCATAATAGACCACTGTAGGTCACAGTGCAAGGTCCAAAAATGCCCACCCCTTATACATTCAAGTCTTCTAATTATTCTTCTGGTCCCACTGCTGTTCCCTCGGAACTTTGGAAATTATCCAGGTGGGACTGAAATTAAATAGGACATATCAGCTGTTGTTCTATGCCGATAATGTGAATTTCTGGGTAATAATATAGATATCATAAAGAAAAACACAGACTTTGATTGACACTAGTAAGGTGTTCGATCTAGAAGTAAACAGGAAACAAATACCTGTTGCTGTCTCGTCACCAAAGTGCAGGGCAAAATCATGACATAAAGAGAGCCATTAGATGTTTTGAAAATGTGACACAGTTCAGATATTTGCAAACAACAGCAACAAATCAAAACTTGATTCAGCAGGAAATAAAAAGGAGACTGAACTTGGTAAATGCTTGCTACCATTCTGTCTAGAACTTTTTGTCTTCTCATTTGCTATCTAAAAACAAAAATTAGGGTGTGTAAAAGTATAATTTTGCTTGTGGCTCTTGTATGGGTGTGAAACTTGGTCTCCGACATTGAGGGAGGAACATAGACTGAGGGTGTTTGAGAACAGGGTGCTGAGGAGAATATTTGGATCAAGGAGAGATGAAGTGACCAGAAGATGGAGGAAACTGTGTAATGGGGACCTTCATAACTTGTACTCTTCTCCAAGTATAATTAGAATGATGAAGTCAAGGATGAGATGGGCAGGGCATGTGGCACGAATTGGGGCAAAGAGGAATTTATATAGAATATTGATGGCAAAGGCAGAAGGAAAGAGGGCACTAAGAAAACCAAGACACAGGTGGGTGGATAATATTAAAATGGATCTTAGAGATATAGGATGGAATGGACTGGATTGATCTGGCTGAGGATAGGGACCAGTGGATGGCTCCCGTGAACACGGTATTGAACCTTCAGGTTACATAAAATATTGGAAAGTTCTTGAGTGACAGCACAATTGACGGCTTCTCAAGAAGGGTTCAGCCCCATGAGTGAGCGGGCGAGTTGTATTTTTTATGGAATCTGTGTGTCAGCCGGTGAATTAATATCATCAGCCTAGACCAGGCATGTCCAACGCGTCGATCGCGGGACGAATTTTGGTCGATCGCATAGGCCTATAAGGAAATTATACATGAAAAGCATGTAAATTCACTTGTAATATGATATGATTATATTCAGATTTTGAAGGGAAAATACGTATTAAAGTAGTCTGTACTTTCTATGTATGTTGCTTTTACAAAAAACGTCATGTGTCATGTTATTTTTACCAATATTTTTGCTTAACGCGAGGTACTACACGACGATGGAAGGGGGCGGTACGTCACTGGCAGTTTTGACCGTTTTGACACTAAAAAGTCGATCACAACCTGTTTGAAGTTGGACATGCCCGACATGCCTAGCCTAGACCATAGACATTGGGATATTGTGACTGGAGCAGATGAGCGAAAATAGATGGCAGTAGCAGTCTACGCAGGTAGCGGTTGCGCGTACTTCCCATGCTGCTTTACCTGCTGCATATGCCGCCATGATTGTACTTGAAAATAAAGCGCGGGTTGTGAGTTGAATTTATTACGTAAAAGTGCGTATTTCGTAATTTTAATACCAATTTAATACCAACTGAATTCTGGAAATACACTTGAAAGAAGTAAGGAATTAACCAATTTATTGACATTCAGCAAATTTTCCGGCACTTTTCATCAAATGTTAAATATATCATTCTTGTCTGTTGAAGCAGAAGGTGTAGTTAGCACTGTTCTGTTGAGCTCATAAGTGGAGAACACAATATAGAAAAGTAAATTAATTAAGCAAAGATGTGTTGTAAGAACGTTTCTGTATTGCCGTAACATATCTTCACTGATTGGTATTCGCTGTTATTGGATTAATAGTAATTCCTAACCCTACAGCTTTCCAAATCCCAGTGAATTTGAGTTTTATGGTAACAACTGATGTAGTAATTAATACTTTTAGATTTGTGTAAGAACAGTACTTATTGTGTAACCTAATGTATTATGCATGCAGGACTTCATGTTTTATACAGGGTTATTCATAAGTCCGTGAAACATTTTAAAAATTTACAATAAATAAACTATGCAACGGATACCAACTTTTATTACACTGAAACATAGACTAGCTCACCAAGTTTTTTTTACGTAGTTCACAGATGCTCAATGTGCCACCTTTGCTGATATGGCAGACATCTATGTGATAATCCATTTTGTCCCAGAGTCACAGTAGCTGTGATACGGTAGCGAAGATCCCTGGGATTAGCAGAGAATGGAGGCACAAAGACAGTATCCTTCACAAACCCCCTAAAAAATAAAAAACTTCGATTCATTCTCTATCGGCGTAAGAATTACCATGATGAGATGCATAGTTTATTTGTTATGAATCTTTCAAATGTTTCATGGACTTATGAATAAGCCTGTATTACTGATACAGAAACAGCTACGAGGAAAAACTAATCAGCGATCAGAATCTTTGTAAAGTAAGTGTGGCCAGGCCAGTCCTGAAAAGTGAACTACTATGGAAAATCAGAAATTTTGGGAATGCCATCAGAACATGGAAAAGTGCATTATCAGCCTGGGATGCAGAAATATATGCTTATGGAAAATCGTTGCATGCAACCACAGTTACACCTAATCAGGGTAGGATGTATGTCAAAGGACTTACAAGTATGAGGACTGATTTTTTTTTCTCTGTTAGCAGGTGCCAGCCATGCCTGAGTACATGATTAATGGAATCCCCGTCAACTTCCCATTTGAACCGTACAGTGTTCAGTCTGCATACATGGAAAAAGTTCTTGAATGTCTAAAGAAGGTATAATGTTGTGTACCATATGATAGACTCTGAATTTTTCCCACATGGTGTACACAGTAAAACCATCATTAATATGGATTAATTTGGGGGAAAGGTAATCCAGATTAACAGAGGAAAAGTTAGCTATAAAAGACAAAAAAAAAAAAAAAAAAAAAAAAAAAAAAAAAAAAAAAAGAATAAATAAATAAAATAAAAAAAAATAAATGGAATAGATTCTTGTAGTTCATTATCTGATTGTTCTTCCATAGCAGAATCCTTAATGACATCTGCCGCAGTTTCTCCTTCCTCTGTCAGAAGCTGAAATCCAGGACCTCTCTCCCTCATCCAAGCTCAAGCCAATCTTGGATATATTCTTGCGTGTTTTCAGTCTCTCCAGCTGCCCTCAACACAGTCCTCTTGCTCCTAAATGCCATGTGTCTTTTAAAGTTCATACTCAACTGTGAACAGAATTTTTCATTTTTTTATCTGGGTTATCCAACTACCAGATTAACTATAGTTGGATTAGTGAGGGTTAAATGTATCTACTTTGTCTTTCATTATTGTCACCACCTTTCAAAGGTACATTAAAAAGTCAAATTTTGCTGAAATAAGTATCACTGTAGAGCCTTTATTTAAAAACTATAACAAGACAATACATTTATTCATGAATAGAAGACTCAGAAGTTGTACTTCTTTTTTAATGTAATGATGCAGGCTTTGAAGGGTCTATCGAGTTTTGTCTGAACAGACAAATGACTCATCTGCCTTGCTAAATGCTATGCGTCTTTTTGAAGTATGTACTCAACTGTGAACAGCATTTTTCATGTAAGATCTGAGATTTTGACAGCGGTGACTATGGAGAATGCCATCTTCTGGGATGTGGCACCATGTAGATCTTGTGTGAACCAACGTTTCAGAAGAACATCAGTTCACACAAGATCTACATGGTGTCACATCCCAGAAGACGGCATTCTTCAGCATTTTTCATATTTTGATCCAGATTAGTGAGGGGTTTACCATAACTGTAGTTCATACGATTCTCCCAATAAACTATGATATTTCCCAATTCAGGATTAACTGATTGGTCTTCGTGATGGTCATGCAGTGTGTTTTCTGTGAGGTAGAAGATTAATTTTGAAATATTATTTGAATGAATTATAGGCTTTAAAGTGTTTGAAAGTGCATTACTGCATATGTTCTATCTTTTGTAATTGAATCAGGGTAGGTAGACGGTCATGCACAGAGCTCCAACTGCAGTCATAACAATTACTTTTCATTTTATATATGAAACAAAGAGAGGTTCTCTTCTAGCCTCCATCCAGGATGTGGTCGCCTTCTTTTCTTATTTTACAGAGTATGGTAGATGAAACTTTAAACAAGGAATGACATCTAAATTCATAAAATATAGTTTACTCTTGTGACTGAATAAGATTTGGAATTAGGGTTTGAATCACATCCAGAAAATTCTGCCACAACACTTGCACATCACTTTCACAGCCATGGCTACCCTACATATTGGTAAGAGTGCAAAGTAAAGTAAATAAAAAAGTAAAAGTATCCCAGTAACAGGCCCTGAAGGCCCATAGGGTTGTGAGATGTTGAGGTTCCCACATTTTCTAGAAAATCAGCTCATAGATGGCAGCAAGGTTATCAGCCCTATGTGCTGACTGCCCTTTATCCCCAAGAATATTCCAAGAATATTCCTGGTACTCATTTCTGTTAGAGGCTGAGTCGACCCTAAGGCCATAGTGCGGCTGGAAGATTTAGGTGAATTGAAAAAATCCAATGACCTCATCAGGACTTGAACCCATGACCTTCCGGCTTGTACCATAGTGCCTCAACCAACTACACTACTGTGTGCCCCAGAGTGCAAAGTAAATTTCATAATATTGTTGGATGTGTTCTATGTTAGGTCTGCGGCAAGAAACAAGAAGCAGACAGGAAACTGACATTCATATATACCACAGTGTGCCATGATTTCTGTAATTTTATATGAAAGCTTTAATTTGGTTTTAAATGCAAGTCCAAAGATTGTGTAGCGAAAATTTTTATGTGAGTAGAATGTGTAAATCTAAAATGAATGCAAATAAAATTAATTGAATTGCATATTTTTCAACAGAAGATTTAAGCCAATTGACAAATGAGGGAATAACGAAAAGGTTTCTTGAGTTACATGATTTGAAATCCTGTGACCACCAACCTTTGGAACACAGCTGCTTCATATCCTGGAGATTCCATGATTACCCATAGATTTTTTTTTTAGAAATATGCTCACATTTCATCTGGTGTAAAGTGGGCTGAGAAGGTGTTGGTTACGAAGATTGTTTGCCCAATTTCAGAGAGAAAGTGGGATGCTGGAGTCCCCGACAGGCACAGGCAAAACACTGAGCCTGTTATGTGCCTCCCTCAGCTGGCTTTCCCTGAGGAAGGCCCAGCAACAGGCCGAGAGTTTAGTAGTGCACCGTCTGCCAGATGGTGACTTTGTGACTGGTCTACAGAACAGTCTTGTGGAAGCAGCAGGTCCTCTGAACATGCCCAGAGCGGGCACTTCGTCATGGGAATCTGGTAAGCTCTTAAGATATTTTGTAGGCTGGGAAATCCTTTTCTGCTTTTCACAGTTAAGAAGAAGATGCCTGCTGTTCTTCATATAGAATTTAGCCTGCATGGTGATGTTAACAAGCTGTACCCTTTTATTTTATGTTCTTGTTATGTATGTTAATAGGGGGCATGCAATAGCATAGTTTGATGAGGCACTATACTATAAGCCAGAAGGTTGTGGGTTTGATTCCCGATGGGGTGGATCTTTTCAATTTACCTAATGCTTCCAACTGCACAATGGCCTTGTGGTCGACTCAGCCTCTAACAGAAATGAGTACCATAAATTTTCTGGGGGGGTACACAGTGGCTGGCACATAAGGCTGACAACCTTATTGCCACCTGTGAGCTTGAATGTCTAGAGAAAATGTAGGAGCCTCAATGTCTCACAACCCTATGGGGCTTCACGTCCTGTTACAGGGATAACTTTATGTATGTTAATATGTACAGTGAAATCCTAGTTTTGTTTTCTTGTGTTTAGTGAGATCTCATATTCTGTGAGGATTATTTTTGGTTCCACCTGAAACCCAGTGTAGATATTTTATTATCTTCGTGTATATACTGTATTTTCATTTAGTGTTAAGTGATTTTTGATCTTCCAGAACTGATCTCTGGATCTTATGCGGCTGTACTACAGCAGCAGTGCATATTTTTTATGTTTTCTGTCAGAAATCATTACAGCACAACTGCAGTCTTTGGTGGCTGATATATCCAAAATCATGCCAGATGTAGCATCACAGTTCTTTGTTTCTTGGCATCCTTGTTTCATATGTCGTTAATTATTTTTGAAATTTATTTCATATTATATGTGTAGTTGTATTTGTTTGTGTAGAGAGACAGTTTCTTTAATTGCTTATGTAAAGAAATTAACTTAGCATAATTCTATACAGGAAGATGAAGAGTTTCATGACGCAATTTCATGTATTACCCATTTAGTGAAAACTTATGTACAGGAACAGATGATGGAAGCAGTAAACAGAAATTGAAGATATGCTAGAATTGGTGTCACAGTGAGCACCTATGTTAAAGAGGTGTTCAAACTATACCTGTAGATAATTCTGTCAAGTTTAGTATCTTAGCCCAAGTGTACGTTTCTTTCCATAACTTCTGAGTAATATTATATTGAAGCGTTCTGTTGCACTGTGTATGTTCCATTTCTTGCAACTTCAGTTAACATTCACATGTCTTCATCTCTCTGTTGTATAACATTACATATTTCAGCTTAACTGGCCATTTTCAGGTGATGTCTGTGACATCAAGTGTGCAGAGAAAGAATATACAGATACATACATACATACATACAGATCTGAATTATCTGATCAAGATCACCCATGGCACAGAATTATATTGGGGCTCTGAAATCTTGGGAAGGAGGAACTCTTGCGTGATATATTCTCTGGAATTCTCTGTATGTATAACTGTCTGTCTTCTTAATAATAATAGTAGCCGGGATAGCGCAGTCGGTATAGTGACTGGCTGTTGACTAGACGACCGAGGGGTAGGAGTTCGAGTCCTGGTAGGGTCAAGAATTTTCTCTTCTCCGTATTATCCAGACCTGCTCTGGGGCCCTCACAACCTCCTATTCAATTAGTGGGGGGGTTCTTTCCTTGGGGGTAAAGCAGCCGGGGCGTGAAGCTGACCACTCACCTCCATCTAGTGCCAAGGTCAAGAAAATGTGAATCTATGATCTACTGCCACCAACGTCTTCATGGTGCAGTGGTTAATTAGTTAAGCAAAGGGACACCTTTACTTTACATATTACAGATAAACCAGACATGTGCATAACAAAGGCGTGATAACCTCATATATCCCAGAATATTCCAAGGCATTCTCAAAAATGAAAAGCAGAACAAGATAATAGCAGAGCAGCAGGTTCCTTCAGCCAAATGTCTTACACACCAGAGGATGACAAGTTAGGCTGAAACATGTTAAAGGTAAAGCTATCCCTGTAACAAGCCTTGGAGACCCATAGGGTTGGATTGGATCAATCTGGCTTGGGATAGGGCTCTTGTGAACACAGTAATGATGTGTCAGTTTCTACTGAAGGCAGAAAATTCTCTTGACAAGCTAAGGAACTGTTAGCTCCTCAAGAAGCATTGTGATCCAAGGAGCCAGTTCAGGATCAGAACTAATATGAGGGGTGGAACTTTAATAGTGGCAACTATTTATTTACAACTGATACAAAATAGATGCATGTTTCGAAGTTTTACTGTCCTTCAGTGTAGTCACCAGCATTGTGTACAACCCGTTGCCAGCGATGTGGAAGTCGTAGGATACCTTTAGTAGCGCCTGTTGTGTTGATAGTTCGAATGGAGTGGTCTACTGCCTGAAGAATCTCTGGAACAGTTCTGAAGTGGTTCCTTCATCTTAGGAATAAAGTCAAAGTCACAAGGGCTTAAGTCTGGGGAGTATTGTGGATGGTACAGCACTTCCCAGCCCCATCGATCAAACAAATCAGCCACAGTTGCACCACATGCGGCTGAGCACTGTCCAGCAAAATGATGGGTGGGTTCTGCAGAAAGTGTCACCGCTTCTTTCTCAAAGCTGGTAGCAGGTTGTGTTCTAAAAATGAACAGTAATATTGCGCATTGATGGTCTGCTGTCAGGGAATGGTATGTGTTAGGATAACACCATCACAGTTGTACGCGAGAATCACCATAACTTTCACATTGCTGGGGTTCTGACAAACTTTTGATTTTCGTGGTGACCCGTAATGACGCAATTCATTCGATTGGCATTTCATTTGTGGCTCGTACGATTTGGCCCATGTCTCATCCAGCGTAATGATATGGCATAAGAAAGCCTCTCCTTCGCGCTCATAGTGCTCCAAGTGGTTACGAGCAGTGTCATATCATAGCCATTTCTGCAATTCCATCAAATCATGCGGAACCCATCATGATGCAATTTTTCTCCTGCCCAGGTGTTCCTTCAGAATGTGAAGCACAGTCGTATGCACTAATCCAGTCTCTTGGGCCAGCTCACGAATTGTATGGCATCAATCACTCTCCAGTAACACAGATAGAGCACACACTTCTTCTTCACTGACACTAGGACAAACTGGCCAACTCATGTCTGTCACATTTTGGCGTCCCCCGTTGAAGGCTTTTACCCACCTTGCCACTGTTCTGTAAGGCAATGCAGATTCCCCGCAAGCCTCTTGAAGACCTTGATGACACTGTCGTGCTGTACGGCCTCTGGCACATTCAATCTTTATCCAGTTCCATTGTTCCTGTTTCGAAAACATCATGACAACACTACATTAGACCGCCAGCTAACATGAGGCTCTGTTCTTCTCTTCACTGCACATGTGCCTGATGTGGGAAGGGAGAGTCGATTTGCTCTGAGGTAAGGTAGGTATGTAACTAAACATTATTTGGTTCCGTTGCATGGCGTCTCTACAGCAGTGTTGCCACTATTAAAGTTCCAACCCTTGTATGTGGACACCTCAACACAGAATGAAGGAACATGTATAACACAGTACTCTGTATTTATACTGCTGCTTGCAGGTGGAACACAGATTATCTATGCATCGCGCACACACTCACAGTTATCGCAAGCAATTCAGGAGCTGAAGAAAACTGGATATACTCATACAAAGATGGCAGTTCTTGGCTCTCGGGATCAGATGTGCATTCATCCTGAAGTGTCAAAGGAAGAAAACAATATTGCAAAGGTAAATGCAAAGAATTCTGTGTGAAGCAAAATTTCAGAGTCTGTAAGATATGAATTTGAAATGGATGTTTTTAGATATGACTAAAAAGAAGGTTTGAACCTTGATGGTACCTCACAATCTTTATCCATTTCCAAATGATTGTCACCACTGTAACAGCCAATCACAGTAACTCACTCCTTTGAAGCCTGAAATGAATCTATATAATACTGACATGTGGACCCATTGCCAAGTAACAGCTGTGTGAGCAGGTGACAGTACAACAGCCATTGCTAGAGAACAGCTCTGTGGACATGTTTACCTGGCAGCAAGTGGAAGAGAGTTGTTGGTTGAGTCATTTGAGAGTTGCAGTTATAGGAAGTGAAAAGCTGAGGCCAGGGACAGTTTGGGAACCCGGAGGAATGGGAACGTCCATCATTGGAAGCCTCCACCAAGCAACAGCTAGTGAAGACTGACAGGCCTGTTATACTTGCTATAGTTACAGTGATCTTTGTATAGTGTGTACCTCTGTGTGATGTCATAGTTATTTTTAGTTACATTTTGTAAGAGTTCAGTAAATCCGGTTACCAATCCAAATCTCATCTCTAGACATTGTTATAGCCGTTTCTGGTCTGACTCTTAGTAACATCTTTTGGATTCCAGTTTGTTTAGAAATGTTGGTCCTAACTGTATACCTTCTTATTTGTGCTTGGAATTTCTCAGAAATATTTCATCCATTATTCTGTGTCTAAATCACCTTTGAGGTTGCATTATTTTCAGAGAGTGACGTAGATTGTCAGGTCATTATCAGAAAGTTTCTGTATTCTGTTTTCAGCACACAGCGACAACCAAAATTGCCATACCAGGGATTTTATTGAACACTCAGAGGATCTCTTCTGTAAGGCTGCTAGCTGAAGGTGTCATATATACTTACAGGTGTTTCAGACAGGGGATGCTTTGGTTCTGCTTATGGTTCTGTTTGTGAGGGTCCATGTTTCATTGATTGAACAATTATCTGTCTCTGACCAGATGCACAAATGTCAAGCATATACCAAGAGCCATGCGTGCTACTTCTACAGCAATCTTGAGAGGAAGAAAACTGACCCAGCACTAAGGGATGTTGGCATTCTTGATATAGAAGACTTGGTAAAACTGGGTCAGAAACAAAGAGTGTGTCCATATTTCTTGGCACGTGACCTCAGAAAGGACGCCGATGTCATTTTTATGCCATACAACTACATCCTGGACCAGAAACACCTCAAGTCACACGGTGTGGAACTTACGGTAAGAAATACAATTATTGTGTCTCTGGAAATTGTCCGTCATCCTGTTTTTATTTAAAACACAACACTTTGGAGACTGGATTCTGTCTCTGTCTTCAGGTGGAGCCTACTCAGTTGGGCCCAATCGATAGAGCTAGTCCCTGTCTCTGGACACTAGTCTCCGAAATGTCATGCATTTTAAATAAAAACAGGATGATGGGTAATGTCCAGAAACACAATAACTGTATTAATATACTATTGTCATGAACTCATAGAAAGTTTATATTCCACCTTTAACGAAGACATTCTGCAGTTCCTTCAGCTTACTTGTCTGTATAATTATATGGTAAATTACCATTCACAATTTTGGTCCTTACTTTCTTAACAGATATTAAACTTTTTTCATTTGCATCTGTTTCTTCATTTTAAGTTCTTACAGTTAATTGAATTTGCAGATAACGAAGTGAACAGACAGATATAATGAATGGAAAACATCCACATGAAATATTTGATGATATAGGAAATTAGATCATTCAGAAATGGGTAACAAGTAAGGAAACAGTGAATGAAGGTAATTAACTTCTGACTCAGTGGAACAGGGCCTTTGAGAAGCTAATAATAGGTACTCGGCTAGTTAAACTCAAAGGTTCAGTACCATGTTCACAAAGTTCACCACTGGACCCTATCATGAGTCTAATAAATACAGTTTACATGCTCAAACAATGTGTTTGAGATTCATTTCAATATTATCGTCCGGGCTATGCTGAGAGTCTGTTCCCATCACATTTCCCAAGTAAAATTTTGTGCACATCCCTGATTTCCCTTGTTCTTTGACTCTCTCATTGTCCCTGATTTGTTACACTAATAGAATTTGATGAATAGTACAAAGCATGAGACTCCAGACAGCTGCTTGCTTGTCTTTACTCTTCAACTCTGAGAATGGGAGCAGTTTGTTCCTATAGAACATAGGTAAACATCCACCTGACTTCACAGTATCACTCCCACAAGTCAGTGTTCTTCATGGACAGGATGGAGAACCTCAAACCTCACATTTGTTTCGACCATTTTTGCTCCGATAAATGTTAGGAAGTCATGCTTGAAATGGCACAGATACTAAACCTGATCTGTGGTTTGTGGGTTGATATCTGAAGATAAGGAGACAGATAAGCGTGAAGCTAATTGGCACAGTTTTGCAGCTTTGCATGGGAAACATGTCAGAAGGAAAGTAGAAGAACATGAACCATATTGAACTCACTTATTTAGCATGAAAAGTTAGAATTGCTTTCTCCCCCTGCAGAACAATGTTGTGATCCTGGATGAAGCCCATAATGTAGAGAAGATCTGTGAAGAGTCTGTTTCCATTTGCATTCGCAGTACAGATGTGGCTCTATGCATACAGGAAATCACACAGGTGAGAAATAGGTCATATGAATTCAGGATGAGAAAGTTGTCTGGACAGCCCTTATGGCCTGCAAAATAGTGAGAACTGCTTCTTATGTCTCACCTCATCTCATTCCTCATTTGTCATCATAATGGAGTAGCTAAGGTAAGTTAATAAGTAATAGACTAAGATGGTAAACTTTGCTTGAAACATCTTTGAGAGTACATCATACCTTGAGTGAGCATAATATTATATTTGATCATCCTATTGCATCAGTGTAATTACTTGTACACATTTGAGGTCGTATCAGAAAGTTCCTGGGCTGTTCTGCTGTAACTGCCTGTGTGAAGGAAGATGAGAAGGGCGTCCAAGGTCACACTTCGCAAGCCTATTGCATCAGCCTGCCACATGACACCGCACTGTAAACACACATTGTTTTTAAGTGAGTGCTTTTTCAGTTTTTGTTTCATTTTGTCTGCCATGGATGGCAATATTGAGCAATGTGTCTGCATCAAGTTATGCATGAAGCTTGGCAAATCTGCTATCGAAACCCTTGAGATGTTTCGTGATACTTTTGGAGAACATTCTTTAAGCTGGACAGCGGTTTTTGAATGACATTCACATTTCAAGGCCAGTCCAGTGTCAGTTGAAGATGACGAATGTTCAGGATGACCAAGCACCAGAAAACAAGAGAAAATGTTGAAATAATTCAAGAACTCATCCGCGAAGACTGTCGCTGAACAATCCATTAGCTTGCAGACACCATTGTGATCAGTTATGGAGTTTACCAGGTGATCTTAACAGAAAATTTGAACATGCGCCACATTGCTCCTTCATCACGACAACACACCCACCCACACATCCCTGAAAGCCACAGAGTTTGTTACTAACAACAACACAGTTATCATTCCCTATCCTCCCTACTCGCCGGACTTAGCCCCCTGTGATTTTGCTTTGTTTCACAAATTGAAAATGAAACTGAAGGGATGACGTTTTGAAACAGTGTCTGACATCCAAAGGGAATCACAAGTGGTACGCGACAGAATTAAGGAAAATGGCTTCCATGGTGCTTTTGAAGTGTGGAAAAAGCAATGGGATTGCTGTGTATGTTCCCAATGAGACTATTTTGAAGGAGATGGCAGCCAAAATTGAGTAAGTTAAGCCAGCATGCCTTTTTGGGCCTAGTCTGGGAACTTCCCGATAGAAGCTCATATATTTCCAGCTGAAATGTATCTTATTATCTTGTCGCTCTCTGGCACTACATCTCGGCCATATACGTCCGTCATCAGGTGCATGTCTGCCTTACCAAAATTGTTACAGTAAGTTAAAATTGCAATTTGCATGTGATCATGACATTATTTATTAATTAAAATATATATTTAGAATTAAGATTAGAATAAAAAATTGAATTAAACTTCTGAATGTTCAGATATTTTGTTTCTGGACATTGTCCATCATCCTGTTGTTATTATATCGATTGGGCCCAACTGACTAGGATCCACCTGAAGATGGGGACAGAATACAGTCTCTGGGATGTTGTGTGTGAAGTGTACAACCCTCTGCATTTCAGTTCCTTGTAGTTCAGCTGAATAGAATGACATTACAACCCATGTTCAGAGTGACCACTCTGAAACCCTCAAATCTAATACAACATGGAATGTATTTCTGCCTGTCTGAACCAAAATAAAGATCTTATCCACATCACAAATATTGCACTTGTAATAAGATTACTATTAATGAGACTTTGAACGTATGCAGTTCTGTCATTGACACTTTTTTTAGGTTTGTTAGCCCTAGAAGTGCCATATTTAATTCGTGCAGTGCCAAGTCACCATTTTAGGTTCTCACAGCTGCTCGTCTTTCAAGGTTAAAAAGTAATAAAAACTCCCTAGGGACTAAAAATGAAGTGAAACGGTTCTTCCAAATGTCTCCTGACTATGTACTTCAGACAAAGTTCCGACATATGACCCATGCCAGTATAACAGTTTTTGTAGAGGTGGAAATTCTTGACACTCAGCTCAGGTCAGCCCTTCTTGAAAAGCCGCCAACTGCGCAGCTACTCAAGAATTTCCCAGCATTTTATGGAACCTGAGGGTCAATTACCGTGTTCACAAGAACCCTCCACTGATCCATATCCTGAGCCAGATCAATCCAGTCCATACTCTATGAGATACATTTTACTATAGTCCGCCCACCTACATCTTGATCTTAGTGGTCTCGTTCCTTCTGGCTTTCCCAGCAATATCCTATATACATTCCTCTTCTCCCCTATTCATGCTATATGCCCTTCCCATCTCATCCTCCTTGACATGATCATTCTAATTGTACTTGGAGAAGAGTACACGTTATGAAGCTCCTCATTATGCAGTTTTCTCCAACCTCCTGTCACTTCATCTCTCTTCAGTCCAAATATTCTCAACACCCTGTTCTCAAACACCCTCAGTCTGTGTTCCTCCCTTAATGTCAAGACCAAGTTTCACACCCATACAGAACCACAGGCAAAATTAGAGTTCTGTATATCCTAATTATTTTAGGGAAGACTAAAAAATAATGAAATTATTTGTCTGGAACAAAGAAATTAGTATTTGTAAACAGAGTGAATGGTATTAAAGTTAATTGAATCAAATATTTTTCACGGAAAACTGAGAGCAAGAGAAATCAGAGGATTAAGAAATGTGAGTATCACATTTTATGTTGTACACATTATTGAGTTATGCAGTCACTTTTGGGAACATGGCTATTTTGTAAGTGAGGCAGTAGCTGTATGTTGAAACTTAATTCGAATGTGATCCATATTGTGATCATCTGGTTTATGACACAGCATTTGATAGGTCGGTACCAGCGTTTTAGAGGAACTTGCTCATTTTCATCTTCTACCTTGAAGATAGAGGAGTATACGTGTATTTGTTTTGCAGTAGATACCCACCCACCAGACTACATGGTGTCAAGACTGCTGCAGAAACCTGAAATGTTATACATATGAGGCATTCAGCCTGTATGGTAGCAGACTTGACTTAGTGAAATATATGCACTTCTGTCATGCTGTCCCAGAATATATTGTTCCTGTGATCAGTGGGAAGTGTAGCAATGGAGCTCACTGTACTGTCTCTCTCGTCTGTTGTGCCAGGTGATGGAGAGCTTATATGGGAACGGGGAATCTTCTGCAGAATTCTCACAGAGGGGAGATGCAACACAGCCAGACTTTTCTCCTGAGGAACTTTGCATTCTCAAGACAGTGTTTTTAGAGGTGGAGAAAGCTATTGATGACATTCCAGTTGAGTCAGGTGGCTCAACATTTGATGGCGGTTTCATTGTTGAGTTATTGGCTAAGGCACAGGTATGTGGTGAGATTGAGATACTGAGTAGTGGCTGGCAAAGTCCACCCATTCATCAGGTGTTATGCAAGGCAATATTTGGAAATTACTTTTCTCTTTAGAAGAATTCTACTGATTAAAGCTTCTGGCTACTATCTAGCTTGGAAATTCTGCATAGTCACACCACAGTGATATGTGATGGCTGCTTCTGTAATTAACCTCGGTTTTGCACTTCAACATTTCTTTTCCAGACGATTGATGATAGAGCATACAACCAGTACCACAATGTTCACATCTGACAGTTATATATGGGTATCTGCTTCATTCGTATAGATGCAGTCACACTGAGAAATTATATAAATCATTCAGTAGCTTCTTCATGTCTGTCTCTTCATCTTTGTATTCCTGTTTAAACTTGGGAACAACTGAATGGATTTTGTTAAAATTCAAACAGGGTTTAGTAAAACTGATACATTAAAATATTGGTTAAAATTGCACAATAGGAATTGACAGTACATGAAGACCTACACTTCATGATGTGCACATTTAAGGCATAACTTACTAAACTGGTACAAAAAGTGTTTTGAGGGAAGGTTTTGTGTAAGAAACTCTTTGTGTTACACAGTTCATATGGTTTTGAAATAGCTTAAGAAAGATGATTTATATGATGTGTCATCTCAGCTTACGAACCACTGGACTTAAAATGAATGTGACGCTACAAGTTGTGAGCAGAAAGAGGGTGTATTACTCCACCTTTGTATTCTAGATTCTGAAAGGTTCTGACGATTTTCTATCAACCAGTATTCTAAACGTCCAAAAACCCAGTAATTCTGAGCTTCAATTTGTAATTTTCATGACTTCCCTCATTTTCAGTACCAGATCATCTTGCTGTTTTAATTTACCATGCCAGCCATTGATTAGGCAACCCTGGTAAAGGTGGAAAGTTGAAAAAGAATCTTTTCATGCTGTCCGAGCAAGTTCCTGCAATAACCTTTTTCATCAGTCTTGTAACTATATGAAAATGCTGAAGAAATGTGGTACCTTTTCTCAAATTACTGTTTACTTTTCTGCAGAAATATAACTTCCCCTGAGAGGAGATATATTTTATAATGCTTCTGTTTCTGTGTAAATGTGGGGACTGCAGTAAGCAGCCATTCATGCAAACAGCTGTTCTCATCTTGATCCTTGATTCTCTTGGTTTGCTGTGGAAGCACCACTGGCTGCACAGGGATATTTAAGTCTAAGCACTGTATGCAGGTATGAGCTGGTATAGTGACTGGCTGTGGGCTGGAAGACCGAGGGGTCAGATTTTGAGTTCCAGTATGGTCAAGAATTTTCACTTCTTCACATTGTCCAGGCTGGCTCTGGACACCACCAAGCCTCCTATCCAATGTGTGCCAGGGTTCCCCCGGGGGTAAAGCAGCAGGGACATGAAGCTGATCACTCACCTCAAACTAGTGCCAAGGTTAAGAAATGTGAATCTGTACACGCACTCCTCCATATGGCTTCATGGTGTACTGCTTCATTAGTTAAGCACAGGGACAACTTTTTGCTATATGCAAGGAAGTGTTACTGTACAGATTTGTTGTCATAAAAACAAATTTTGTAGGCAGTAGGCATGTTATTAAGGCCTGGCCCGGTAAGTTCCGAGATTATGTTTAACTTGTGTTCAGCAAGTTTAAGGTGAAGCACACAAGCATCACAACACACAGACAAGCAACATCAACTACCGACAGACAACACACGTCAACAACATCCCGAAGCAAAAAGATTGGGCCAAGCGGGAAAGAATTCTAGGGATTTTAAGAATTCTTACTTCAAATAACGAAACATAATTTTACAGAATTAACGACGAATCAAATAAGGAAGCTACTGTGGTGTGTGAAAAACTTTTAGTGAACCGACATTCTGGGTAATTTTAACTATTTGTAATTATTTTAATTAACTGGAACGTGGCTATCTTGGACAAAGTGAAGTTTTGTGTGTTGGTGATTTCTTTTTCTACTATAAATGCCTCTGATGATGGCTCCGTGGTGAGCCGAAACATGTAAGGCAGGTGCTGACGAGGTGGAAAACTTAAAAAAGTGTCACATTTGACGGAAGGAACTTGATTGTTAATTGTGTTCAGCACTTTGCTCAGCCCAAGTCACATTGTCCCTTCTGTTGGTAACATGACACATGCCAGTTGCAGATTTCACTGTCTGTCCAGACTTTCCAAGATGATTTCTCCAGTTTTGTTGGGTATCCTTATGTCTCTTAAATTGTATATGCAAATCCTCTTGTGTGGTAACTTTATTTTCTCTTGGATTCCTCTTCTTTTTTTTTTTTTAAGGAGACAATCCAGATTTTACTCTCATAAGTAAATATTTTTTATGATGTGATGTTTTATAAACAAGGTTTCTATGTGCATAAATATAGAATGTTTAGTGCAATAGAAGGGGAAAGATAAAAGAGTCTTTCTGATCCTGATTAGCTTTGGCAGTTTGTGTACTGCTCTATGTTACAGTTGTATATGTGCCATCACAGCAGTTGGAGACAAGTAGGACAGGATGACAGGAATAAATTTATTTGTGTCTGCAATAAATAAACATAAAACTATAAGGTTTTCACAATATAAATTTGATTTGTTTCATTCTGGTCCGTCACACTAACAATTACAAATATAAATCACTCCTTCCAATGTGACCTGTAAGTTTATTACTACATGAAAACTTAACACCCTTACATGTTTCGGTCTCTGCGGACCATCTTCATAGGGCAAACATCACTACAAATAGGAAACCACCATCACATAAGACGTAAAGTACATACACTTATATGCTACAATGCATAGTACACCAAATAGAGCCACGAGCAAACCCTGGAAGATATAAAGAACCTCCACATCAAGATAGACAGGTGGCACAATATCTGCCCCATACAAGAGGGACGATGTGAGGACGAACACGAGCCTGCATGGTTTATGAATTTTAATTATTGACATGCAAATTTTTAATTAGCATCAAGAAATTTTAAATAATTTTTTAAAAACTTTACATTCCCAGGAAACTGCTGTGTTTGTGAAATGTTCTATTTTGTGTACTATGCATTGTAGCATATAAGTGTACGTACTTTACATCTTATGTGATGGTGGTTTCCTATTTGTAGTGATGTTTGCCCTCTGAAGATGGTCCGCAGAGACCGAAACATGTAAGGGTGTTAAGTTTTCATGTAGTAATAAACTTACAGGTCACATTGGACGGAGTGATTTATATTTGTTTCACAATATAGTTTATTTAATTCCATCTCATTTGTTTTAAATTTAGTGGTCATCCAAAATATTGAGGTGGGAGACAGTTGGCAATATTCAGTATAAGATCCCTGAAATTTTGTAAAAGAAAATAATAAACCTCTTTCCCTCCAACCCTTCTTAACCACATGGCCTCTCCCACTGGAGAGCACCCTGCCACACCCTCCCTCTGTTAGATCTCTGTATCGGTCCGCTTCCTTCTTCCCCCTGATGCGTGCTCTTTGGTGTTCACCAGGATGTTGGAACGACTAAACCCTGTGAAGATGAAGTCACACATCAGCATAGACCATGGATAAGAACAATGCTGAGTATTCTTCTGGGATATGACACTGTTGAATCCCAGGAAACTCAGACCAGCACGTACATTGACATTTAATCTGTTTGTTCATGCAGAGTCAGTATTCAGATAGAGGAAGTTAGAAAAGCAAATGTCAGCACTGTTTTCACAGTGTCAGTCAGATGTGGGCAACTTTCTGTTGTAAACTGATTTTATGTGATTGTGTAATCGATGCCATGCGTTCTGCAGTGTATCCTGTGGCTCTCTTACAGGTCACATATGAGAAAAGCCACCTGCTGTTAGATTTGCTAGTGAAAATCGTTCAGTACCTCTCCGTTACTGGCAACTCACCCTTTCGTTACAAAGGAGCAGCAATACAAAAATTTGTTGAGTTGCTGAAGATTGTATTCAGAGCAAGTAATGAGAGGACAGTTCACATAGGTCAGCTCAAGCGGTGTTTCAAGGTAAGCTGTTGTCATATATCGAAATTTGTGTCATGAGCAGCAGCGCCACCGACACGTTTGAACAGTTTCAGGAACAAGGAGTACTATATTATTTTGGCGCACCTGTTAACACAGTACTTCACTATCTCTTTGTGCTTGAGTGGTGTCAGTACCTGTTTTAGTCTGCCTCCTCTTTATAGGAAGAAAAGGTACCTTTTTGCGATCACCATACTGTGTGTGCATGTGCATCCATGTGTCCTGCCTCTAAACCTGTTAATTGTTCCATCAATTTTCTTGAAAGTGGGTATGAATGTTGTGCTGTGCACCTCCAACATCTTTCAATTTCCTGCAGTCACTAATAACAATATGGCACATGCATGAAATACAGCAGTTAGAGTGATGCTAGTGACACCTTATTTGCACCACTGAAGTGATGTGCGATAATTGATCTTCAGGGAATATGCAACTTTTGTTTCGGTAACTGTTTTATAGAATGCAAAACAAAACGGCAACCATGTGAATTTCTCTTTAGCTGTTGGTCTGATGGTCATAATGAATGCACCATTGGTGCAAGATGTATGAACTTTGGTATGGGGCTAGACTGTACACATGTGTACACAGTAGGCAGGCAATATCATTTGTAAGCCAACAGTTCCAGTTGCTACGCTACTCAGAGGCTAAATATGAAATTTTAAATTAGACAGAATATTATATTTTAGCATTTGATCGGCAGTCTCCAGCCATCATCCAACAAATAACTAGCACCATGGAGTTGAGTCCTTCTTGAGAAGTCACCAGTTATGCAGCTACTAAAGAATTTCCCAACATTTCATGGAACCCAAAGGTTCGTTACCTTTTTCACAACTGGTCCCTATCCTGAGCCAGATTAAACTAGTCCATATCACCCCATCCATTTTAATATTATCCTTCCACCTACATGTAGTGTTCCTAGTGGCCTCTCTCATTCCTGTGTGCATTTTGTCTTCTCCCCATGTGAGCTACATTTCCTGCCTATCACATCTTTCTGGACTTGATCATTCTAATTATATTTTGTGAAGAGTTCAGGTTATGAAGCTCCTCTTACTCCAACTTGTCATTACGTTATTTCTCTTCAGTCCATATATTCTCAGCATCCTGTTGCCAGTACAGGACCTAATAAACGAACAGGGAAGGAAAAAAGACAGCCTCAGTAAAAATGAAATGCATTAATTTCATCAACCTCTAAATGATTAACACTTGGATTTTAAATCTCTACTTTAATTTTAAATAATCTTTTAACTTCAGTGACACATAATTGAATGTGGTGCCTGTTACGTTTCTGTTTTCTGCGTTGTCCGGAATGAGGCTAGATACGGAGCAGCGAAGACTATTCATAGTCAGTTCTGAGTCAAGTTCTCGAGTTACGAGTTACGAGTCAGCCAGGTAGTCAACCAGCATTTGCAATGTAGTATTTGTGATACTGCCGATGGCAGTAAATGTCAGATTGTAATTTGTGTGATTGTAAGAGTGAATGTGAAATAAAATTTGCTATATCAAATATGGCATGAAATTATTTGTCGTGTTATACGCCCAACACGTGACAGTATGTACTGCCAGTATAGGAGCTCATGATGAATATCAAGAAAGAACCTGATGATGATCAGAGTGTTGCTGTTTGTACTAATAATGCTAATAAGTGAATGTGACACACGCCCCCTGTATGCATATGCTCCCTCCCTGAGCTCAGGTCACATGACAGTACATAACAACACAAGACCAAGCCTTAGCTTCATATATGTGAGAGGATAACAGTTACAGTAGTAACTTCTGTAATGATTGCTTTCTGACACAACCTTATGGGACTGTTCGTTCTGTAAGGTTCATGTGACTGATGAAGAACCAAAGAAGTCGAAACTGAAGTCTGATTCTTGGGGTGGGGCCAAAACATCAGCCAGCATTGTCAAGGAAAGAGTTATCACTTACTTATGCTTCAGCCCTGCTTTTGGGTGAGTGCAATCTTCATCATTCTTCCTCAGTGAAGTACAGCATACCCTTATAGACTAGTGTACTGTTGCATGGAGAGCATTCCTTCTTCATGCCTGGAAGAACCAGCATGCTGTATCTTGTATTATTGCAGTCATGCATGTGCACAGTCCAGCTGACCATATGTTGTGTTATTGTCACTATGCATGTGCACAGTCCAACTGGGTATATGTTGCATTATTGTAAAAGTGCGTGTGTGCAGTCCAGCTGCTATATGTTGCATTTTCGTAGTAGTGAATTGAACAGTCCAGCTGACCATATATTGCGTTATTGTAACAGTGCGTGTGCGCAGTCCAGCTGCTATATGTTGCATTATCGTAGTAGTGAATTGAACAGTCCAGCTGACCATATGTTGTGTTATCATCACTGCATGTTAACAGTCCAACTGGCTATATATTGCGTTATTGTAACAGTGCGTGTGCGCAGTCCAGCTGCTATATGTTGCATTATCGCAGTAGTGAATTGAACAGTCCAGCTGGCTATATGTTGCATTACAACAGTACATGTGCACAGTCAAGCTGGCTATAATTGCATCATTGTAACAGTGCATACGCAAAGTCCAGCTGGCTACATGTTGCTTCGCTGTAACAGTGCATATACACAGTCCAGCGGGCTATATGTTGCATTACAACAGTGCATGTGCACAGTCCAGCTGGCTGTGTTTTTGTGTTATCACCATAGTGCATGTTAAGGGCAGTATACTGATGGCCATGTCCTTGGCAGTGATGCCATTTGCATGATATATTCTCTCCCCACACATCACTTAATTTTCTGTCATTTATGCTAATCTTACACAGGATGAAGCAGCTACTGGAAAATGATCCGCACTGTGTGATTCTTACGAGTGGAACGTTGTCACCACTGTCATCACTTATGTCTGAGCTGGGGATACCAATTCCAGTGACATTAGAGAATCCTCATGTCATTGGCTCAGGCCAGGTGTTTGTTTCTGTTATATCAACTGGACCAGATGGATTTGCTCTCAATTCTTCCTACAACACGAGGTGTGTCTTAAATTTTATGTTACTCTGTTGATTCAAGCAGTGCTGATATACATTTTCTTGTTGCACGTTCCTGGTGCAATCAAAATCAAAAGTCGCAAAAATGCATTTATTAGCTTTACCATGTCTGTTTTCATTTGCATATAAATTGAGAACTTCTGAATGAATTTTCATTAAATTTTATATTGACAAGTTTTACTAAAAGTTCTTGACATATTCCAGTTTTGCTTGAAATCAGGAAACAATAATGGACGCTCTATGAAGACCTGTGTGTGTCCCTAGGCACATAACTGTAACATGCTAAGTATTTATCAAAGCAAGAAAAGTTTGAAGTGAAATTTGCAGATAGAAATTAAATTCTTGTTTATGCTCAGTGCATATATCTGTAAGTCTTATGAAAGTAAGTGAATGTGCCAGAATTGTGCTGAGGATACATTTCCTAACTTGTTTGTTATACTGTACATTTTCAGATTTCAGTTTTCTCATACTCGTACTTTTACAACAATATAGATGTATATGATGTGAACTGTGTCCCATGTTGTACACATGTTTTGTTGTGGACTTGTATGAAAAAGACAAGTTTAGAGTGTTTTGGAATGTCTTCAATGTCCATAAGAAACACAGTACACTGCCACCTTTATGTCTTTATATCTTCTCATTTAAATCTCAAAAATAATTTGTCTTTGCTATTCAATTTTTTCAACTTACACTGCAAAATGTCAGTAGAATGAGTACTAAAGTAAGGAGCAAGTAAAGCTATCCCTGTAGCAGGGCATTGAGGCCAATAGGGTTGTGAGACATCCAGGCTCCCACGTTTTCTAGACAGTTGGCTCACAGATGGCAGTGAAGTTGTCAGCCTTATGTGCCAGCCAGCCACCCTTTACTCCCAGGAGGATTCCTGGTACTCATTTCTGTTAGAGGCTGTGTCGACCCCAGGGCCATAGTGCGGCTGGAAGGATTAGGTCAATTGAAAAATTCAGTGGTCTTATTGGGAATCAAACCCACGAATTTCCAGCTTGTAGCATAGTGTCTCAACCAACCGTGTGCTCCGGAATGAATACCGAATTATGATAATATTATCAGTTCACAGAATTTGATACATTTTGTCATTACACAGCTGCTCATGTTGTACACAGACTTTGTTTAAGTCATTTATCCATTGCCAGTTAGGCACAGAACAACCTGAACAGGCACCAATATTTATGATATCTGTGTGTCACGTTATGAATGATGTCATGTGGTGCAGTGGTAATATAGTGTGACAGCCCTCTGATGCATATTTCATGTCTCATATAATGCAGGAATGACCCTCAGTACATATCGTCGCTGGGGATGACAGTGTTGAATGTGTGTCGTATTGTGCCTCACGGGATTCTGGTGTTCTTCCCATCGTATCCCGTCCTCTACAAGTGCAGGGACGAGTGGCAACAGTCTGGTCTGTGGTCTAAGGTTGCCGCTCACAAGGTGTGACCAGTTTGTTTCTCTTACATTTTGTCAACATATTCACTCATGGAACTGAGCCCTTCTTGAGAAGCCACCAATCATGCAGCTACTCAAGAACTTCCCAGCATTTCATGGGACCTGAAAGTTCATTACTGTGTTCACAAGAGCCCTCCACTGGTCCCTATACTGAGCCAGATCAATCCAATCCATACCATCCCATCTCTCTAAGATCCATTTTAATATTGTCCACCCACTGATGTCTTGGTCTTCCTAGTGGTCTCTTTGTGTCTGTCATTTCCACCAATATCCTATATCTTTCCTCTTCTCCCCAGTTCATGCTACATGCCCTGCCCATCCCATCCTTCTTTACTTGATCATTCTAATTTTAGGTGGAGAAGAGTACAAGTTGTGAAGCTCCTCATTGTGCAGTTTCACTTTTTATATATTATGTTTGTAATTTCATATGAAGTATTATTTTATGTTGTCCAACTGTAAATGGTTCTGACAATGGTGTGTTACTGGGTTTGTGGAATTTTTCAATCATTTTAGAATATTACTAACAGAACCTGATGTTTTGGAAACTGAATCTACTTCCATCCTCAGGTGGAAAGATGATTGTATACCCACTCAGTTGTGTCTAAGTACCAAGCTAATATAGCTAGTTTATGAACTGGACATTGTATTGTCCAGCGATTGGCTATTGTAATAGAGAAATGCTGTAGAGGAGAACAGATGTGAGTGCCTATAGAATAGTTACACCGTCTGAATGTACACATGTTCAAGCTGGAGTTCTTGTTCTTTATGCAGGATGTGCCTGCTTTCCTGTCAGTACCACAATGCAATGGGTAAAACTTTAAAGAAGGAATACCACTTCAGTGAGGAATTAATGTTTCTCGTACAATTATAGATTGTGAACGAGGATTTAGATCACCCTCTAAATCTTGCGCAATGCTTTAACAGCCGTTGCTACTGTATGTATGGGCAAGAGTACAGAGTAATTTCATAATATCGTGATGTGTTCTTTCTCTGTTAGATTCACAGTAAGAAATGCCTAGAGAAGTTATATAAGATTATATTGTACCATCCCCATGCACATCATTTATTATGCAACAGATGTCACTGGTTCACTGTCTTACATGCAGCATCCTTCTAAAACTTATTTAAAAGTTTCTGTACATTGTACTACACATTTCAACCAATATTGGTCATCATCAGGTGTTTAAAATTGTTGGTGGAAACTGCTGTGCTTCTGTTTCACAGTTCTAATATTCGATGTGTAGTCCCACCTATGTGCTTGTGTATCCCAAGGTGTTGCATGGCTCTTTTTGTTGTGTTGTATTGTGTGTCTACACTACTGGTGTTAAAAGACAAATTGTATGATGTAAAAACTTTAAACTAAGTTTTAAAAAGGCCGCGCCATAGCTCAAGATAGTCACTGGCTTCCCACCGCGGTGGCCCGGGTCCGGTCAAGTGGGATTTGTGGTGGACAAAGACACTGGGGCGGATTTTCTCAGAGTACTTTGGTTTCCCCTGCCAATCTTCATTTCACCAAATTCGCCATCGTCATAATCACCCGGGGCAGGCTACAATAGGCCAATCAGTGGCCGCCGTGCCGAGTGGACCCAGTTTGACTCCACCGCCCAGTAAACAAAGTTTTAAAAGGATGTGTTGCATGAAAGATGGTGAATCAGTGACATTCGTTGAATAAGAAGTTACATATTTCTTATACTGGACTTTTTTGATTCAGGGCTATCTACCTCCTTGAGTTCATGTTACACAGTTTCATTTATAGTTTGAGTCACATGATTATTACACTGAAAGCAAACTTTGTGAGTTCAAACCAAAACTATTGTGACATTTGAAGGATATCTAAGGTAACTATTCTCTGAATTGGCTGAAGTGAAGCAAGTTACAGTACATATTGACTGATTAATTTTCACATTTCGTTGGTTCAGAATTGTTTTGAGATTTGAGGATGTCACAGTGGTCAGCATTCAGATTTCAGTCTTCTGGGATGTATTCCCATCTACTCAGGAAGGTAGGTAGGTACCAGTGTTTTTGATTAGCTTGCTGAATGATGGATGTGCCAATTTCCTCCAAAATGTGGGTACCTACGAGTATGTACCATGCTGAATGGGATCACATCCCAGAAGATCACGGTTTCTGCTTAAACATTGTAAGTTTTAATACTCAGGATTAGTATGTTCTTTTTTTACTTTGTCCATTGTCCAGTATTCTACAAACTAGAAAGCACAATGTTTTGGAAACTGGATCTGTTTATAGATTCTAGAATACCGGACAGTGGACAGAGTCCAAAAGCCCAATAATTCTGAGTATTATACACCATCATCAGAACCCTTTAGTGTCTACTTGCAGCAGTATATGAGAGGTTCATGAGAACTGTTGTATTCACTCTACCTTGCAGCCAATCTTTGTAGAACCGAGAAGTCGTGACGGCTTCCACAGCACCATTTCTGAATACTACAACAAGGTGCAGGATCCTGCCACAAGAGGAGCTTGTTTCATGGCTGTCACTCGAGGCAAGGTGTCTGAAGGACTTGACTTCATGGACGTGAATGGTCGAGCTGTTATTGTAACAGGCCTCCCATACCCTCCCCTGATGGATACGTATGTCAAACTTAAACGGAGCTACCTCAGAGAGAACCAGGGAAAGAACGGGACTCAGGTACCTCATCCTGTTCTTTTCTTACTTGAATTTAAAGTCTTGAAAAAAAACATTTCCAGAATTTATGTTTCTTGATTTTGTTTGCAGGTACTCCACATATTTTCAGATATTACTGAGCATCATGGTGAATAGTTAGCATTCCTCATTTATGTTCCAGAAGTCCTCGGTTCAAACCTTGGCCTGGACATCAACTGTCATGACAGACATTTTGTAGCCTAATTTGAGGTACTTTCCCAGCATTTTCCTGGTGGGACCCCAAGAGAATGACAACAAACATCAGGACAGCTGGTCTCTGGGCTGAAATTTGATCTTGGACCTCCCAGAAATGAAGCAGGGGTGGTGCCCACCCAATCGCGCTCTTCGGTCTCATGACATCAGTAGAATGCAAAATATCTGATCAGTTGACATCGTACATTAATGAAAAGCAATAGTTTATTTTTGTATGGTGATAAATATGAATTTCACATACATCCATGTGTGCTGCATGCCCTGTCGATCTATTCTTCATCTGATCATCCTAATAATTATTTGATGGAAAGTACAAATTATGAAACTCTACACTTTTCCTTTTCTTTCACCCTCATGTTACTTCCTCCCGGGTCCGAATATTTTTCCCAGTGCCCTGTTCTCAAACTTCCTCAGTGTATGGCCTTTTCTTAATGTGAGAGGCCAAGTTTCGCACCCATACAGAACAACATAAAATTATGGTATTGTATAATTTAGTATTTACATTTTAGACAATAGAATGGTAAACGTTCTGAATTGAATGATAGCAAGCTTTCCCTGAATTTATAACATGCAGTTAAATTCTTCGGAATTGCAATTTCTGTTTGGTACTGTTGTTCACAAGTACAGTATCAGAACAGTTTTTTAGCTATCTTTGCAGTATGAATGGCTGTAATATAACAGAGACCCATACATTGCAGTGTCTGACTGCGGACGAGTGGTACCTACTTGAAGCCACACGTGCTGTGAATCAGGCTATCGGCCGAGTGATAAGACACAAGGACGATTATGGAGCCATACTTTTGTGCGACCAAAGGTTTCAAGGACTTTCTTTCAAAGCAGCGCTGTCGTCGTGGGTTCGGCCACACATGAAGATGCACAATTCATTTGGTTTAATGATACGAGAACTGAAACAGTTCTTCGTTAATGCAGAAAAGACAGTAAGTCAACACTAGCATCTTACAGAATATGAGGAGAATTATTTTGTACCCTGTTCAGTCCAATATCTGCAGCTTTAGTAACACAGATATATGTGTGCAGTAAATGAATAAAGGGTATTAGAAATTCAAAATTTGGAAGGATTGAGTAACCCTTTGAAGCCTGAAGTTTATCTTCATTATATTTAAAATTTAGTTCCTTATAGAAGACATGGTATCTTCATTAGAGAGACCAGTTGGTTAAAGCTGTTTGGGGAAATAATTGCTGTTTATTGTGAAACTCATACAAAACATAAATTTGGTCTGAGAAGAATGCAAAGCTATTTAATTTTAGTGTAGGTTCTACATATATTTACCAATGTGCTTTGAAGGATTAAGGAAGCGTGTGCACTCCAAATTGAAGTACACCATTCCATTTTCATAACCCTTTAACTTCTTAGAGCTGTATGTTGCATTACACAGTCCAGTTGGCCTAGTATTGCATTTTTACATGTTTGTACATTTATTCCTGAATTAAAATCTGGATGCCAACCACATAATACTGAGAAATTTAAAATCCCCTATTCTTGGACAATGAAGGTTATGGTGGGTTTCCCCATAAAGGCTCTACATTTAGATATTTCAAGAAAGTTGGTATTGAAATTGAGACACTTTATGGTTTGTTGGCAGTTGCCGCCCCCAAGAGTTAAGGCTCCTTCCTGTGAGTTGAAGGCTCCTCCTGTCGCAGCCTCGTTTGACATGACTGCCAAACGCTCCTCGACAGTGTCTAGGACAGGGTGAGTCTCTGTACCTGGCACAGTAAATTTGCATAAGATGGCTGCTTACCTCTTGGATTGAAATTGAAGTGTCACCAGTGCTTGATGTGGCAGTGGGCCACTGGTCACAAGGACAAATGTCCAGTGATTCACTATATGAAATGTTGTCATGTTGGTGGCCTTGTAGCAGTTATGTCTACTGTGCATATGCAGTGATTCTCTGTGCGCTGCCTGACATCAAAATTCTGAGCAAAGACATTTGTAATACTAGAAAATATTGCTGGGATTTTGGACTCTTTTCATCATCCGGAATTTTAGGTGATAGAGGACATGGCGTTTCGGAAACTGGATCTGTTTCCGTCTTCAGGTGAGAAAGGAAGACACCTACTCAGTTGGGCCCCTTAGAAAGAGCTAATCTCCTTAGAAGGTGTCTTCCTTTCTCACCTGAAGACGGAAACAGATCCAGTTTCCGAAACGCCATGTCCTCTATCACCTAAAATTCCGGATGATGAAAAGAGTCCNGAAAATATTGGTTGGTGCACTTTGTTCTTGTGGATAAAAAGTGCTGAGGAGAATATTCAGACCTCTGAGGGATGAAATAATAAGAGGCAGGTTTGTTCTGCTCACCAAATGTTATTAGGCTCTCCATGTTAAGGAGAATTCGATGGGCAGGCCATGTATAACATAGGAATGAAGCATGCATACATTTTGGTATGAGAACCTGAAGGAAGGAGACCACTAGAAAGATGCAGACATGGTAGGATAATACTGAAATGAATCTTAGAGAAATACAATGGTGTGGACTGGTTAGGGACCAGTGATGGGCTCGTGTGAACATGATGATGCTGGCAGAGCAGCTGTTTGCTTCACAGCAGGGGCTCAGCTCCCATTAGATATTACTGTGTTTCTGAACAGTGTCTATCTTCTAGTATTCTGAACAGAGCACAACATTTCATAAGCCGAATGTTTCTGTCTTTGGGTAAAAATGGCACAGAGTCACCTGCTCACTTGTGTCCATTAAACAGAGTTAATCTCAGTCAATGGATAACCCAAGTCAGTGAACTCTTCTTATACAGTAATTATACTGTAGCATCTAGCGTCAAGAGGAGTACAGTGTTCATGGTTGTAATACTGGATAGTTCAGAGAGAACCTGACATTCCATAGAAAAAAATGACCTCCATCTTCAAGGTCAAAGAATAGGATACAAGAAATCAGCAGAAGCAGATGGCAAGCAGAGTTTTTGCTTGACTTGCTCTTTTACCCTGAAGATGGAGGAGATATTTCTTCAGAAGCGTAAGGCTCCCTCTGAACTGTGCTCTTTGTGGTCACCAGAAATCGAACCTAGGAGCAGGTTTTGTTGATAAGCAATAAGTAAATTTACAGTAAAAGTTTTAGATACGTATGTGAAGGTCTAAGGGGGCACGTGGTAGCGTAGTTGGTTGAGGCACTATGTTACAAGCCTGAAGGCCATGGGTTCAAGTCCCGATGAGGTCATTGGATTTCTTTCAATTGACCTAATCCTTCCGGCTGCACTATGGCCCTGGGGTCGACTCAGCCTCTAACAGAAATGAGTACCAGGAATATTATTGGAATGTTCTTGGGGGTAAAGGGTGGCCAGCCCATAAGGCTGACAACCTTACCGCCATCTGTGAGCCGAGCGTCTAGAAAATGTGGGAACCTCAACATCACACAACCCTGTGGGCCTGCACTGCCTGTTACATGGATACCTTTACTTACTTTATGTGAAGGTCTAAAACTAAAACAGAAGAGGAAGTTTAAAATATTATCTCCTCTGACAGAACCTCACCCAGGCTGCTTATACTTAAGTATGGTCTGGTTATTGAGACTAGCTGTTTCTAATGGACCCAGTGGAGTACGTGTCTCCCAAACTTCTCACCTGACTACAGACAACATCCAGAAATCGAGTAGAGCAAAGGATAACGTTACACTACCAAAATGCTTTAGCACTGATTCAGTGTGTCACAAATGATTGATCTCCTAATTCCATCTCATAGGAATGCAGCCCCACAGGTCAGCAGCTCTAGCTCAACTTCTGAATGGTCACCAGATGATTACCTTGCTACAGCTGCTAGTAGCTTACCAGCAGAGAAAAAGACTGACTTGTTTGAAGCTTTGGAGAAGCCGACTACTGTCATAAACTTAAACGACACAAGTGCCGTGTCCTGCGGCAAGTCTCTCTTTAAGTGGGGTGACAGTGAGCTGCCCAGAGCTAAGAAGATGAAGCTGAAAGTTGCTCCACCAAAAGTCATTGTGTCATCATTTCAGGTAAAACTAATATGATCATCATCATCATTGTCATTAGTTCCCTTATTCCTAGATGGACCACAGAGCATCTACAAAATACCGCCCCTGGACCCTATCCTCAGCCAACTTCTAAACCTAAATTCAATTCCTGCCTTCATACACCTTCCTCCTGCTTCTGTTTTTCCCAGGCTGCTCTTGTTTCTCTGCTTCTGTTCCCTGAATGTTTCAGCCCAGTGCATTCCTTTCTTTGCAGTCACTACATTTCCATTGCAGTGTAATTTGTTCCAGTAGCTGTAATTGCGCAGTCATTATAGCAACAGGCTACAGGCTGGATGGCCAGGGTTTGATTCCTGGCAGGTGCAAGAGATTTTTTCTCTAGGCCACAGCTTGTAGACCAGCTTTGGGGCCCACCCAGCCTCCTGTCCAATGGGTACCAGGTGCTCTTTCCTCGGAGCATGAAATTGACTACTCACCTTCATTTGGTGCTTGGTCAAGAATAGTAGAGCTATACCTCCACTGACCCCCATACATTTTCATGGCATAATGTTTAATTGATTAAGCACAGGGAGATCTTTACCTGTCAGTTCTTATCATTATAGTTTTACAGTGCTTTCCAGTAACAGTTCGCACACATCTACATAACATGCAATTTTTTCGCAAATTAATCTTATCAAGAAGTTTATATTCAGAGCAACTGACATGTTTTCAAATGGATATAAACAGACAGATGCTACAAATAAGAGGTATTTTTGTCGTTTGATTTGATTTTGATTTGAAGTGTATAATCAGTTTACTTTTGTTATACTACGAGGGTACGTCAATTAGTAAGTTACAAATGGGTATAGAACTTAAACAAATAAGAGTACTGATTTGAAAAATGCTTTTATTTCTCAACGTAATCTCCCTGTACATTGAGGCATTTGTCCCATCATCTCACAAGCCCCTGAAAATGAGCAGCATAAAATTCTTTGGGCTGCTTTTGGAACCAGGCGGTGGCTTCCCTTTCTATGGCTTCATCGTCAAGAAAATGTTCAGCCAAAAGATGATGATTAAGAGGGCCGAACGAATGTAAGTCGCTTGGAGCAAGGTCAGGGCATACGGAGGATGCTCGAGGACTTCCCACTTGAAATTTTGCAGCGTCTCATTTGGTTGACAGTATGGGGATGCGCGTTGTCATGCAAGAGCAACATGCCTTTGGTGAGGAGTCCTGGTCGCTTCCATTGAATGGCCTTACGAAATTTCTTGAGGATGTTGCAGTAGGAGTTGGCATTTACGGTTTGTCCTCGAGGCTGGAATGCGGTGAGCAGTATGCCTTTGTGATCCCAGTCACCTCCTGGTTCTGACAGCAGCCCAAAGAATTTCAGGGGCTTGTGAAACGATGGGACAAGTGCTTCAATGTACAGGGAGATTATGTTGAGAAATAAAAGCATTTTTCAAATCAATACTCTTATTTGTTTAAGTTCTATATCCATTTGTAACTTACTTATTGACTTACCTACGTACAAATTTCTGTTGTGTGTAGTCATTCCTTTTAGCTACTCTTTGCAATGCCAATAATACAGATTCTCTGTTAAATTTGTCAGGTAGAACCTTGTGAGTTTTCAGCTGTTGGCATGTCTGTAATTGTTACAGTGTTGAAAGTGTTTATACAGAATTTGTTAATGGGTCTGTGATGTATAAAATATTGAATGGTGTGGGCAGTGATTAACTGAAGCCAAATTTAGATCCAATACCAAAACAGTGTAACAACCTGGTGAACTAGCTAGCTCCTGTCTCAACTCTGCAGACTGATGGCCAACTTCTCTCAAACTGGACTCGCCAGTAGGAGCCAATTGAAGGTGAAGGTTGAACCATTAATTAGCAAGGTAGGAGAGGGAAAGTGGGAGAAGGGTGAGATACTGGCCATTGCAGTGACCTTGAAACAAAGCATCAAGCCATGCACAAGTCAAAGTAATGTTGTTGTGGTTATCACTCTCCAGAGTTGCCTGAAACTGCATTCGTAGGGTTGGATCCTGCCTGTGATGCTTTGCAGCAGGTGACTGAACCATGCAAGTCTGTGAAAAGGGAGTGGCGAGTGAAGATGCGAACTGTATGGCCACCTAAAGGAGAACTGAGGAAACTTTCGCAGCTCAAGTAGTTACAGCCTGTGACAGAACTACTGATATTGAAAGGGCGCCTGGGCAAATGGATTTCTGTAAATGAAAATGAGGAATGTCATTTCAGGACTCGGTAGACCTGTCGGCCGGAGAGGGAGGCAGGGCAAAGTCAAACCCATCACACTCCACATCAAAACCAGGCTCATCCAAGGATAAAGCCCCTGTCAGCAGTGCTCCTAAAGTGCAGGAGATCGGCTCATATCTGATGGAGGTATTGCCAACTGTTACATCAGTGTTCTTAGTATTTAATGTAAAAGCAGATATGATTGGCGTTATTATTGCTGCATTTTGTGTACATATAGCTTATACAATAATATTTTGTGAATGCCTACATGCAGCGCGGAAGCCGGGATTGCTCAGTCGGTATAGCCACTGACTACGGGATGGATGATCAAGGGGTAGGAGTTTGAGTCCCAGTAGGGTCAAGAATTTTCTCATTTTGTCCAAACTGGCTCTGGGGTCCACCCAACCTCCTATCCAATTAGTACTGGTGGCTCTTTCCCTGGAGGTAAAGTGGCCAGGGCATGAAGCTGACCACTCACCTCCAGCTAGTGCAGAGATAAAAGGAAATGTGAATCTATTCATCCACTCCCCCATACGCCTTCATGGCGTAATATTTAATTAGTTAAGCACAAGGACAACTTTACCTTTACCTACATGCAGTATGTTGCCCTTTCATCTCTAACGTCACTGTGTAATAATTTATTCTGATTTTAATTTATATTCATTTAGTTACATATGTAAACTTATCAAGGTTTTGTTGTTCATATTTCATGTTTATGTCACTGACATTTTTTATTTGAATATGTAGCATATAATGGCTCTCTCTCTCAAATCACCCTTCACAGAGTAAACATAAATGTTTGTCATTTTTCATATTTTAGTCTGTGGACTGTTACTGAGTAAGTAAGTAAGTAAGTAAGTAAGTAAGACTGGAGGCTGGTAACAACCTCGAAACAGACAATGAATCAACATACATTATTGGGCAACAACTGCGGGATAAGCATATGTACCAAAGCCATTACTGGGTAACGCCTTCACAAACAAAGCACGTTCCCACAGAAATGATCTGAGCAACAATACAAGAGCTGTGTTTTCTGTTGGTCCGAGCTGAGATGTTGTAACCAAGACACGTTCAGAAGTTAGTCAGCTCAAAGGGAGCCACCTTTCAGAGAGGACTTGAGCATGGAAGCAGAGGAATTGCCATTGTTAGAAGCTGTTACCGGCAACTACTGGTACAGACACAGCAGACTGTAGTCATTTGTAAAGTGTGGAGATCAGCAACGGCACTGTAAATAAGTGTAGTCATGAGTCATGTATTAAAGTGCTTAGTAAATCCAGTCTCCAATCCAAAACACCATCAAGAATCACTCTAACATGTGACAGTATTGAAGTCTGAGCCATGACGATGACTGAAATGTGTCATAGTGTATCATATTACAGCTGAACTTTGTGAAAACTGTTCAATATGTCCACCTGTTGAGTGTCCACACAATTTTTCCAGACACTTGAATAAGATATCACCACAGATATGCATTTAAGTCTCAGGTGGGCACTTTCAGTACTCAAACATGAAAGTAAAGATAAGGAATAGTTGTCCCAGTGCTCGTTTAAGCACTGCACCATGAATGTGTATGGAGGAGTGGAGATGTAGCTCCAGTTGTATTCAACCTTGGCACTAGGTGGATGTTACTGGTCAGTTTTACATTCCAGCCTCTTTATGTTCAGAGAAGAAGCTCCTGGAAGGCTGGGTGGGCCCTAAGGCCGATACAGAGAAGAGAATAATCTCTTGTCCCTGTCAGAAAGCGGACCCTGATTCCTGAACTTCTTAGGTCATGGTCTAATCTCTGTACTGACTGAGAGTGTTTCGTTATTAAACAACCATTTTAGTTTTATATTGACGTTATTGTGAAAGCTGTCTTTATTCCAGTCCTTCTTTGTCTTATTTGAGGTTTCAAACTGTCATGACCCAGTAAACTTTATAAACTGGACCTGTGTTAAGGTGATTTTTCTTCATCAGAATCTCTCATTTAATATATCTGTGACATTCCTGCCACATTCTTCCCATTTTGTACTGTCATAAATAAATAACAGTCAAATTTCAGTGACACACATTATGTTAACACACATCTGTTGCAAATTTACAGGCTTCAATTTATACTGTTTTAGACAGTCCCCCAGAAAAAGCCTATGAAGCAGAGAGGTAAAGTTATCTGTCTGACAGGCCATGGAGGCCCGTAGGGTTGTGAGATATCAGGGCTCCCGCATTTTCTAGATGACTGGCTCTCAGTTGGCGGTGAGATTATCAGCCTTACATGCCAGCCACTCTTTATCCCCAGGAAGATTTTTGGTACTCATTTCTGTTAGAGGCTGAGTTGACCCCAGGGTCATAGTGTGACTGGAAGTATTACGTCAATTGAAAAATTCAGTGACCTCATTGAGAATCAAATCCATGACCTTGGAGTTTAATTATACTCTAGAAGCAAATTACAATTATAAAGTAAAAAAGTGAAGGTATCCCTGTTAACAGGCCGTGGAGGCCCATAAGGTTGTGAGATGTTGAGATTCCCACATTTTCTAGATAATGGGCTCATAGATGGCGGCAAGGTTGTGAGCCCTACGCACCGGCCGCCCTTTACCCCCAAGAAAATTCCAAGAATATTCCTGGTACTCATTTCTGTTGGAGGCTGAGTTGACCCCAGGGCCATAGTGCGGCTGGAAGGATTAGGTCAATTGAAAAAAACCCAATGGCCTCATCAGGACTTGAACCCACAACCTTTATCCCTTAAAAATGGATACTTATAGTGTGGTTCCTCTTCAGTTACACTGTATGTATGTGTGTATGTATACATCCAGCTGAGGTTGTTCATGGTTTCCCTCAGCCAATTATCAAGATAGTACGTCAAATTAGACAATGACTGCTTCTTTCCACATTCTTTCCAGTTCATTATTCACTAATCATCCTGTCATTCAATGCTATATAGTTCGAGATACTGATAACATAGTGCATAAACCATAAGTAGGTAATATGGTCACATGATGGAGTGACTAGAGACAGGGTTTGGATTGGTAATTGGATTTACTGGATGCCTACACTTGTAACTACAAATAACTACGACAGTCTCACTGAGTTACGCACTCCAAAGACCACTGTACCTACAGTACACATAAAGTCTTCTTGGTCTTCATTAGCCATTGCTTGGTAGAGGCTTCCAACAGCAGACATACCCCTTCCTGTGGGTTCCCGAACTGTCCCCAGCCTCAGCTACCAGCGTCTCACTTCCCACAACTGCAACTTTCAGCTGACTCAACCGAACTACTGGTCCTCATATAAAGCCCTGGCATGGACCACACAGATAAGTCTCTTCCATTATTGCTTGTTGTCTCATTGCTGGGGAAGTAGTGTGTCCACAGAGCTGTTCCCTAGCAATTGCTGTTGTATTCTTCCCTGTTTACACAGCTGTTACTTGCCAGTGGGTATGCATGTCAAAACACATACTGATATACTGGTATGTATAATGCTGACCAGTATTTGTGGGTTGGCAGACAGCTGCAAATTGGCAGTGCCCTTTATAAGGAGGTCATGAGGAAGGGGCTGTACTCTTTGTTTATGTATATGTGTACGATTTATTGCCCATACTAATGATGTTGAATCTATAATTTTGCCTGTGGTTCTGTATGGCTGCCAACTTTAGCAGATAGAGGGTGTCACGTGGTCAGTGCAATGAATCCCCACCGCTGTTGATCTCTGTTTTGTAGACCGGAGCTGCTGTTTCCTTGAAATAGCTCCTCAGTTATCCTCATGAGGCTGAGTGAACCCCGTTTCAGACCCACTACTCAGGAAATCTGGTAGAGCCGGGAATCGAACCCAGGACCTCTGGATCTGTAGCCAGGAAATCAGACCACAGAAAGTTGGCACTAACTTCGCTGGCAAGTGGCGGTCGCTCGGTCGGTATATTTCATTTGTGGATTACAGGCCATGGAGCTTGTTTTGTTTTCTGATTTTGTTCTGTATGGGTTTGAAACTTGGTCTCTGACATTAAGGGAGGAATATAGAATTAGGGCGTTTGAGAACAGGGTGTTGAGGAGAATGTTTGGACCGAAGAGGAATGGACTGATGGGAGGTTAGAGGAAACTCCATAATGAGGAGCTTCATAAGTTGTGCTCCTCGCCAAGTATAATTAGAATGATCAAGTCAAGGATGATGAGATGGGCATGGCATGTAGCACGAATGAGGGTGAAGAGGAATGCATATAGGATAGTGGTGGGAAAGCAAAAAGGAAAGAGACCAAGATGTAGGTGGGTGGACAATATTAAAATGGATAGGATGGGATGGTATAGACTGGATTCACATGGCTCAGGATAGGGACTAGTGGAGGCACTTGTGAACACAGTAATGAAACTTTGGGTTCTGTGAGTTGATGAGAAGTTCTCGAGTTGCTGCACAACTGGTGGCTTCTCAAGATGGGCTCAGCTCATGAAATTAGTTTAGTTACTAATGATTTTCACAAGGATTAATCTCGAGTGTTGTGCATTCTGGCTTTGCAGGTGAAGAAGTCGCTAGACACAGTTACATATCAGAGATTCTCAAAGTTGACACGGGCCTATGACAAGGAAAAGGACTTTGCTGCATTACTGACTGCTCTGTGGGAAGTAATGATGGGGGATGGCAGGAACCTGAGACACCTTTTCAAAGGTAAAAAGATTTGCAATGTGGGAGACTTCACTGATCTGTAAGATTTGAGGTTTTTTACAGCGGTGGCTATGAAGAATGCCATCTTCTGGAATGTGTGACCTTGTAGATATTGTGTAAACCGACGTTTCAGAGGAACATATCGCCTCCATTTTCAAGGTATAAGACATCTGTGGGTGAGGAACCCTGAAGATGGAGGTGATATGTTCCTTCGAAATGTCAGTTTTGGACAACACTTTCCAGAAGACGGCATTCTACACTAATCAGCATTTAGTTATTCCTCCTTTAAGTATGCTTAATAAACTTCTAGGGATGCTGTTGGTAACTTGATATATTATTGCATCATGGAGTATAGTGCAGTCTCACTTTATGTGAATTTGAAGTAGTGCAATGTAAAAAAATATTAATTAAGTCTCAGTTTAAGCACACAGTTTAATGGAATAATGTGATGATTATGATGATATAATATTGTAATACATGTAATCATTTGTTATATTTATTAATAAAGTGTCATGTTATACTACGGTGGTTATAAATATATGTGGTCCCAGAACACATCCCCATTGCTTTACGTTTATTCCCATGAGAATTGTGCAGGATCTTCACATGAATTATGACCGGACTGTACATGCTTTCCAATCTTGTTTATACTGTATGTGTTCTGTAATCATCCTGGAAATGTTCTATGGCCTAAAGATTGGAAATGCTAATTTCATGTGCCAGTTTCATGAAGTCACATGCTAACTGTGAGACCATATAGCACATACTTACCGTCAGGGCCTAGTTTGTGTCAAATTCCACTTTCTGTCGTCATCCTACACTGCAGTAAGGAGACTGTTGTTACAGCATTGTACTGTAATATTGTCTTATCCTATGTACATTTTGCAATTTTTCAGGTTACAGACGTTTCCTTCGGGCGAGTCATAAAACGAAGTTTGACGCTTACTGTGCTACCATGATCCCTGAATGACAGCTCATGCCAAAAGGTCATAATAATATGGTAAGGTCACATTTCTTGAACACAGTTGTGAATGGCTGTGTAAGAGCACTGGGTGACATTTGTACAGAACATCTTCGCCTTTTGGTGGATAGTAATCACGTTAATTTAATGTAGGGCAGTGTGTGTGGTTGGATACCTGATCTAACAAACTTATAAATGGCTGCTGTATTCAGTGTATTGGTTCTAAACCTTCTCTGATTTCACGGACTGATAAAAGAACAGTGTTGGCTGTCTTAGGACTGGTACAGTATATGTCTCTGAAAGTAAAGTACATGTGATAATCTGCAAATATTATTACTGTCATGGCTTAATCACATTCATTTTCAGTATAAAAATGAGTGTCTTACAAGGGAATGGTCTGATCCAACATGTCGAAACCTGCCCTGATTTCTTTTTCACTGCAAGATTACACACAACAAAATCCACTGTCAGAATTTTAGCTGCTAATACGCCCTGCAAGTATTTTTTAAAAAATGCCGAAGTTACTCATTTTTTCTGTACACGGAACTGCTTGTACCAGAGGTTTGTACAACCCCAGCTTAGGCTGTAAGTCGGCTGTGTTGCGTACTGCTCTGCTCTGCTCTGATAGGGGTGGACATTTCTCCAATGGTCTGGCAGGCTACAATATTGGCTGTGTTCAGCAATTTTTAAAAAATACTTGCAGTGCGTATTAGCAGCTAAAATTTTGACAGTGGATTTTGTTGTGTGTACTCTTGCAGCGAAAAAAAAATCATGGCAGGTTTCGGCATGTCGGATCAAACCATTCCCTTGTTAGTACAGTTTCAGAATTGAAGATGTGTCTAATCAGCAGCAGTGAACACACATAATTTTAAAAAATTGTGCACGAGCTATGTCGAGTGCTGTTTCATTGCCATGTGTTTTTTATCTTCTCTTGCCATTGTCGGTTTTGAGTCTCTCCCATTGGTGAGTTTGAAGGGCTGCATCTTCTGGGATGTGACACTGTGTAGTCCAGTACAAGTTGTCTGACATTTGGAAGTACCCTGCCTCCCAGTAGGAAGGTAATAGGATGCAGCTGGCTTTCCTTTGGAACTTCTGCTGGTTTCACTTTCCAGAAGACACTCCTCTTCTGTTACCTGGGGGCAGTGAGAGCCTGTATTTAGTGAATACTATTTTATTGTCTCACCTGAAGACCAGAATAAGCAGTGTGTGAATTTTTTTTTACATTTAGTGAACTTTTTATTTAATGTAAACAAAATTTCAACTTCCCAGAATCTGTACCTTGTTTATTTTGATTTTGATTGGAACAGCAGTGCATGATTATATGTATTTGTGCTGCAAATAATAGCCCCGTAACCATAATCTTTGGTGAGCGACATCACATACTGAATATCGTTGGTGTTTGATTCTTGACTACCGATGTTTTTCATTAATTATTTTAGAAATTAATTATTATTGATCATGTAATTGTATTCATTTGTATGGAAACTTTCTTTAACTAAGCACATAAACATCTGGATTGAAGACAGCATACTATGATCTGAAAATTTCCGACAAGCCAAAACATGTCTGCTAGTGAACAAACGATGTGGCCTGTAGTCCACAAGCAATCTATACCGACTGAACAACTGCTGCTTATCAATAAAGTTAGTGCCAACTTTTGTGAATAGAGGGATCTGCTAGTGAATTTAAAAGAAATTGTTGTCATAAGTTACAAGAAATTAATTATGCATAGAAACAATTTTATCATACTTACTGTTGTAACAGGAGTCTGGATAACTCAGTTGGTATAGCAACAGGCTATGGTCTGGAGGACTTGGGTTTGATTCCTGGGAGGGGAAAGAGATTTTTCTCTTCCCCATATCACCCATACTGGCTCTGGAGCCCATGCAGACTCTTGACCAATTGGTGCCAGCAGCTTTTTCTCCAGTAGTAAAGTTGCAGGGGCATGAAGCTGACCACACACCTATCTAGTGCCGAGGAGAAAAATGGTGGAGCTGTACCTCCACTCTCCCATATGACTTCACAGCATGGTGCTTAATTAAGCGCAGGGACAGCTTTACCCTTCTACTGATTAACATCCATTGAGAATTTAAGAGGAAGTCTCTTCATGTGTTATATAAGCTCTTTTGTTATATTAACTTCCCTTTCTTTCTTCCATATTCCTGTCCAGTCCTGCGTGTTATTGAATGATGTGTTAAGGTTGATGCTTAATGACATTGCCCATGCATAACTTGCTCAAATAGTCAATCCTTTACATAGTACTAGCATCCCTGTGCAAAAGAGTCTGCACTGCAACATCACAAACTCTTGATCTGGTGTAAACACATCTCATAATGAGAAAGTAATAGAGACATAAGTTGGTTTGAATTTGGACCCATCTAATAGGTACAAAATATATGACTTTCCTATGGTTGTCTCCCTGAGAGGAACGTATTTTATCTTCATTGGTTTTCTTCTGTGTTCCACTATTTGAGAGAAAGAGGGTGGAATAGACAGACAGGCAGACATACTTTGGCAGCTGTACATTACTACACTTCACATATCAACATCAGCCTTTTCATGGCTCAAAGGACCGCACAGTTGTTTGAGACCTACTGCGACAACTTACGTTCATGCAGCCTATTAACACTCAACAGTTTATCGCTGTAGTAAACCAAAATTTAGTAAAGACAATACTAAATCTGATGGTTATGAAACTTACTATATAGTGTCATTACTTGGTAACAGCATCCAACAATGGACATTCCCCTTTCTCTGGGTTCCTGAACTGCTCCCAGCAACTGAACCGCAGCAGTTCTTTGACTGATGCTTTTAAAGACTTAACTCACTCATTATACAGCCTGGGCATGGACCACACAGAAAACACCGTTCCTGTATTGCAGTGCAGTTGTTGCTTTAGCGACATGACATATTCCTATGTTGTTGTTTACAGACCGTTTCCTAGTACCAGCCGTTTTTTTTTACTCCACAGTTCTTACTGTGAACAAATATGCCACAATATATAAAGAGATGTACAGCAGCAAAGCCTATGAGATGCACTTTTCTTGTCATAATGTTCCATGACCTCAATTTAGTGTATGAAGAGAATGTATTTCACCCAGAGATTCATTGAACAGGAACTTTACCCTATCTGATTGTCCCTGATGGACAGTTTGGATAGCATTACATTCCTGAATGTATGGAGATAGTGATTTCAAAATGTTTTTGGGGTGTTTTCATCTCAGGTGTAGGCTCCTCCAAAAATATTAATCTTTTAATGGAATTTAGTCAACATGTAATGCCATTTCCTTAACCAGCTTGGTGATTATCAGTGTCTAAGAAGGATCCTGGTCCATAGAGTTAGTTAGTTTGTGATTTGTAACTTCATGGGAAAATTATGCATACCTCTTTTAGGAAAAATTAAAATGAAGGAAGCCCCATTCCCATTTCCTTGGATTAAG